TTGCGGATTCTTGATATGTTCTGAACAAATGGTCTACGTCGCTTTAGGGTTCTGGGTTTCTCTGATGTAAAAAACCACAGCCCCCAAGAGACTTTAAGGACCCGCAATAGGGGCCCGAGAATTCCAAAGGGGAGTTTGGGGTTGGAGGAATCAGATTTCTGGGTCTGCTTTTGCTAGGGGTGTAAGGTCTTAGGGTAGAATCCAGAAAGTTGGAACACTAGTATCCTCATGCCCCTAAAGTAAAGTATAAGGGATCCTAGCACTAATCCTCCTAAACCCATGTTCCAACTTTCTGGCTTCTGCTGTAAGACTTTAGGATAATTTTGAGGGAGCCAATCATTCATGGGTTCCGGCGGCAGTTCCGAAGAGTTCCGTGAGGGGGTCTATAACCTGCTTGATGAATGGTTGCGAAGTTCGAAACCCAAGTGTTCACGGTTTAGGTTTGTCAGGCTCAGGATTTGTGGGTCTAGGGTTTATGGCTCAGGGTTTGGGATTTTGGGAGTTCCGGTTAAGGGTCTACGGGTCTTTGGCCTGTCCTTCGAAGCGGTTTCGAAAGGAGTTGGTAGTTCTCTTAAATCTATAGTATATATACTTGACTCCCGAACGAGAAGAGTCTACACGAAGCAGATCCACAAAACTTTCTTTAATGGCTGCATCCAAACCCTTAACCGCAAGCCCGCGAACCCCCAACAACTCTAACAACAGGCGCTGAACACACACCAGCATCAAAAGCCAAACCTGTAACCCCAAATCCGACGAAACAGGCGGTTATGACACCATCAATGATAGGGTACCCTAAACCCTAAACTTCAAACCCTAAAAAAGCTGTAGGTTTGGGGATCCCCAGCCCAAAGGCTCCATGTACCCATATAGTAGATACTTAGGCCTTAAAGGGGTCTCTATGGGTACTTTAAGGCCTAAGTATCTACTATATGGGTACATGGAGCCTTAGGGCAGGTAAATAACACCCGGGCCCTTCCCCCCCCCACCTCGAACTGCGTCAGCATCCTCGATCCGAAGATCTTGCGATGCACATCCGTATCTTGTATCAGGAAGACATCCATCCTCGGGTTCAGGGTGTAGGACTTAGGGTCTAGGGCTCATGGGTTCAGTTAGGGCTTAGGCCTTCGAGTTCGGGTTTAGAGTCTAGGTGTAACGTTCATAGGTTTTGAGATTAGATTACATAGGGTGTTTAGGGCTGACGGCCGAGTTCGAAAGCCCGAGAGGTTCCTCCTGATTGAACTTAGGCTCCCCTGACGCTCCATGTGCCCATGTAGTACATACTGAGAGGACTTAGAGGGGTTCCTATATAGGCACTGCAAGGCCTACTCATCCACTATATAGGTATATTATAAGGAGCCTTGGGTATGTAGTCTCGTAGCGGGTTCCTTGATTTGCTGAAAATAACGTAGAGCCAGCATCAATCTTCACAGGCTTGGCATCTTGAGCGCAAGATCAAGGCTGATGGTTCGAGACAACCGGGCATGCGGTTTCGCATTTCGATTTCCTGTGTTAGGATTGCGAATCCAAAGCAGCAGAGATCTTCTACATGGTTATAGAGTATAACGTAGCAGATTCTCGCCCCGGCCTCTACTGAAGTCCACGACCCCCCCCCCAAATTCTCGCCTCAGACCCCCCGCCTCGCGCCTGCACTCAAGAAGTAGGGTTTAGGGTTTGAAGCCGTTTAACAAGTCGTTTCACACACCCCATTTCGAGAAAAGGGCCTTTAAACCCCTATACAAATCAACCCTTCGCGACAATGAGGTATCTGCACGACGAGTGGCAGAGCTTGCAAGGGAACGACATTGTACTTCCGCTGCGGTCGTTTCTCCGTCTGGTTGTTCTGGTTGTTGACGGCCATGGACACGGTCTCGTCGTTTTACGAATGAGGGGTTTAGGTGCTTCGGTGTTTAGGGCTTCGGCTTGCTCACGTTCATGGCCATATCCAGGATGGACAAGCAGCAGTCCGTTTAGGGTCTAAGAGCTCAGCGCCAAGTCTTCAATTTAGACTTCAGGGCTTGCGGTTGAGAATCCGGTTCACCCAGACCTGATTCGTAGCAGTACCCTTATTGTAGTTACTTCAACATCAAATTAAGTTATACCAGCACAAATCCAGATTCCAGGGTTTTGCCCGTGTAGATCCCTACCTATAGTCTCCATTGTAGTTCCTTTTTGGTGTTACCTTCTAGGATTCTAGGATCCTGAATATATACTTGGTTAATCTTGGTTAAACCCCCAAAACGGAACTACAGGGGGGACTACAGGTACAACACCACTTTGGCACCCTTATAGAATCCGCATTGACTCTTGTGCACCTCCGCGCTTTCTAGCAGGGCTTCTCTCTGCAATAGTCTGCAGGCCGAAGCTCAACGCTGCGCACTGAAGAAGCCTACCTTTCGCCCCAAAACTACCTTTTTGTAGGGTTCCTTATCATGGCTTCTTCATACAAGGTTGAAAAACATTGGCTAAAAGCGATTTGATTTTTTTGGAGCCTTAAAAACTACGAGTAGAATAGGCTTCCTGGGTTAGGAACTGCAGCTGGGCCCAATCTTCATTACCTTGGTGCCCAAGGAACACCGTTCAAATCGGCACTACTTGGAGGGGCAGGGGACTTAGGGAGTCGTTTATAAGCAGGGTGATGATTGGAGTAACTCCATTTAGGGTACTTATAACTCTACTCATATCCTACTTACTAAGCCCCCTGCCCATCCAAGTAGACGGACGGCTAAAGCAGGAATAGAAGGATAACCCAATCGAGATGAAACATCGAACATACCCGTAGTGAACGCCAGGTTAGGAAAGTAAGTACCGTCTGTGATTCCTAAGCGGTAAACCCCAAACCCCATGCTAGACCTGAGAACGCAAAACCCTAAGCTGCCATAAACCTCCAAAAAATCCCAACCCTGAAGACAAACTTGCTATGCAACAGTGCTTGCCGCACCGATGCAAAACATCAAAACATTACTTCGTAGGGATTCTCAGGCTAAACCCCTAAACCCTAAACCCTAAACTCCAAACCCTAAACCCTAAACCCCTAAACCCTAAACCCCTAAACCCTAAACCCTAAGGCTCGTGTGCGTTTGGCTGTTGTCGGCCAGGTCGCTCCGGCAGCGATGCCGGCACTGCTGAGGTGTGACACCGGAGTCATGGGCCTGAGGATGCCAAACACCCAGCCCTAAGGCTCCATGTGCCCTTAAGAATTCCTTTAAATGGAACCATAAGGGGTTCTATAAGAGTTCTATGAGGGTTCTATTAGGGTTTAGTGTAGGGATAAAGGCTCCATGTGCCCATCTAGTAGATACTTAGGCCTTGAAGTACCTATATAGGGACCCCTTTAAGGCATAAGTATCTACTATAAGGGTACATGGAGCCTTTGGGCAGAGGGTCCATCTACACTACTGGTGATGATATAAATCCTGCATTACCTTAAGGTCCCAAAACTATGGGAATTATAGTACATTCCTGATTATGGGTAATAAAGGATGTATATCATCAACCGTACCATTATGGAGGGTTTAGGGTTTAGGGCTTGGGGTCTAGGGCTTAGCCCTTGAAGCCCTGAATGGTTGGAATGTGTTCGAATAGGGCTTTTGGGCGTAACCTTGTAATTAGAGTTATGGGAAACTCAGACAATATAGGGACCATAAGTGTACAATGTACACCATACTCATACAGTACCGGTACTATAAACAAATATGCACATGTACGATATACGTATATATGTATACCTATGTTGATTTTCATAAGTCTCACCTCTGTGGAGGAATCGACCGCAGGTTGCGTGTCTGTCGGACAAGGCGCAGCACATTGAACTTGGGACTAAGTGCGCGGTTTGGGCCCTAGGTTTGCAACACTTCGGGGCTCTTGTGCTTCCTCGCTCAACCTTCAGCTCTATCTTCAACCAAGATGTCCGCGGAAACCGGTCCAAACCCCTCCACTTATAAACCCTAAAACCTAAACCCTCGTGACGAGACGCGCCTCTTTTCAGCTTCGGATCGGCAGAGGAAGCCGTGTAGGGCTTGTGGCTTGGAGGCCTATGCTTCGGTGCTCAGGAGTAACCAAATATTTTTGCTTAATCATGGTGGCTTGACTGTGAACTTATATCTGATTTTGCCTAATTACCAGATAACAACTTGCTTTGACCGCAATCTGAGCCAGCAAGCGCTCATGATGGGAAGTTGCAGGTCCCAAATGCGAAGAGCCCTCGATGACCCAAGCATGAAGCAAACACCCGCCGAGGGGCGCCGCATTCGACACTGCTGGGGGCCATTGCCACAGGGCTTCCCCAAACCTGGGCAGCTACTGTCTTAGATGCTTGTGAACATGGTGCTGCCGCAAGCTTGTGAAGTTTCAAGTGTGAGATTACATCCTAAACCCCCAATCCCTAAACCCTGAACACTAAACCCAAATCCCTGAACCCCAAACTTCCAGCCCGAAGCTGGACCTTGGGAGTCAAATCGTTTTTGCCTGCAGGGTTCCGAAACCTACCAATATACGTAATCAGGTTCCTGGATTCCTGAACCCATTAGTCGCTAGACAAAATTTTAAACACTTGTACGGAGCTGAAAAGTATGTCCCACACAGGCAACCTGTTGACAGGAACGTGTTAAGAGTAGAGACACTCGGGTTCAGTACTACGCCCAAAACAAACTCTGATGAACTAGCTGACCCATGACCCTAAACCCTAACCCCAACACCTCTGCCACCTAAGGTACTTCTAGTCGCAACCTCGAACCGGCCCAATCTACACCTAATATACCTCTTTGACGTATCTATGAGCTTACGTACTGATGCCTCGATCTGACTGAGGAGTCTGGGACTTTGGAAGGTTTAGGGATTAAAGAGTCAAGGCATCCAGCATGACTAACCCCCGAGTAGGCGGATGCAATTATGTCCTAGGGCTTTAGATGCATTTGGTCTGGCACGGTCCGCTAGTGTAGATCAGGTTCGGGGGTACAGGCTGAGGGCATATGCCTTACCGCTCTCAGGCCTTATAATAGCTATCTTACGGCCACCCTGAGCCATGCATCCGAAGATCTTATTTACACTCAATGCCCGCATGCATCCAAGGCGCCCGTCACCGGAGTCGTCATCTTGGAAGTTGAAGATAGTGCCCTGGGCGCTCCGTTGGTAGCTGTTTCAGTGTTGAGGATTTAGGATTTAAGGTTTGGGAAATAATTATACTTCTTTACGCACCTAATGCGGCAAGCCGAACATGCCAGAAGCCTTACACACACACAGCATTTCCCCAGTGGATCAATGACTTGAAACTGCAATACGTGTGAGTTTACGGCTCATGGCAAGAAATTCATTCGGATGTGGAGGTTAGCCTAGTGTCTACGATGCGGGGCTTGGCAGCCCACACCGAAGCCCTAAACCATAAACTTGAATTCCGAAACCTAACATCGAAATCGATGTTCTGAGACACAACATCGGAATGATCGGCCTAATCCCTAATGTAAACATGTAAACTCGAAGCGTGTAAATTTTTTCTCCATAGTAGGGCGTGTTCACCTCAACAGTACTGTCATGTTCGGAGTTCTCCTAGTAGGCCTCACATGTTAGATGCTTAGAGAGACAGGGAGAGAGAGAGAGAGAGAGAGAGAGAGAGAGAGAGAGAGAGAGAGAGGGAGAGAGAGAGAGAGAGAGACACAGAGAGAGCGAGAGACAGAGAGAGAGAGAGAGAGAGAGAGAAAGAAAGAAATCTAAAACTAAAGAAAGAAAGACACGAAACAGGAAAGAACGAACGGAGGCCTTAGGCTTAAACCACAAGCCGAAAACTGAAAAGGCCTGGGCCTGATACCGAGGCTGTGAGGAGGGACCGGAACTTCGACTCGAGGCTCAAGTCTGCTGATGCAACTGTTGATGATAAAAATCCTGCATGACCTTAAGGACCCTAAACTATGGGAATTATGGTGTATTCCTTGTTATGGGTAATGCAGGATCTATATCATCAACCGAAGTATTACCAAGAGGACTCATATGAGTTCAGGGTTTAGGGGTTTAGGGGTTTAGGGGTTAGGGGTTTAGGGGTTTAGGGGTTTAGGGGTTTAGGGTTTAGGGGGTTTTAGGGGTTAGTAGGGTTTAGGGTTTTAGGGGTTCGGGTTTTAGGGGTTTAGGGGTTTAGGGGTTCAGGGGTTTAGGGGTTTGGGGTTTAGGGGTTTAGGGTATAGGGGTTTAGGGACTAGGGGTTTAAGGGTTAGGGGTTTGGGTGGTTGTCAGAATAATGGTCCCTTTCTGGGTCCTTAATATCATACGGCACCTAATATTTAGGGTACCCAAAGGGACCCCAATTTTGACAACCACCCATACAGTTATACTACTGCTATGGTTAGGTCTCTCACACCACAATGAGGATGGTCTTTTGGGGTTTAATTCCATCATGACAGTATATATGGACCCTGAGGACTGAGGCTCTAGATTCCGGGGTATGCCGTCTCGAAACACATGTTGTGATAATGTACAGCATCATGCATCCAAAGATGTTGCGATTAAGGAGGGTGCCGTACACACAATGTCCTGTTGTTGTTTTACAACCAGCTAAATAAGGGTCCCTTTCAATTTTTGTTTAATAAGAGTGTAGTAACAGTTTTTGCGCCTAAAGGGGCCCTAATTTACAGAACTACCCACGTGTTAATGCTACAGGGCTTTCAGAATTAAGATTCGGATCTAGGTGGGAGCTTCCCACAGCATCAGGCTTCGGATCGGTTGTTTGCAGTGTGCAGTCATGTAGTAACGAGCCAGGCGCCCTAGACACCCTAAACCTGCACCTACACCCTATCAACCATAAAATGCCTACAACCCAAGTCCTGAGCCCTACACTCTGAGCCCTAAACCGCTATACCCTACGCCGTAAGCCCAAATTCCCTAGCGCTACACAGACATAAAACTTTGAGCCCAAAACCCGGGCACCCTACGCCCTAAACCCAGATTCCCAAGCGCAACATATAGACAAAGACCCAACATGCAAGGGAGCGTCGATGCCCAACTGCGCTAGGTCCACGTTCTGGCTATCCCTGGAAGTGTGGCTCCGGCGGTAGTCCGACTTAGGATCCTGCTCTCCAAGGGCTCTTTTAATTAAACGGATCTTAAGGGCTCCTGTGAAAGGGATTTAGAAGGGCTCCTTTTTCTATAAGGGCTCCTTTTAAAGGGATCTATGAAAGCTCCTTCTCAAGGGATCTAGAAGGGCTCCTTTTAAACTGATCTATGAGGGCTCCTTTTCCAAGGGCTCCTTTTGCAGGGATCTATGAGGGCTCCTTTTCGAGGGATCTATGAGGACTCCTTCTAAAGGGATCTAGAAGGGCTCCTTTTAGAAAAGGAGCGAGAACCGTCAGACTTGGGGTCCTGCCGAGAAGGGTTCAGGGCCTCAAAGTAGGGTTTAGGAGTTTAGGCGGTTTGGGATTTCGGGAAAGGTATCGACATTGGGCTCCTTTGAAAAGGGATCTAAACGAGTCCGAGTTTGGCTCCTGCCGCACACGGTTCGGGGTTTAGAGGGTTTGGCGTTGAGAGCTTGCTAACGAAGATTCTACCTCACTGAACACCGTAAGTGCAACCTTGACACCACCCGAAATCCTGAACCCTAAACCCATCAACCCTAGATCCTAAAATTGAAAATGCTGAGAGCCAACCCCTGAAACGAGGGGGCCTCAAAAAGCAGAACGGGGTCTGAGGGAGGCAGATTATAGAAAAGTTGAAATGACAAACCCTCAGGACTGAATGTCAGTCCCTCACAAACACCCTTATAGGATCCCTTAGAGTAACCCTTTAAAGGAACTTTTTTTCGACCCTTACCCTGTGAGTCCTTCGGGCTGAACTGAAGATCGATAAAGTCCGCGAGCACATTGACGAGGTCGTTCCTCAGCTGCTTGAGCGCTCTTATAGTAAAAGCCAGAAAGTTGGAATATTGTTATCCTAAACCCTTTATGGAAATTATAGGGTATCCTACCCTGAAACCATATTCCAACTTTCTGGAGTTCCCTTGAGGGTGTATATAGGGTTTATAGGGCTTAAGGTGTAGGGTTTATAGGGTTTTAGGGTTTGAGGGTTTAGCGTTTAGGGTGTACGTCGGGTTCATAGGGTTTAGGGTTTTGGGAGCTGAAAAAGGGACCCTGATTTGAACTACCCACGCTGCTTGGGCACTCGATTGTGATCAATATAGGGGCCTTGACCATTTGAATCGGGTTCCCTGACAGGGGTCCTGTAAAGGGTCAAATGTGATCATGAAGCCTTTACAAGTAGAATAATGTCTAGTTCCCATCAGGGCCCCTATGAGTCAAGCTGCATGTTGTCCTCGGTGTAGCTGGTGAGGCCCAGTGCCTCAGCTTAGTTCTTTACCCTGGACCCGTAAAAGAACCTGAGGGTTCAGGCTTCAGGGTTGAGGGTTTGGGATTTATAGTTTAGGAAGCCATGATCCCTTAATCCTTTAAGGAATGCAAAACCCAAAAGCTGACCTATAAGATCCCAGGACCCGGCACACAAGCCAAAACATGGCAGCGAAAACAACCAAGTTCAAGAACACCCACCCACGCTCCGCCCATAGTCATTACCGGCCAAACCTCTAAGAACTGAAGACGCTACATGTTACAAAGCCAACCCTAAGGGTCCATGTACCCACATAGTATATACATTTGGCCTTAATGTAGTCCCTACATAGGTACATTGGGCCCAACGTATATACTATTTGCATACATGGACCCTGAAAAGTAACTAAAAGACCCTTATAGATCCCTTATAGATCTCTTATAGTAACCCTTAAATAAAGTACCCTTAAAGGAACCCCTATTTGGATACCTAAACAGGGACTACATTTAGGCCAATATATATATATATATATATATATATATGTACATGTAATATCATATATATATATATATATATGTGCGTACATGGACCCTTAAGTTAAGCCGAGATTAAGAAATCTCCCCCCCCCACCCCCACCCCGCGTGTACCTCCATGGACATATGCAGCGCTCGGCCGGACACCAACCTCTGCCAGGAAGCCCGCACGCACGGTTTAGGGCTAAGGGTTTAGGGTTTAGTATTCATAAAATGGATACCTTAAACGAGTCACGATACTATCCTCGGGCTTCAGAATACAAGCACGGATTCCACATCAACGCCCTTACGATTGTCTGATCTCTTCTTTTGGGGTTCAGATTGTTGCATCTCGTGCAATGCCTTGTTTGGATCTTTTGTAGGAGTTAAGCAAAATAGAGACTTTTGCGATTGTCATCGCTACAAGTAGTACTACGAGTACTGCCGTTAGTGTTGCATGATGAGACTAGCAGTTAAAAGTATGCTTGTAAACCTACATATGGGTTTCTCAAAAAGGCTTGGGGCTTTGGAGGCCTGTGGCTAAGGGTATAGGCATTGCGGAGCGTGAGCACCCGACAGGGTTTAGGGTTGAGGGTTCAGGGGAGAGGGAGAGAGAGCGAGAGAGAGAGAGAGACAGAGACAGACAGAGAGAGAGAGAGAGAGGGAGAGAGAAAGAGCGACAGAGAGAGAAAGAGAAAGATAACAACGAGAAAGAAATACATGCAGAGAAATGTAGAAAGACAGATAGATAGAGAGATAAAGAGAAAAACAGGAATGAGAATGCCATAGGCAGCACAGAAAACAAGCCCGGCCTTTTCGATGTCACCGCCACCCCGAGACGCACGCGAAGCCGCTGTCGGATAGCCTGTGCCTCCTGGCTGCTGATCCTGGGCACTTTGAGCGCTTCTTGGGGATCAGCGGAGCGTCTGGTGTTTGGGTTTACAGGGTTTAGGGTTTACTGGGTTTAGGGCTTACTGGGTGTACAGGTTAAGGAGCTTACCAATGGACCTGACCCCAAAACCGAAACTTGCCGAAGATCAGACTTGAGAGCATTACGTTTCGACACGCACGGTCTGTCGAGACTCTACCATCTCTGAATAAACTCCCTTTGTACTACATTTAAGGATTCAAGAGTAAGACTTCTCAAAGCACCCCGTAACTCGGTACCTTGGATTGGGGTAGTCGTACCTAGACTTGTATTGTGGGACGTACGTGCTTATGGAGTACCGGTGTGACTCCATGTCCCTATATCGCATATTCTTCAGCCTTGAAAGGGTTCCTCTAGGCTAGCTTCAGTATTCAGGCCTATGTACATCTTTTAAAAGCACAGCACAGAGAGCCCTAGGGTACCTGGGACCCTTGAAATGGCTTTCGGTTATGTCTGGTAGCACTATGTCCCTGTGTTACCTGGAACTGAAGGAACCTTCGTTTTTAGGGTTCCTCATTATGATTTCCTTATATGAGTCCTTAAAGAGGTAGCTTATTTGAGGTAGCTGTTGCAAGGCTGCACGTCGTCAACCGTTTAACCTGCCTGCAGCAATTTGCACCATGAATTTGGAACTCATTGCCTGTGCGAGTCAGAGGCCCCATAGTAATATAATATATGAACCCCCGAAAGGAACTACTGTGGGGCCTCTGGGTAGGCGAGTTAGAAGGACGTCCATGACATGTACCATTATTCCTGCAGAGACCGGTATGCACTCCCCAAGGTGCACACTTTACGTTCAACCACCCCAGGCCATGTAAGACACTAAACCGCTAGACCAACTGACCCAACAAGCCGCAAGCACGGAAGCCCGAACTCTCACTCAGCCGTGAAGCATTCTGAGAACCCTGACTGTTGAAGGGTTTAGGGTCGTAAGCCTCATGCTCATCCCCACTTCCTAGGCCGCAAACTCTATATAAACACTTCATCCAGAACCGGAAACCGTAGCTAAATCCGCATAAAAATCTGGCCAAGCATCTCTTGCTTCGACATAGCAGTGGCCTCCTCGGATGTTTCGGAGGTTTTGGGAGAGCTTGAAGGGCTGGGGCTTTGGGTGTTTACCTAGAGCGGGGAACGCCTGCTCTGGGTTCAGCTGCTCTGCCTATTCTGGGTTCATGTGCTCTGCTTGATGGCACCCTGAGTATGTACCATGTGCAGACTTATTTGTTCTAGGGGTACGGAAGAGGTATGGAAGCCATCCGAAGACCCTACACAAAATGCATACACAACGCTTGGGTTTTTCCCTTCGAACGCTAGCAATTCGACTGGTGTGAATCGAAACCCTAAATGCCTCTCCAACCTGAGTCTGAACCCGAAGACCCGGATTCGTCCAAAATAAACTCAACGAGCCAAGATATACATGAAATTGTACACATGTCTATATACAGGCATCCATACACCTACATGTAACATAGTATATGCATATAGGCATTCTTACACATATATATATATATATATATATATATATATATAAGCATATGCGCATGTAGGATGTATGTACATGTGTACATGCATGTATGTATGTATGTAAATGTTTATAAGTACTTAAGATTGAAGTATATAAGTACACAAGTATACACATATGTATACACATAGAGCAGGTAAGCCATAGTCAAACGTGCTTCGTGTTATTTAGGACTCGTGCACCCGTTAACCTTTAAATTGGAACCATTAACTCTTAACCCTCAACCCTTAATCGAACCCTAAACCCTAAACCCTAAATCCTAAACCCTGAACGCTGAGCCCTTAAATGCCGCTGTGGTGCACTGGTGTTTAGGTCGTTGGCCCGGGCCTGGCACCGGGCAGCTGTCTCGTGTCGAGTTGGGGGTTTAGGGTTTGTAGGGTTTAAGGTTTAAGGTTTAGGGCTTGACCGGGTTTTGGATTCAAGTATCAGGGAATTTTGTAGGCATGCGGGCAAACCCAGCTATGACTTAGTTCCTTCTAACTAAACCTCAAACCAATGCCTGAATCTACACCCCTAAGGCTCCATGTACCCATATAGTAGATACTTAAACCTTAAAGTACCTATATAGGGACCCCTTTAAGGCTTAAGTATCTACTATAAGGGTACATGGAGCCTTTGGGCACCGCCTGCACACGACTGAAACAGGGAGGCCGCCCTTCGCCAGACCATAGGAGACCCTAAGCCCAACAATACTTAACTCTTAAAGGGAACTCCAGAAAGTTGGAATATGGTTTCAGGGTAGGATACCTTATAATTTACCTTAAAGGGGTTACGATAATGATATTCCAACTTTCTGGCTTCTACTGTACAGCCCTTGAACACCTGAACCCGTAAACCCTTACACCCCTGAAGCCCAAAACATAAACCCTCACGGGGCTCGCTCAAACGGTGGCCTGCATCAATTCAGCCGCGAGGTCGTTCGGGTCCCACTTCTGCAGCAGCTCGCGCATGGTCTGGTCACAAGCATCATCGGACGACAAAGGGCGCAGAGAATTGGTTTTGGTTAGGCTTCAGGGTGGTGTGGGTTTAGGGTGTTGTTTACAGCCTAGGAGTTAGAAGACAAACTGTCAACATGAAATTACCTCAGCAACTGAAGCAAAACTAACTACGATTCCAATTTATCGTAGTTGCAATCAATCGTTGATGAATTTGTGCAGTGCATGGGCATTGGCACGGTCCCGTTTCTGACAGCACCGTGGTATAGGGCCCCTAAAACAAGCTAAGGGGTCCCGGTGTGTGCTATAGCATACTTAGCAACCCTAAGGAATTATATTTCCTGTTCAGTGGTTAAGCCCCACCCCATATTATGGCATGTCACCGACACACAGTCAGTATGGAGGCAAGCAGATTAGGAAGCCTGACGGAAACGAGCATCAATGTAAGCTGGGGTATGTTAACTTTACATGGCAGCAATGCGCTGAAATGCAACCACATCTTTCTATACTATAGCCACTTGAGGCCTGAAGCACTATATATGCATACCATAAGCAAACATGCTGCCATCGTATATCACATTTGGCAATCCTCCTCATCCGCCAGACAAGCGCGCAACTTGCGGGATTGTGGGGCTTGGGGCTTAGGTTAGTACGTGCAACATTGAGCATTGCTGTGAGAATGGTTTAACGAGCAGCTGACCCTGAACTCCTGAGCCTGCCATGCGGAAACTTTGCTGACAGAAAAGATTGAAAACTTACTACAAGTTAGGATTTAGAACTCAGGTCAATCACTGCATGACTTGAGCTTTTCACTGAGGGCCTCGAACTGCTTCCGCGTGCGTGGCCCGAACACTTTCCGGATAAGGTCCTTGTCCTGCACCAGTAGCCTGGGTTTAGGGTTTTGGGATTTAGGGTTTTATAGTTTAAAGAAGTAAGGTTTGAGGTTTAGATCGGTTTAGGGTTTAGTTTAGGGGCACCAGTAGCCTGGTTTTAGGGTTCAGGGTTTTCTAATTGAGGAATGAGGCTTTCGGGGATTTACTGTGCAATGTTTTGCGGTAGCCTGGTTCTAGGGTTCAGGGTTTTATACTTTGAGGAATTAGGCCTTCGGGGGTTTACTGTGCAATTGTTTGGGAGGGAGGCGGCGCAGGAGAGAGGGGCGGTATCGGCACAGCAGTTGAGGGATCGACTAACGATTGCAAGCTCTAGACATAGATACACACACAGACGAATATACACATGCACGCACACACCTATGCTTATATTCAACACACATATTCAGTCATTCGCACATGCATGCACAAATACATACATCATACATACATACACACATACATATAGCTAACTTTAACCGTGACCCTCACATAAAGGCAGGCGTAGCTGCAAATCGATCAGGGCGTTGGCTGGGCAAACATTCCAAGGACTCCTCGCGTAGCAGGAGGTCTCGGGAAAATTAGGGTTTACTTGCAGGGTCACTTACTAACTAGAGTTCCTCAAAAGTTCTCTTAAAGGGTCTCCCTAAAGGATTCCTTACAGGGTGCCGGACTCTATAAGGTGGGGTTTAGGGTTGCATAGGTCTCAGGGTCAGGTGAAACCCCTGCAGCAACAGTTGTCACAGAGGGCTGGAGAAGATTCGGGCACTGCTATTTGCTCATGATTTAGGAACTGTTTCTGATAGGACAGGGGGTGTTGGCCGAGATTTCGTGTTGGTTTGCAAAGTCTGTGGAAGATAAGGCGCAGGCCAAACTTGAAACGGATAACGGCTAGCAGGACCCTCTTGCCATCTCAAACTCTGTGGCATCAAGCCCAAGGCCTACACAAAGAAAGCAACCCTTGATGTGGCGAAAACTCTTAAACTGCTGACCGGAAGCCAGACATAGTGCATTAAGACTGCGCTATTACAGTGGATAGGACTCCAAAACCTGAATCCTAAACCACACCGAACTCCAAGCCGCTGAACCCTAAGCCACCAGAGTCCTCGGCTGGAAATCATAGACCCAACTTCTTCTGCGGGCCTCGCAGGAGCCACGGTTTAGGGCTTCAGGGCATGATTTACCTATGGTCTCCAATCTAGTTCCTTTTTTTGGTTAACCTGTTTTATGGTTAGGATCCGATAATAGAGGTTTTGGTTAACCAAAAAAGGAACTACAATGGAGACTATAGGTAGGGTGTAGGGTTTAGGGGATCAGGGGTGGAAAGGGCTTGGGGCTTTAGCCAAGCATCATACCCTACCCTTGTTTCTGGGACCCACCTTGTCTACAGAGCAAATACTAGCCTAAAGCCAAGTAAGTACAGAAAGCAAGGAAGGGCATGACTCTCCAGGTAATTAGGGCACTGGGATCTTGTATCCCGGGGTTCAAGCCTAATTGGGGATTGGGGACCTAGGATTGTAGGGATAAAGGGTGTGGAGGAGGTTTTTTTTGAGTGCAGGGATGTGGGGATTTGGCACCATACACCCAACACCTCCCCAAGGGCTAAGAGGGTGGCAGCCCCGCGGCAACTTGCGGGGACGCAGCAGGGTGTTGCTGGGGTGTATGGCTTAGGAATGCTCAGGGCATAGGAGACAGGTCATTCGTAGTCTGGTACAAGCAACATCCGACCCCGCTTACCCTAAGGCTCCATGTGCCCATATAGTAGGCACATAGGCCTGAAAGAGTTCCCTATATAGGTACTTTAAGGCCTAAGTACCTACGAGCTATATGGGTTTAAGGCCTCAGTACCTACTATATGGGTACATGGAGCCTTTGGGTTAAGGCTAAGGAACTTTTGAACTGTGGGTCTGACCCAGGAACCCTTCAACACTAGACCTTGCTCAAGCGATGCCTTAATGCTCCAGGTCCCGAAAACAGCCCAAAAACAGCCCAAACCCCCTACTTGGAGGATCATGGGACTTAGTAAGGTTATATGTACCTTGATCGGGGTTGTAAGTCGTTATCGGTATAGTTACCCTAATTAGAACCAAAGTTACTAAGTCCCATGATCGTTTAAGTACCCGGAGGCTCCAAACAGGGTCTTCGGCCTTCTGGGGAGGGTTTCGGCTTGGGAGCTAGCGTTTGGGACCTCACTATACCTATACTGAACTTAGAACCCTAGCAAAACTTATGCTTTTAGCTGTTTCTTAGGGATTATAATAACCAAAAATTAAAAACTACTTCTAAGCACCCCTAAGATACTAGGGTCCAGCAGCCTTAGGGTAGACTCTAAACCCCTACCCCTCAACTCGAAACCCAAACCCCGAACCCTACTCTGAGTTGTCCTTTAAGCCCTTTGAAAAGTATTTACTATTATGGCTCTCTAGTAGGGGAAATTACAAAAGATCCCAAAGGACAACCCAGTACTACAAACCCCAGACGCATCCCATGCTGTCCCAGGGAGCCTGAGGCTCATCATCGTCCGGCCAATGCCTGGTTTTCAGACTCCCCAAACCCAGAGAGCCCAACACCCCTTAATTAAGGAATATAGCTGATTCATAATATGAAGCCCTTTACAATTTATGCCATATTCGTTAATTAAGGGGTAGTGGGCTCTTTGGGAACACCCTGAACAGTTACCATTTCAAGGACTCGTATAAGGAATTCATATTACGGAACCCCAGAAAGGTAGGCTATTTTGGGGTGAAGGTAGGGCTTAGGAGCCAAAACCCAACCCCAAACCCTAAAACCCACTTAAGAACATGAAACCCCTTACACCCGTGCTTCCCGACAAAGAGGCCCCGAACCGGCCAGAAACCGTAAGCTTGATGCCTAGAAAGCAGCAGTGCTGCGATTCTCACGAGCACCAGACTCCATCAACACGGCTTAACCGTAAGGCTCAAAGCAACCCCACAGTCCCAAACCCTTGCACAGTTTAAAGCATGGCCTTTAGGCCCAAAGGCCTTAAACTATGAGTCCTTAGAGACTGAGCGAAACATAGGGGCCGTAAAGATGTTGAATAGCGGTCCTTTATGGGCGCGCCTTAAATGGGTCTGTAAGGTTCCTATGAAAGCTAGGGTAGGGGTTTCAACATGCCTGAAGGGTCGAACCAGGCTTTGACACAGATGACACTATAACTTAAGTAGACAGGGGCTATTGTTTCCAACCATTCCTTTCCCTACACTAGTTCCGTCGCTGCACCTGAAACACGAACCCAACGTGACTTCAATTTCCGACGATTTTAGGCATCATACTCTACAATGAATGAAGGGGTCGCAACCTACTAATGCATAGGCTTCGGGGCTTACAAAGGAACTCAACATAACACAGGAAGATAGCAGTGGTAATAGCAATACTAATACCAATAATACTGCTGCTGCTGCTGCTGCTAGTGCTGCTCGTTTTTTCATCCGGATAAAAAATATATGAGCAAACTCATAGTAATCTCTTAAACACTGTCTTAAGGCTGCGGAACCTTAGAAAATGTAAGCGATACGTCTGCGGTTGCGAAAGTTGCGAACGACCCTACAAACCTCGCAAGTCAAGGTGCCAATGCGGGGTGTCTTTCTCGAGATCGGTCTCGGCCTCTTGTTCCAGCACCAACGACAATTCCTGGGTGACCAAGGGTGTAGAGTGTACTTCACGGATCGTGGGACATAGTAGCTAGGGCTATAAGTAAAGCAGCTTTACTTCTAGTTGCATATAAACACAATTAGGGTTATAAGCATGATCCTCCAAATGGGGTTTTAGAGTTTAGGGTTTAAGATTCATGCCGAGTCCCCACACCCCTCGCCACACCACCCTGAGAAGCAAAGCCTAAACCTTAAAGCTGCGACCAAACGCCCTGAAGCCTAATGTAGGGGCCTGAATAATTAGCATGGGGTTTCGGGGCCGATTATGTTGTAATTAAGAAAGGCGATGAGCGTTGGGGCTATGGCCCTATGATAGCGAACACATCTCTGGTTGTACTCGCACCACAATAAATGCCCGTATACGTGTGATTATACATGTATTCATGTACACATTACATCGGTGCAACTACCTGCAAATAAACAAATGGGCACAGCATGAAGGTACCACAGGAACACATCAAACAAACACATACAAACAAAGATGTGTGTGTGTGTGTACATACACATATATTTATATGTATATCCCTACATATGTACACACTCGAGTGCTAGGAATCTCTATGAACTATGCTCTCTGCCGAGTCGCATTTCCGGAAAAAGTACCGCATGTCTCCTCCTGGACATTGGCGGCAGTGCTGCATACTTACCCCAACCATAACTGCTTTATAGTACCTATTACAGAAACCCTACTTTGTACGATGCAGCTACGTTGGACTCCTTGGGATATGACAACAGCTTCAAGGACGGGATGCTGGGCGTCCGGAACACATGCAGACAAATGGTTGAAGAGGACATCATCAGAAGGCAAACCTGGGTTCTTGTTGCAGGGCTTTTTAATTCTAAGTTACCATAAACACCCTATTATTTACTGTCGATCCTACTACGGTAACTCGAACTAGATCCCTTAACCTAAGGCTCTAAGGAATCATATTTTCAGGCTTTTGGGCCTAAAGACCATACTATATGACACTTTTGGGCTATTTCGAACCTTCGGGTTAACAAGAACCCCGAAGAGCCTGAGCATGAGCTGATGAACCACACGCCAGATCGGAAGTCCCTCTGGGTGGCTGTCAAAACTGGGGTTATTTGTTGGGTCCTTATTATAATACGGCGCCTAATATTTAGGGTACCCCAAAAAGGGCCATAATTTTGACAACCACCCGTATGTCCAAAGCATGAACTGCATTTCAGAAAGTTTGCATACCCTCGGGATCCAGTTACCTAAATAGTAGGTTACTGGGGCATATGGGTGGTTGTCAAAATTATGGTCCCTTTCTGGGTACCCTAAATATTAGGTGCCCTACTATTAATAACGATCCAAAAAGGGACCCTAATTTTGACAACCACCCATATACTACGGTTGATGATATAAATCCTGCATGACCCATAATAAGGAATAAACCATAAATCCCATAGTTTAGGGTCCTTAAGGTAATGCAGGATTTATATCATCAACCGTATGTCGAATGGGGGCTGGTTTCCGCTCCGCCCTCGATGTTGCACATGCCTTGCGCGGCATCTTGCCTGGTGAACCAGCAAGGGTTTAAGGTAAACCTCAAGGTCTTAAACCGCTAAACCCTAAACCCCTACTTAAACCCTAAACCCTAAAACCCTAAACCTTGTATGATCTTTGTGTTGAAAGTTAGTATTGGGAGAGTATGTGGTTATATTAGGTCCTGGACCCTCAGGGTACGATTCTGAGGGCGATGCCTGTAGTTCAAAACTAACTCCGAACAGTGTCGAGCACTGAGCGAACCCAAAAAGCACAAACAAAAGCTGAATGCTAAATCCAGGAGAACAACCCAGACTCTAGACCTTAACTTCCTTCTGATTCCTGGTTTATGTAATTCTCTAAACGCTGAGCACTTCCCCCGTCTAACCTTGAACCCTCACATGTCCTTCATGAACTGCAACGACACGTAGTCAGCGACTTGGTTGACGAGGTGGTTCATGTCATCCTGCGACGGGGACGAAGTTGGCTGACTGCACTTTCGCAACGTATTCCTCAAGAAGAGGTTCTAAGCCCCATAAGCATACAGGGATAAATGCAAGACATCACGAAAGGCTACCCAGGGCATTCTGGGAGCTTTCTATTGGGGTCTCGGGTTGACGATTTCTCATAGTCGGGGTTTACGGCTCGGCACTACCAAAACAAATTCAAACTACAGCTAGGGTTATGGGCTGCGTTCAGGGTTCCTCTAAGGGTTTGGACGGATCACAGACAAGTTTGCCTATGTGCATTCGGAATCGTGAAAGGTAGTCCACAGATTGCGGATTTCGATGGTTCTGCGGGTTTAAAGTTTCGGAACCCGGGCGGAGCCTCAAGCAGCGGGACCTGCAGCTGTTCCGATTCGAGCCTGAAGCCTGAAGCCCATGATCCTTCTAAGACTATCGACCTTCTTGACGTAGGAATCGAGATTATTAATGAGCCCGTCCGAGCCCCAAGGCTCCATGTACCTAGACAGCATATACTGAGGTCTTGAAGTACCGAAACGGGGACTACTACCTATGTGACCGCAAGAAGTCGTGATCACTCCGAGCTTCCGACGACGATTCTTCGGGGGTTGCTCGTGCTGTTTCCCAACATGATATGGGTGGTTGTCAAAATTATGGTCCCCTTGTTTTGGTCCCTATACTGCGGCACCTAGTACTTCGGGTACCCAAAAAGGGACCCTAATTTGGACAACTACTCATATACCCCTCAACCCCTAAATCTTGAAACCTAAACCCTAAATATCCCTGACCGGGCTTCCTCGTTGTATCCTGTCAGGCCCATGTCGCCCAGCAGCTGTGCCAAGCTCCTTGTCAGAGAACCGGATCTCAAAGCATAAACTCATATGGGAGGTTCCGAAAATTTTCGGGTACCTGTATTTTGGGGTCCTTAACATAAGGATCCGACCATTGAGGGCATTAGATTAGGGTCCCCTGAAGAAAGCAAATCTTGGGCTTGGGGATTCGAACTTTAGGGTTTCGCGTGGTTGCAGGACCACCAAAGCCGAGGCAGACGAAGCGAAGATTACTTGTAAGAAGGGTTTAGGGTTTAGGGTTTAGGGTTCAGGGTTTAGGGGCTTTGGGGGTTTGGGTCTAGTCTAGGGTTTAGGATACAATACAAACAGAGTGGCCATCGTGTCCTGGCCGTGGCCCTGGCCACAAGCTGCATGCGAGGCTATGAGCCAAGGTGCCTAAATATTGCTCGGTTACTGTTGCAAGCAGCCATGGCTCTCGTTCATGTTCTTGAAATGGGAAGCACTCGATGCAATCCCATTACGACGGAAGCATTGTTCTTGCTTCATCAGAATGAAGGCTGCGGCACAAACTAGTGGGAATACACGCGCCTACGGCGAGGCCTGTTGCATTCAGATCTGCCGCCTGGGTTGCCATACTTGTACACAGTGAAGAGCACGACAACGGCGAGAAATGGAAACCAACACACCCGCTGCACGAAGACCTAGGACATAGGCACACAGCCGATAGCCCCTAACACCTGCTGTTAGCGAAAGCTGCGAGAATCACCCGAAGGTGCAATTTTTCAAGCCCTGTTTCTCCTTCGAAAGCGCCAGCCTTGATACCTAACGCCTACCTGGACCCCAAAAGTATGTAGACTAATAGCCTTTTATAGGTTTTGGGCCATTATTTTACCTACTTTTGGGGGTCTAGGTAACGACCCTAGAGTCCGAGCCAAAAAGACCCTTACCTTCGGAAGTGCCCGCCTTTGCGCTGATCGCTCAAAAACTTTAAACCCAAGCTCTGACAACTAGCGAAACCGCCCCGAACTACCCTGTATCAGTTAGAAGGGGCCCCCCACCCTGTAATAGTGACTATAAGGATTATATAGGATTATATTAGGGCCCTATTATACTCCTATTATACCACTATTACAGGGTGGGGGCAGCTCCTAATGTATATTATCAGACACTAAATACTAAATCCCGACCATCGAGTAGCACAAGCTTTCTGTCCAGGATCCCTCAGAATATCCGGGGTAAGCCTTAAACCGAAAACCTGAACCCTAAACCCCAAACCCCCAACTGTAAACCCAAAACCTTGTGACCTAAATCCTAAACCCTCAACTTAAAACCCTTGACCCTAAAACCTCAACCCGAAAACCTTAACCCTGAGTCTTTTCGCCCTCAACCTTCACAAACCCTCAACCTTGAAACCCTGAACCCTCAACCTTTAAACCCTGAAGCCTAGACCCACAACCGTAAACCGCGGCAAGCCGCTGCCCTGAGATGAGCGTGTTGGTCTTGGCGTCGACACCTCAGTCGCCCAGCAACCATTGAAACAAGGCCTGGAGGGTCGCTCTCCATACGATTCATGGGGTACCCCTGCTAGCATCTCGTATGTGGGAACTTAGAGGATCATGGGACTTAGTAAGTGAGGCTATAAGTACCTTCATTGGGGTTATAAGTAGCTATAAGTATAGTTACCCTACTTATATCTCCAGTTACTAAGTCCCATGATGCTTTACGAAAGTCTGTGAACAAAGGGGGTAGCGAATGACCCTACAATCCCGTGTAGCTCCGAACAAGAACAAAACAGAAGAACCAAGGAGGCTTTCATCAGGTCAGGGAGCCGCGGCACATCGAGGCAAAAGGACTTCAGCCCTAAGAGCCTAGACCCCTAAATCCCAGAACAATTACGCCCCAGCACAAACCCAAAGACGAACAAAGTAGAGACAAACTCTAAGACCACATATTTGGCGGGTTACACCCAAAGCGAGCATGGAAAAAGGATGGTCTTTACGACTGAAGCACGGCCAATTACGATTTCACCTACAGCTTAAAACTGATTAGTGATGATAACAACGCCAACAACCAAAAGCACACTGTAGCAGTGCTACCACTACCACCACCACCACCACCACCACCAGCACCACGACTACTGTTACTACTACTACTACTACTACTACTACTACTACTACTACTACTACTACTACTACTACTACTACTACTACTACTACTGCTACTGCTACTGCTACTGCTACTGCTACAGCTACTGCTACTGCTACTGCTACTGCTACTGCTACTGCTACTGCTACTGCTACTGCTACTGCTACTGCTACTGCTACTGCTACTACTACTACTACTACTACTACTACTACTACTACTACTACTACGACTACGAATAAGACGACGACAACTACAACTCCTGATGCTGCTACTGCCACTATACTACCAACATGGCCACAATTTCACGGTATTGATGGATAACTACCCTAAACCCTAAACCGCAAACGATTTAGGGTTTAGGGCTTAGGGGGGCTAATTGGGAGCCTAGACACTTAATCGCAGGCGCAAGCGCTGTTTCGCCACCTCTGCAGGGCCAGACTTTTGGGCTTAGTTAGGGTTTAGGGTTTTTGTTTAAGTTGATATGCACGGTTTAGGGGCTAGGGTTTGGGGTTTAGGGTAGGGTTTAGGAGGTTTAGGAGGTTTAGGGCAAAGAATGCTTCACAAGGGCTTTCTTCAGGAATTCAGTTTCTGTTTTCCTTTTCAGGAGGCCCATGCACTTCATAAGTCGCTTATGGCATGTATTCCCGAAAGCATGAGCCGAAACAAGCAAACCGCAGAATTCGGGTAAGGTCTATAGCCTACCTTAACCTTGAACATCGGGGGTTAAGGTTTGGTCTATAGATAAGGTGCCGCTGAAAGCCGGAAGGGCCCAAAGGCCGTTGATGGCTGCTAGTCCTGAGGTAGAGTTTAGGGATCAGGGTCGTCTTGAGGCGCACTGTCGGTGAAGCACAACAAATTCATTCCAGATCTCGACATCCTTTGGCCCCAAAGCCCCATACTACTTAGAAGCATGAAATCCGCGAAAAGCCCTGAACGCAAAGGCGTAGAGCTGTAAGCTCTGAGGGCGATCCAACAATCCAAAGTCTTAAACTTGCAAAACCACTTGGAGGATCATGGCCTTAGCAAGTAAGGTTATAAGTACCTTAATTGGGGTTGTAAGTAGTTATAAGTATAGTTACCCTAATCATAACCCTACTGACTAAGTCCCATGATCCTCTAAGCAGGCAACCGCCCCGACAACCCTCGATACCATCCCTGGGGTTTTGCCCCACCTGAGACACGCCGACAGCGGAGCTCCTGACACAGGGGGCTCTTTACTCTTTACCTGAAGGACCAAATGACCCTTAGAAGTAGGGGCCCTATACCCATATATTATGAATCCCTATATGGTATATGAACCTTAGGCCCTTTTAGGGTTCACTTGTCCTTAAGGTAATGTAAGTTTTCTTCTTGCTTGAAGTTTGGTAACCACAGAGACCTGGCAGCTCAGTAGTGGTGGAGATTATCGCTCAGGTAATGTGTGGTCGTTCTTCGTGATGACTATTCCAGCGGCATCCAACCCTCTGGAGTAAGTAGGTGTTCGTATGATAACTGAGTCAAACGCCTGTGCTCAAAACAGTACTGAGGCAGGTGCTGCTTCTTGCTTTACTATATCCTCTCAATACTGACAATTGAGTACAATAGTTTGACATTCTAAACGAATATACATGAGCCGTCGAGGTCATACTGTGCATGACTTTGCAGGTTTTCGAGTTGCAAAGAAGTCGGCAGCTTAGGATTTAGGCTCCCGTAAGAACTTAATCGACCTCGTTTTCTGAGTTGCTTGCTCATCATGCCTACCCCAAACCCTAAACCTCTCAACCCTAAACCCCTCAACCCTACAACCTAAACCCCAAACCCCAAACCCTAAACTGTGCAACTACGCCTCGGCTTCGAAGCCCCTCGGGCTCCAAGGAACTAAACATCCTAAACATCTCCTGGTATGGATTTACTCAGTGCACTACCCCAAGGGTCCAAAGGACCCAGGAATTAGGCACTCGGCTTTAGGATAATAGTAATGTAGGTTAGGATTTTGGTGTTTGTATATGATTATTAGGTACTTGGACCTTTGGGATTAGAGACATTTGCTGTTGGCCGTAAGTCTTAAGCCCTAAACTATCCTAAATCCTAAGCCCTAAACCTCTAAACCCCTACAGTATAGCGGCCGCCCGCGCTACATCTCCATACTACAGCCTGGGCAGATAGCCCAAAACTCCACATTGACAAGCTCTCGTGATGAAACCAATTCACTGGTGCCCGACAGCGCAGCATGCAGCAAATGCTAGGTCCAAAAGTCGTAAGCACCAAACCCTAAATACTAATACACCCACTACACCCCAAACCGTAAATGCTCAACTCGAAGCCCTAAGCCCTAGACAACCCTAAACCCTAATTAAACCTCTCAGCCCTAAACCCCTCAACCCTTTTCCCTAAACCCCTCAACCCTTTTCCCTAAAGCCCTCAACCCTCAACATCCCTAAACCCTAACCCAGAGGGTCCAAGTACTCCCTATTTTTTGGGACTTTAGGGCCTTTTTAGGTACCAAAAACCATAAATAGGAACTACTTGGACCCTTAGGGTAAGGAAACGAGGAAACCCAATCGCAGGCCCTGCCTCCCTCGACTGTCCCGCAGTGATGCCTTCGGGCCAACCTCGGTGAAGGCTGCAGTCACCACCACAACTGCAACTAAGGTTTGGGCTTTAGGGCTTAGGGTTTAGGGCTTAGGGTTTAGGGCTTAAGGTTTAGGGTTTAGGGCTTAGGGTTTAAGGCTTAGGGTTTAGGGCTTAAGGTTTAGGGTTTAAGATTTAAGGTTTAGGGTTTAGGACTTAAGGTTTAGGGTTTAAGGTTTAAGGTTTAGGGTTTAGGACTTAAGGTTTAGGGTTTAGGGCTTAAGGTTTAGGGTTTTAGGTTTAAGATTTAAGGCTTAGGGTTTAGGGTTTAGGGCTTAAGGTTTAGGGTTTAGGGATTCGGGCGTAGGTACTTCAATCCTTATACTAGGTGCCGATTTGAACAGTCCCCAAAATTAGTTATAATCAGGGCTCTGTTTTAGCAAAAGAGAAGTTAGGAAGTATGCCAAATCGGGACCTAGCATAATTACATATAACACCAGATAAGGTACTTACAATCTTACTTACTACGTCACACAAACCGCAAACTATTGTGACTTAAAGGATCAAGAGACTTAGTACCCAGGGTTCCTTGAAGGGTTCCTGTAAAGGTTCTACAAAAGTCCCATGATGCTCCAAGTATTGCTACAGCTCCCAGGTGCGGCGACGACGACAACGGTTACTGCTTCCCACGACTGCGGCCGACAATTGCATGTACTGACGGAAAACATCTGTCGGACAATCGTTAAATAGTGATGTCTGCATGAAGTCCACGAACAAGCCGGAACCCGAGCCTCCTTTGCCCCATGCCAATAAACCCCGAGTCTATATGTCCTAAACCCCCGGAGCCTACAGCCTCTGACCTCGCTTGATTTTACCCTCATAGGAGCCCTTCAAGGAAGCTCTACTACCAAGGCCTTCTTGGCGTCCTCCTGGGGTGACTTGTCGTCGGTGGGGCCGAGAGAGAGATGCTCTGCATCCTGCGAGGGCTGCGGGATCCCTGAATGAAGGGGGTTCAAGGGGATAGGGTTTAGGGATTTCGGGGTTTAGGGTTCAGGGTCAGTCTTGTGACCGTTAATACTCACGAGGGGGGTCCTTCAAGGACTTGGCCACTCCACCTACTGGTACTGCAGATCCCTGTATTTTTGTATCCTTGTGGGAGGGGGCTCCAAGGGGCCACTCTGGTTCTCTCTAGTTCTGCCTAAGGATCCTTAAGGTTCCCTAAGGATCCTTTGTACCCTTGAACCACCCTCCCTCAAGGACCCTCTAACTGTAGGGAGCCCTTAAAAGAGCCTTCCCAATTATATAACTAAGTCCCATGATCCTCCAATCCAAGGGTGAAAGGAGGGACCCTTGATAAGGACCCCTAGGTATATACCCCTAATATAGCCATTGTATACCCATTATATAGCCCATTATGGGGTAGGGGTCCCCACTAAGGGTCCCTCCTTTTCCCCTGTGATCCAAGCTATGAAGCTATGGATCGAACCCCTGCATCGATACATACTTCTGCTGCTCTGATCACCGAATCGAACACACAAAACCACCCCTAAACCCTAAAGCTCTAACCCTTCCCCCGTAACATTAAAAAGCCTCCCCTACTATTAAACCTCGGAATTTTGCGGTTTCGCGCGCACAACTGACGGTTAACAGGATTGTGTTGCTCTTAATAGAGCCAAGACGACAGCAAGACGAAACCTACCAGGGGCGAGCAGGGCTTCGGGCTTTAAGGCTTTCGGCTTTAAGGGCTTAGGGCTTTAGGGTTTATAGGGCTTAAGGTTCAGGGCTGAGGGCTCTAGGGTATACCTTAACCCTGAAAAACCTACCTTTTTAGGGTTCCTGTTTATGATTTTCTTACATAAGTCCTTAAAAATGTAGGTTCTGCCGGGTTAGTGTATAGGGCTTGAGGCTCAAGGCTCAAGGCTTGGGGCTTCGGGTTTACTCAAAGGTTAAAGCTGCAGGCTTAGGCTTTAAGAGGGTTTGGGGCTTAAGGCTAGAGTTAGAGGCTTACTGAAAGGATCATGGGACGTAGCAACTAGGGTTACGATTAGGATAACTATACTTATAACCCCCAATTAAGGTACTTATGACCTTACTTACTGAGTCCCATGATCCTCCAAGTAGAGTTAGAGGCTTAGGGCTTTAGGGTTTTTGCGTTTAGGGCTTCCGCCTCGAGGTTTTGATGTGTTGGGCATTGGGTTTCAAGGTTTGAAGCCATACCTACCTGTTTATCTATCTGTCTGTGTGCCTCTGTCCAGCTATCTCTTTAATTACCTACATACTGTATCTGACCGACCCATACCCGGATGCCCGAATCCCCCCTCATATTAAACTCGGCCCTGGATGTCTTTTTGTTTGTGTTCGCGGGTGTTCCGTGTGATATCAACTACACTAGGGGAAAGGACTAAACCCAAAGCTCCTGAACCACAAACAACCCTCTAAGCCACAGAGCCTCAATCCAGAGACTCTGATCCTCCGTGCAAGCCTTCATGGTCCCCGAACTTTGAGCGCCCGTCCGCGAGATGGGCGGCATCCGAGCGAGTCGCGCGCAGAGGCTTGCAGAAGGTACTTAAAGGATTATGGGACTTAGTAACTAGGGTTATAATTAGGGTAACTCTACTTATAACTGCTTAGAACCCCCCCCCCCCCCCCCAATTAAGGTGCTTCTAATCTTACTTACTAAGTCCCATGATCCTCCAAGTAGTCGCCAGAAAGGCTTTGTCTCCTGTCGAGGCACCCGGCCTTGTGCGCGAGATCGCCGAAGGATCCAAGCTGCAGGCTCGGGACCACCCCAAGGCTCCATGTCATGTGCACATATAGTAGGTACTTAGGCCTTCAAGAGGTCCCTATATAGGCACTTTAAGGCCTAAGTACCTACTGTATGGGCACATGGAGCCTTTGGGTCTTCGACTCCCTGAAAGACAATGCATCTAAAATGGCAACGAGTGCGATGCCTAAGCTGGTTAATTACTATTTGCTTTTTGCTGGTGCCAACTCAGTAACAGTTAACATGTTGGAATACACACGGGTTATCAAAAACTGCCAAAAATGTCAAAGGTCACTTTGTATACTCGTCATATTATTCTGCTGACATCGGCCGCTGCTGCCGTAGGTAGCAAGGGGAACAGAAGTTTTGCCACTGACATCGGTCCCTAAACCTCAATGGCCCTAAGCCCTTAACACACGGCGCTACAGCGACTGCAATGCCTGCTTGGAGCGATGCAATGCCCAGTTCTTCCGCTGTTCTTATCCCGAACCCTCCACCATCCGCTAGCCCTAAACCCTACTTAAAGGATCATGGGACTTAGTACTTACTGAGTCCCATGTTCTTCCAAGTAGCCCTAACCTAATCCCCAAACCAAGTTCTGAAGTCAGGCGCCTCAATGCACGGCACAGGTTCTTCTTCATCCACCATCTTCGGCCTCGCACATCGGACAGAACCCTTGAAATGGTTTTGGGTTAATACGCTAAGGCGCTTACGGTTGAGGGGTAAGGGTTTCAAACGAGCAGCCCGGAGAAACTCTTTCGCTGGTTCGCGGTTTGAGGTAGAGCCTTGAATAAGGGCTCCATTTCACTTTCCGAAAATAGGGGACCCCAATATAGTCCCTAAATAGTGGGATCCTTATTATAAGGACCCCCAAAATAAGGTGCCCCCATTTTCGGAAACTCCCATTTCGGGATTTGTTTAAGGGGTGCTGTCTTCCCGACGACTGAAACCCTCAGCGCTACATTGCTATGCAGAAGCCGGTGAGACCCCACAACCCCTCTATAAAACCATGTATAACCCTCAAAAACACCAGTCTCACCTCATACGAACAAAGCCGCACTGCGCAAGCCAATGTTCCGAAACTAAATTCTGCGGAAAGCACTGAACACGAACCCCTGCAGAACTGTGCGGAAAGCCCTTGTAATTCCAACAGCCTGTAGTCACGTGTGCACTTAAACATTCTCACATACTAACACATACAAAACAGTCGTCAAAACCCCGAACACGAAGCCTACCTCATCAAATAACAAGTGCACGAAGCTTCACAAAACCTGAGCTATAAAGCCTTGTAAACCCGAAAGCCGTAAACCCTGGACCGTGAACCCAGTAACCCCCTAAACTCCTAAAAAAAACAACCTCTCAGAAAACCCCGCTCCTTCAGCCCCAAACCCTCAACACATAAACCGTATAACCCAAGATCTTTGCTCCCCGCAGAGGAACGCCAAACCCGAAACCACTGAACCGCTGCACCCCTAAACCCTAATTAGTCAACCTCGTACCCTCAAACGCTGAATCCTTACAGGAACGAACCCTAAGCCTAAACTCTTAAAGACACCCTCATTATACCCGTAGAGGAACCTTTACAGGAACCCACAAAAATACCCTTAAAGGAACCCTCAACCCAAACCTTGACTCTTAACAGGAACCCTAAACCCTTAAAAGGAACCCTAAACCCTTGAAAGGAGCCCCGGAAGCCTGAACCCTTATAGTAAGCCTTACAGACCCCCAAAATAGAAACCCTCGAAGGACACCTAAACTCACTGGCCCAAAACCCAAGGAAATAAAAGTTGAAACTATTAGAACCGACTACCTTATACGAGCCCCAAAAGTTGAAAAGTTTAGTTTACAGCCAATATCCCCCCAAACCCTAAAACCCTAGACCCCTAGACCCCTAAACCCCTGAACCCCTAAACCCCTAAACCCCTACAACCCTAAGCCCTGCGTAAGCCCCTCGGAGGCCTCACGGGGAGGAGGAGCTGTGGCTCGAGGCTCGAGGGGCAGCTGGGACGTGGAGGGTCCATCTGGGGCGGCTTTCGGTGGGGGTTTGTTGGGCTTATGGAGCTTAAGAGGGTTTAGGGTTCAGGGAGTTTAGTAGGTTTGGGTTTAGGGTTTAGGGTTCAGGGGGTTTAGTAGGTTTAAACCCTAAACCCTAAACCCTAAACCCTAAACCCTTTAGGTTTAGGGTTTAGGGGGGGGTTTAGGTTTGGGGTTGAGGAGGGCTGTTGGGGGAGTCTCAAGCTTTATAGGGAGGTGTAGGTTTTGATGAGGTTTTGGGGGCTTTTTGTTGGTGGGTTTCAGGGCTTAGGGAAGTTTAGGGGCTTTCATGGGGGCTTCAGGGCTTTTGAGGTTTAGGGTTTAGGCTTTAGAGTTGTAGGGCTTAGGTTTGGGGGTTTAGGGTTCAGGATTAAGGCTTGGGGCTTGGATAAAAAACCCACGACAGACTGCCATCAATGATGATTAACCGGGTAGCAGCCCTGATACAAGTTAGTTCGCACCCGGGCAAGCCAGAGGTGCCCACCAAGCCCTGGAAAGTATCGTCTGTTGCGCAACTAAGTTTTGCGGAGCTGTACCAGCTGTCAGTCCCCTGACCCCTCCAACAACAGTCAAGGTGCCGTATCGATGTCGAGAGATGGACGGGTGCTGGCCGATGACAGCTCCTTGCACTATACACTAGGTCCAAACACAGATTACGCTAGGTTTGCACCGGGTTCTTAGTCTGTGGTGGTTTCGTGACTGGGGTCGCGCCAGGAAAATCTAAACACTATTTTGTACAACCTATTTCAGCTGCCTACATTGACCATTCATTGAACCCCAAACTCTAAACCAGGAACTCTGGCGCTAGCAGGAAACCAACACATCTTAAACCTGTCTGACACACCTGTACAAGGAAGTAAAACTGCGGGTCACTATATGTCTGCGGTCGATGAGATAAATCCTGCATTACCCGTAAAAAGGACAATACCATCATTTCCATAGTTTAGGGTTGTAAGATCCTTAAGATCATCAACCGTAGCCGTTGCAGAACACGAAAGACCTAAGCAGCAGTGCTCTGAATATCAATGCCCCGAACAGAAGGGTCGCTTGACTTTAAGACAACATTTAGAACTCGCACGGAAAAACCTGCAAGTTCAGATAACGGTTCCCAAAACTTATACGACGCAGCCATGTATGTTGCTAGTATGTCCATTATGACTGTGACTGCTGATATGAGTTCATGGTATACCCATGTATATACATATATACACACACACATATCAGTCTCGCTCTCCATCTCACACTCTCTCTCTCTCTGTCTCACTCTCTGTCTCTCTCTCTCTCTCTCTCTCTCTCTCTATCTCTCTCGCGTGCCCCCTACGAAGCATCCCAGTTAGAGCAGAGAATGGTGACCTCGAGCTGGCGGGCTGGCAGACTGCGAGCAGCGCTCTCGTAAGCCTCCGGGATTTAAGCTCACTATAATAAATATCATAATAATAATAATAAAGAGCTTTGGGATTTTGGTGTGTGTAGGAGTTTCAGATCTGGGGTTCTGGGGTTTGAGGGTTCGAGGGTTCAGGTGTAAGGGCTTTGGCTGATGAAGCTAAATAAAAGGCTTTTGGCTGTTAGGAGCCTCCATCGCTGAGGCTCTAGGCGTGAAGAGAATTAGTTTAGCATTTAGGGCAACAAAATCCCACAAGGCTTTGGCTGCAGCTCAGGGCTCAAATATCAAAACCGCACCGAAATCTTTAAATTTCTGTTCCTCCAAGAAAAGATGAGTCATCAACCCTGCTTGCGCTAACGTCCGACAACCTGCAGGCAACTTCATCTTTCGCAGGCTTAGGGCCTGGGGATGCATAGTGCCTTCCTGTATGTACCTAGCCTAAGACTACTGAGCCGCGTCCTCGTGGCCCCTTGTGTCCGGCCTTGTTGTTAGCTTACTGGGGGCCTGTGCTAGGTTTATGTGAGTGTGGGGCTTGGTTTTGAGCTTGTGGGGCTTATTTGGGCCTTATTTCGGCCTTATTTTTTCCACGAAGCTGGCGTCCTTATTTCTGCCTTATTTTGGGCTTATTTCGGGCCTGTTTGGCAGTCCCCAAATAGACCTTATTTTGGAGGTAAGTGGGTGTCTATATCGGCTATTGGGGGTCTATATTATATTGCCTATGCCATCACCCACCCACACCCGCACACCCGCACACCCACACACCCACACACCCACACACCCACACACCCACACACCCACTCACCCACACAGCCGAAAGCCCACCCTGCATCCAACAGATCGGAGAAGTTCGCACCCAGCTGCATGTGGGAGGCAGCAGACGGCGCTGCGTGGTTAGCAGCCGACGTAACACCTGTTACGGCCAGCTCGCAGGACGTCCGTTTGGAGCTCCGGTCTGAAGGACGAGTAGGTTCTGGCGAACTTTCCGTTGATCGCAACCACTGCCGTCCATGTGAACTCCAAGAAGCAGGAGCTGCATATCGAAAGACGTTCATCTTGGCCTCGGTCCAGAGCTGGAGGGTCCTCTCCGACATGCTGCTTTGCCCACCTGAACAAGAGATCCGCGACAAGTCACTACCCTACAAAACCTTCCTTACTAGCGCTCCCTATTGTGATTTCCTTTTGGGGTCCAGGTGGGCCATCAACAACAGGAACAGCATTGCTGAGTCATGGCAAGGAGCACCATTGAGGGCTCACATAAAACCCCCTGGAGGAAATCCCTAAACCCTAAACCCTAAACCCGAGGAAATGAGGAAATGTTGCACCAACACCCCATGCCCGAAGCCCTGAACTCCGAACGAGCCTTGAGCTACACCGCTACAGCCGAAACGAAATCTAAGTCAAGCCCTAATCCCTACAACTCCTGAATCTCTCATAAACGCTATCATGAGCCTTATATAACCCTATGCTTCCAGGGACCTCATTATGGGGTCCTTAGGGGGTCTAGGGCCCTAACTATGAGGTCCTTGGAGGGATAGGGTAAGTCTAAAAGATGCCCTACGCCTCCACCATCTTCCGGCGGAAGGCGATCCATGAAGCATCCAACAAAGCCTCGAAAGCTGCCTTGCCGTCCTCGGAAGTGCAGAGCTGCAGGGTTCAAACTTTAGGGGTTTTACTCTTTGGGGCTGAGGGCTTTGGAGGGTTAGTGTCTAGGGTTTAGGGGTTTTACCCTTTAGGGCTTAGGGCTTTGGGGGTTTAGTGCTTAGCGTTTAAGGGGTTTAGGGCTTTAGGGGATTAGTGTTTACGGTTTAGGGTTTAGGGGGGTTAAAGTTGAGGGAGTTAACGGCTTTGGGGGTTGAGTGGTTTACGGCTTCAGTGCATGCTCCACCTAGCTGACATGTATGCCCTTCGAAACGTTGACTTTTCCATGGTAGAAACAGTAAGGGCGGCTTATTAGGATTTTGGGTAAGGGCTACCGGCAAGCTAGTCGCAAAAGCTAACCCGAGGACAGTCAAGAAAATGATGTTCACGAGCAAACTGTTCAGACTACCCCTTCAAGCTGAAACGAAACGGTTGGAGCTGTGTGGCGTTGCGGACTTTCAGGACTTGTCATGTATATAGACACAACAAGGAACCCTGCAATCATACAGTAATAAGGAACTCTGCTAAAGTAGATTTTGGGGCATTGAGGTAGGTCCTTAACAGGCTTGGCTTCAAACAACTGCAAAGCTCTGCCAAGAGGGCCTCGGGCTTTTTGGGGGAGGGTTTCGGCTTCGGGGGTTTGGGTTTGGGATCCCAGGACAAGGGCCTTGATTGGGGTGTATTTCCAAAGCTTCCCAAAGACTAGGGTTTTAGGTATCAAATCCCGTTCAGAGTATAATCTGTGGGACCTAAGACCCTACTACTTGGACCATCAGGGATTTACATAGTGTGCATGCGTTTCTTGATTCGAGAGCTGAGAGCTCGCAGTTTATGGTCCGGGACCCGGGATGTTAGGAAAGTTGTGGGGCTGACGGTTCATGGAAAATCGCTTCAGGCCTTTGCGAATAATTTCTAGAGGTTGAGTACGATAAAGCAAAAACTAGGTTTTCAACTATGGTAGGGCTAGCTACCTACATATATATATATATATATATATATATATGTATGCATAGGTGTCAAAATTAGGGTCCCGTTTGGGGTACCCCAAATACTAGGTGCGGTATTGAAGATAAAGACGCAGAAGGGACCATAATTTTGACAACCACTATATGTATGTATATATATATATATATACATATACATATACAGTAGAAGCCAGAAAGTTGGAACATCGTTAGCCTCATGCCCTTACAGCAAACTATAGCGAATCCTAGCGCTGATCCTCCTAAATCCATGTTCCAACTTTCTGGGGTTCACTCTATACGCATATGTGTATACACACAAACTGTCTAAAAGGTTGCAAAGGTTACCCCCAGCTCCTAAGATCAAAGCACTATTCGGGATTGAACGTGCGAAGGATTGTGGATCGCTTGCTCATGCTTCGGGGTTGGGCCCTATGGGTTCGGGTTTAGGGTTCGGGAGTAGAGAACCGGTCCTCCTGCCGGGACATGGCGAACGGGCAACGGCTCCGAATATCTGCTAGTCCGCAAGGTTATGCCCGGCCAACAAGAGCCAGGTATGAGTCCTTGGAGTGGAGGTTAAGGGATGCATAACGGTGATAGGGCGGGTGCGATGACGGTTAAAGAACTACAGCCCAACACTGAACAACAAACTATATACTATAGACTCGACCCTAAACAAGATTCCCTTAACCGCCTACATGGCCTGAACCAGCCTGGCATACCACAACTCAAATCGCCCCAAACCGCAAACCGCCGCGTGGGCCAAGAGAGATGAGAGAAGAGAGCTGCTGAGCCGAGATTGGCCGGGATGCAATACATGCTGTACTTGGAGGGGCAGGGGACGTAGTTATGAAGGGCTCCTTTAAGGGATCTATAGGGTTCCTTAAAGGGATCTATGGGGTTTAGGGTTTAGGGGATTACTTGGAGGGGCAGGGGACTTAGTAAGTCGTTTATAAGTAGGGTTATACTTAGGGTAACTTACTTATACCTCTACTTATCTCATCCTGCTTACTGAGTCCCCTGCCCCTCCAAGTAATCGACCATAACCTGCTATGAGAAACCCTAATCTAGAATTGATATATGGATAAGGCGAGGGTTTGGGGGGGTGGTCGGGGGCGCAATCCTTTAGCAGTTGGTGGCTTTCGGTTTCGGGGAGCCTACTGAATGAAGCCCTCAGTCCAAAACCGTGTATGGGTTGTTAAGGGGCTTCGATTTGAGTGTCTGTAGGATTTGCGGGATGCAAGGGTTGCGCGCTAAAGCTTTTTTCACATGTCAATTGTACGTTGTGTTGCAGATGTTTGTGTTCGTGGTGAGCTTTAGGTCCCTAAAGCGTGAACCCCTAAGTCTTCTTTCAAGGTCTTCGGCAGTCGACACTGAAGACATGTGTTTTTGCGTCTGATCCCTGTTTAAAGCTTGTCAGGGCATTGGCAACCAAGTCAACTATGGTTTTTCGGTTTGAGGGTTTAGAGTGTAGGGTCCAGTGTAGGGTATGAGTTTACAGTAGAAGCCAAAAAGTTGGAACATGGCCTTAGGAGGATTAGTCCTAGGATCCCTTATACTTTACCTTAAGGGCATGGGGATACTGATGTTCCAACTTTCTGGCTTCTACTATATGAGCTTGAAATCAAGCATTGTTGAGCGAAGAGGATCAGACGGCTTAAGCACACTTAAGCACCCTTTTCAGGTTACGTAACCCCCTGTTCTACAAACCCTAGACGCTAAGGCCCTAAACCCCAAACGAGTTTGCATGAACCCCGTGCTTTGGGATTGGAGCTCTAAGATCGAGGCCTTCCCTCAGGTTTCCTTCTCAGCTACAGGGAAAACTAATGGAGAGGACATGAAAGGACCTGTACTAGGGCTGCAAGCTTCTTATCATGTTTTCTGCACGCCAGAACCTCATCTTAGTTATCAATACATGAAGGCCCCTATCTTCAAACCCCAAGCCCTAAACCACAGCTGATCCTCGAACCAGCCGCAGTCACCCGTGTCCAACGCCCAACATCGAATAACCTCCCTAGAGGTCCAAGTGCCCAATTATCAAACACTCTCAAACACAGTAACCTAGATAACTACTATCCCAAACCCGAATACTTAATTCTTGGGTCCTTTGGACCCTTAGGGCCTTATCCGAAGGGTCCATGCCTCTGTGAGTCGAAAAGCTCCTTTCACTAGCCCACAGGCTCCATGTGCCTATATAGTAGGTACTTCGGTTGATGATATAAATCCTGCACTACCTTAATTTAAGGACCCTAAAGTATGGGAATTATGGTATATCCCCTGTTATGGGTAATGCAGGATTTATATCATCAACCGTTAGGCCCTAAAGTGCCTATATAGGGACCTCTTTAAGGCCTAAGTGCCTACTGTATGGACACATGGAGCCTTAGGGTAGGGTTTTCATACTTGGGTTGCCGTCAACTGCCGGGAGACCTTTACGGCTGCAGTACATACTATGAAAGTACATGGACCCTTATATAAACCCTAAACCCCAGACCCTTACGGTACCCGTATAGAGCCCTTATAGGAACCCTATTTTTTGGGTACATGAACCCTCAGCGCCCTCGGGTTCGCTTAACCCCAGCGCCGGGCAGCTGCCTTCTCGACAGTCAGGATGTAAAAAACACCGCCCGGCCTTTCATCTCCATTTGGGGACAAGAAGGTTTTTAGGGTTTAGGGTTTAGGTTTTAGGGTTTAGGTTTAGGGTATAGGGCTTAGGGTTTAGGTTTAGGGTTTAGGTTTCAGGGTTCGGGGTTTTAGGGCTTGCGGGTCTGGGTTCTGGCTCAGGGCGCAGGCTCTTGGCTCGTCTCTTTTCTTCCTCGCTTAAGACTAGCAACAGACTCCGAGTGGCGACCCGGTTGCCATAGAGCATGGCTGCCAAACAACACTGCCAACATCCCTTTTAGATATGGACAAACGAACTCAGCCCTGTCGGCTCAGATCTTATAACTGTTGAGCTCCACGCTGCCTGTGACGTGTTATCGACTGAACGTACCAGCCGTGACAAATATAATCCTGGAACAGCTCAACAAAAAGTGGACGTCTGAGTTGCAAGCGAGGTGACCTTCTTGACAAAGCATTTGTGCGAATGGGATAACTGAAATTCTTGCTTAGAAACACCTAGGCTCCACCACACCCCATGGGGGCTCCGGCGAAGGAACAAGCCGAGTTCGAAGTACCGCGCCCTTGGCAGAGCCTTGCAATATGCGGAGTAGGGTTCAACATCGAGGATTCAGAAATTCAGGGGCAACATAGAGGCCTGACTGATTAGAATGGGGTAGTCTAGTATACTGTAAAAGGGAACCCTGAAACATAAGATCGGTAAGTATTCAATTTTCTATGTTAGGCACATGAGTCGATGGCTCAGAGTCCAAGACAGTAGCTTCAGCGCTTCGATTTGAGGGTGCTAGAGTCCTGAGAATTTTGGATTCAAACCTCCAGACGGCCGAGAGCCCCTCAAGCTGAAAGACTACTCAAGAGGTTCCAAAGAAAAACTGGGCAAGCCCCTACATTTTTCAAAGGCTCAGGGAACTTGGTAAGTGCGGCTGCGGTAAGCTAGCTACAGCTGTAACATGTCGTACTTGCAACTCAGACATGAATATTCATTTATATAACCCCGATAAACCACTCGTAGCCTTACCTAGTTCCGCTGATCGTTCAAGTATCCCGAAAAGTCCATGTACCCATACAATGTAGTGGCCTTAACGGGTTGGAGGGTCAACTACAAAACCCCCTGGACATAACATCAGTCACGACATATTGCGGCCCACATATTAGTATATACTTTGGCCCTGACGTACATTTACGGAACCCCATCGGCGTCTCGATTGAGGCCTATGCACAGCCACGAACTCAGAGTCGGGCGAAAACGGGCTACGCCGTCTTTGATGGCAAAGCCTGCAAAGCCCTCCTGGTGCAAAAGCCGGCCTAAACTCCAAAGCCTAAACTCTAAATCCTAAACCGTGCAGAGAGCGTGCATGGCTGCTTATGGCTCTAAGGGGAACAGACACTTCTGATTGATTGTTAAACCCTTAGCTTTTTGGTGTCGTACGTGATATAAGAATGTTGTATACTTGTTCGGGGTGCTTGTAACATAACACAACGACCAACAGCAACAGGTATGTCACGTTCCATTTGACTGACAGTTGTGCCATCAGTGAAAAATATACAAACACAGCAGCGGCCAACAGCATGTGCTCCTGCTACCAGCTGCTACCATATCTGATGTCTGGCCCTTCTCCACGAGACAAGGGACAGGCTGATCTCTTGCTTGAAAATACTCCGCGTGTGATGGTTTTACTTGTTTTAATCAATCCACACCAGGCACTCGATGGCCAAGACGAACACTCCAAATCATGAGCCCAATGCACCCATACAACTACACAAACACTTTGTGGAACCCTACAAAACCACCGAAAACAACCTGCACGTAATGCCTATCTAAACCCCGATAAAACGTTTCAAATCCTCCCAAGCCAAAGCACGCTTGAACTCCGAAACCCATCCCTGTAATGTCGGTCCCTGTCTAAACGCCCTTGGGTTTAAAACTCCCGAAACCAGAACCCCGAACCCGTCCGTCAGGCAGATTTGCCGACACCGTGCCAGGCCAGGATCTGTCAATACAGGGCTTTTAGTGCTCCTACCTGCTATTTGGAGGGCCCATGTATGTATATATATATATATATATATATACATATAGATATATATATAACTACCATGATGAAGTTTCAACCCAACGACCATCTCTATCGTGGTTTCGGGGGCCTAACTTGAGAATAGTAGTGTGTTGGCACCCTCTTGGCTACAAGGTTTCCTATAAGGTTCGAAGACAGGGATATTAAACCTGACCTGTAGTTTCCATGGTAGTTCCTTTTTTGGGGTTACCCTATAGGATCCTTAACATGTAAGTGGTTAAACCAAAAAAGGAACTACAACGGAGACTATAGGTAAACCCTGAGCTGAAGGCCTAGCTCAAGCCCCAAAACCCAGGCATGGAGAAATTAAAAGACTCGCTGCGGAGCCACATGTTGCACATGATCTCGTCTTTGAAGGCGGTCATCTGAACGATGGTGGAGAAGCCCAAGAAATCCACATGAGGGGCAGGTGGGTTCCTTATATGAATCCTACTATTTTGGGATTTTAGGCCCTTGGTTTCCTAATCAGGTTCCTATAGTACCCTAAATAGTAGGATCCGAAAAATGAGGACCCCCAAAGTAAGGTACCCCCCAACTTTCGGAAACTCCGAACCCTTATTAGAGCCCTTCTAAGGAACCCTGATTATAGTACCCGTATAGTAACCCTTTACAGGAACCTTAAGGTACCCCAGTTTTCGGAAACTCTGTAGCTCATTCAAAGCGGCTTTCAGCTCCCCGCCGCAACATGTGGCTCCTCAGAGTTTAGGGTTTAGGGTTTGTCCTCCAACTGCTCCGTGTTCTAGATCCCCCTCTCGTTGTTGTGCTTCGGCATTCCTAGAGACTGCAAATCCCATGAAGGAACAGATCGAGTTTGTGACCATACTTCCAACGTTTATCTACAATTGGGTTTAGGGTTTAAGCGGGTTAGGGTTTAGGGGACTCTAAAGCCCGAATCTCCCCTTTCCAGGAACCTTTATGAGAACTAGGGTTTAGGGGGTGCGCTGCTTGCTTCAGGGTTTGGGGGTCTCTGGGCCGTACGGCCTAGCAAGGTCTAGTCTATAGTATCTTGACCTGGTTTGCCTTCCGAAACCCCAAACTCTCCCGAACCCTATACGTCCCAAACCCGAAACCACAAACGCTGGTTAAACCCCAAACCCGAAACCCGAAGCTCCCAAACCTCTAAAAACCCTAATCCTCCTCTGACCCCCCGCCCCACTCCCCCCCACCCCCATAGAACCAAATGCCGCACCTTTCTGCACGCGAGCATCGCTGCCTGCTCAAGAAGGCAGAAAGCTGAACATAGAGGCCTTACTTGGAGGTTTAGGGGTAGTTAGTTAGTAGGGTTTAGGACTTGCAACTCCCCGTACAACTAACCCATGAACCTCCAGGCAATCACCACATAGAAAAGACTAGGCTTTTCACAGGGTCTTCAACGAGGTCGACAAGAGTTCCATTGGGGCTAAGGCAACAGGATCTATGAGAAACAAAACTAGGTTTCGCGGGTATGTAACAATATGAATATACAGGGGCTTTGGGGGGGGGACATGTTATATACATATATGCTAGATCTTGACATATTCAAACCTCTACATCGGCTTTTGGGAGCAATCGTGACATCTAAACCCAAACTCCCGCTGGAGGGTTCAGGGTTCAATGTTTAGGGGCTAGGGTTTTTGAAACGCCCTGAACCCTAAACCCCAAACCCTAAAGCCCTGGCTCGACATCCCGACAGCTTCAAGCTCAAGGGTTCCAGATTTTGGAGGATGTATGTTGGGTACGGCCCCCACTCAGTAATAGTTGGGTATTATGCATAGTTTAGATGTATTAGGACCAAAATAGTAGCCCCATTATAGACTCTTACTGTATGGATTCAGTACCCAAGATGTATGTTGTTACCCGGCGGGTCCATGTGTTCTTCTACTATTATATACTTTGTGACTGTAACTCGTACCTATAAAGGGTTCCTAAGTATATGGCGAAGAGGTACATGGACCTTGTCAGGGTAAAGAATCGAAAGGCTATCAGGTTCTCAGGGCGTTAGGTTTGGGTTGATAGGGTCCCAACCCCAAATCTCGCCGACGAACCTCGGAGAGTTGCGAATTGCGAACAATATCCCCTCTCCTACCTCCACAGAATACTCGCGGTCTTCAGGGTTTACGGCTTGTGGTTTCGAGAACTCTTGAAAGAGAATGGGTTCTGCAAAGATCTGTATGAAACCCCTTATTATAAGACCCTAAACTCCAAAATTCCGTTAACCCTAGATGCCTCAGCAGCTGAAACTCCCAACCCCGTGAGCCCAACTTGGAGGTTCATGCGCAGTGATCAGTGGAGTCATATAAGTCCCCCCGATATGGGTTGTACCTATGGCTACCCCACCTAGAACTACTGCTGATGGACAAAATCCTGCATGACCTTAAGGACCCCAAACTATGGGAATTATGGTATATTCCTTATATTGGGTCATGCAGGATATTGTCCATCCACAGTACCATCAATGAACCTCCCAGTAGAAGCTCCTTCCCGAAACCGAAAGGCCTGGAAAGGCATCCATGTCGCGAAACACCTCCAGCCCTGGGAGCTTTCTTTGCACGTGCAGGCTTTGGGTTTACTTAGCTTTGGTTAGTAGGGAATGGAAGAATGGTAGTAACAGCTGTTATAATTGTACCCCATTCCTCCATTCCCTACAAACCAAAGGTAAGTTTAAGAGTTTAGGCTTCGGGGTTCAGGGCTTTCAAGGGCTTATGATAGGGGTATAAGGGCTTCCGTCGGTTGAATTCGTTGTCGAGGGGTTCAAGGTCTGGGGTCTGGCGGCTTATGGTTTTTTTGGAAGCACCCTTCCTTGCGGAAGCGCGGGGGGGGGGGGGGGGGGGGGGGGGGGGGGGGGGGGGGGGGGGGGGGGGGTTGTGGTTCAGGGCTTTGGGCTTTAGGGTTTGTAGGGGATCTAGAGGGCGCTCATAGCGTGTTCTGCGGTCGCCGACGGCGAGGGCTTTGCAAAGGTTTCATAATGATGCTGCAACCATGGATGTATGAAGCTGTCAGAAAGGCAAAACGAAGGCTTTATACGAGGCTCGTAAGGAGTTTATAGGAAGCCCTGGTAGGCTCTTCAGAACTTTGCACTAAAGGCTCAGGGATTCTTAAGCATTATGTTGGGCTGTCCATGTAGCACCGAGTCTGCGTGCACAGGCAGTTAGGAGTTGGGCTTCGGCGTGACCAAAGACTGCCAAAGACATGCATGGATCAGGCTTCCAGGGTGTAATGTGGGAAGCTGATTAAGAAACCCTGGGCCTAGAACCCCCAACATAGTAGGATTCATATAAGGAGCCCCAATGAAGGCCCAAGGTTTCTGAATCAGGCTCCTACATTGGGTTTTAAGGGTTTGGTTCTAGAGGTTTAGTTCAGGGTTTAGGGTTTATAGATTTGGGGTTGGCAGCTTCTGGATTTGGGCGTGGATTCAGGAACTCTGGGCTAGGGGCTTCAAGGATCGAGGCTTTAAGGCTTCAAGGTGCTTTTCAGACTGAGGTCGTGGTGCTTATAAGGCAACAAATATATTAAACAAATGAATGAATGAATGAATGAATGATTGAATGAATAAATGAATAAAAAATAAATAAACAAATAAATAAATAGATAAATAAATAAATAAATAGATAAATAAATAAATGATAGTAGTTACGTAGGCTAGTGTTGGAGAGAGTATGTGACTATCAACCACTTGAAACCTTACGGGACACGGTCTCGGCATTGGGCTTTGCAACTTCGGACGCAGGTGGAGTTTGAAGTCGTGACATATAGAATTGCGCACACGAGTGTCGTCTCGGTGATTCAGTATTGCAGAATCCGCTCTTTGCTCTACTACTGTAGAAGAGGGCCTACATTGTCAGCATTCCCTCCCACATCCGTGCTATGCAAACCGCAGAACTGTCACATAAATCCTACAGGAACCCAAATAGCGAAATACCTATAGTCTCCATTGTAGTTCCTTTTTGGCGTTACCCTACATAATCCTTAAAATATACTTTTTTAAGCCAGAACAAAGAACTACACTGGAGACTATATGTAGGCCATCCTAGCGAGGCGGACGTCTCATTCTAACTTCTAACCCTCGTCTGCTTCGGGCCTGCGGAACCACAAGCTAGCTGCTGATCTCTCTGCCCATGTGCGGCCGTTCGCTACCTTAACACCAAATAACCTACCGTTTTTAAGGACTTTTATTATGGGAAGTGAGATAAGGATCCAGAAAAGTTCGGTTTTTGTTGGCTCAGGAAACCTTTCAAACTCTATACCCTGCGAGCTTTTATGTCAGAAGCAGCTGGAGCTTACCCTAACCTGCACCGAAAGTTCTACAATTTTCTCGATGTAGTGACTAGCATCAACAACCTCTCTATTGGGATTTCTTAGTGCAAGGGATTCCTGATTACAAGAGTTACACCTTCGTTTTGGGGTGTCCATTAAAATTCGCCCTGAGCTTAAGAACTGAACCCCAAACCCCGAACCCTAAACCCCAAACACTAAACCAGGCCTATGGACACCGCAGTCAGCTGCAGCAGATGGAGCCGCGGAAGGGGGCAGCTATCGCTGCAGGACCTTGAAGGTTCCAAAGATTGCTTAACAAGTGAATCTACAAGGGCTTTATGGTAGAAGCCAGACAGTTGGAACATTGGTATCCTCATGCCCTTAAGGTAAAGGAAAAGGGATCCTAGCACTAATCCTCCTAAACTCATGTTCCAACTTTCTGGCTTCTACTGTAACGTTATATAAGGTTTTAGGGTTCTCTAGTTGGGAGTTTCCGAAGATGGCGGACCCCAATACAGTACCGTAAATTGTAGGATCTTTATTGTAAGGACCCCAAAACATGGCACCCCCAGTTTTCGGAAACTCCATTTAAGCGAGCTGAGGATCACAGGGGATTCGTAACTACGGTTCCAAATAAAGTAACTATATTTTTAATTACTCATCGCCCCGAATTTGGTACAACTCTTGCGCCCATGATCCTCCAAGTAGCCTTTTGTTAAGACAGGGCTCAGGTTTGGGCGTCGTGGCATCCATGTCGGGGCAAGCGCGGTACCAGTAGCGTCAGACAGTCGTCATTCGTAGATCCGTCGTACCCAACAGTTCCAACCAGAGGATTCTTTACGCTGAGCATGTCCTGCATCCTACTTGGTGAGGCCACTTAGCGAGGTTCCGGTCAGTCTGACACAACTTCCGCCAACAATTTCTGCCGCCCAGCTACGCACCAAGACGATTAAGCGGTTGAATGGTTCCACGAGCCCCAATCTTTAAATCCCTGAAGATGGGTTATCAAAATCGAATAAGGAACCCTGAGGAAGAGTATGGATAATCATGCGAACCCCAATGCCCTATACTAGTCAAGGCACCTCAGGCGACCCTCCTTCCACTGTGATCGGAGAGCCTCCTCCTGCAGACAACGATCTGTGACGGCTTCAGCTGACTTATGAAGGGATCTGTAAGTGAAGGCTTGTGTATATAGAATTTATACGGGTTTAGAGTGAAGGGTTTAGGGGCTTCAGTGTTTAAAGGTATGTGGAATGATCGCCGTTTATAGGTGCTGGGTCATTATTGGCCTATTTTCGCGGGTTTAGGTAACGTTTTAGGCTTCGGGTTTGAACGGTTTACGGTCTGCGTGTATGGATTCAGAGCTTACGCATTAATAGCACACACATCCCCACAAGACAAGATACTTATGCAACGCCTAATAAGCATTCGGCAACGGGATTCCTACGTGAAGGTACAGGGCGCAAAATGCAGGAGTCTTGAAGTAGCCTGTTCATGATCAGACGACGAAAGGGCTTGATAACGAGAACGGAGCTTTGGCATATGTCACAACACAACTGTGCAAGTTTTCAAGGGGCTAGAGAGGGCATGCTTTTCCATTTATTCAAGCCTCTATATTGACTGATATTGGGCTCGCGGTCGCGGGTAGCAGCTCAGAACCCTAAACCCTAAACCCAAAGAGCCCTACAAGGAATGTGGCTTTTAGTTTGGGCATCTTTGGTATTTGTGGTTGGCGTTCCAAGTAACATGGGACCTCCTCTTACTGAGAGTCAGCCTCCTTCTTCAAGAAGGTTTACGGCTTAGTCTTTAACTACTCCCCAAAACCATAATCGGTATTTTCGTTTGGGACCTAATTCCAGAATGGTAGTATGGGGTTCAGGGCAATCTTTAATTTGAGATTCATGTGGGATCCAGGTTCTTGAGTAGCCTCTTTACTATAATAAGGGTATCCTTTTTCCCACTACTCGGGTTTAGAAAGGTGACCCCAAACTAGGCAAAAAGGTATTATTCAGGAACCTAGTCGAGCCTAAACCGCCATAGATCCCTATACAACCCCTTCAGGCTCCCAAAAGGCCGCCACCGGCTTAAGGGGCTCACACGATTCAGCATCGTGTTCTCGCCCTCACATGTACTTGGAGGTTCATGGGTAGTAAGGGTCCTTTTAAAGGGATCTATAGGGATTCTATAAGGGTATAGGGCTTAGGGCTTACTTGGAGGTTCATGGGTTGTTATAGGTGTAGTTATAAGTCCCCTAATATGGGTTATAAGTATAGTTACCTTACTCATGACCCCACTTATAACCACCCCTGAACCTCCAAGTAGGGCATGTTGGATGGCTGCCTTCAGTGATTCAGCGATCACGCGTCTTGGCTGTTGAAGCCCTATTATACATGCTAAACTTTGCTGCTAAACCCTAATGCCCGAAACCTGAAGCCCTAAAACCCAATCAACCTAAACCCGATGCTTACAACTCTCCACCCTGAACCATTCAGCTCCGGGAAAATCAATCAACATCCTCCGACAAAACGACGTCAAGAGTTGTACAGCACACAACAGGACCAGTCTGAAACGGGTCTTACTCCTCCATAGCCCCTATAGGGTTTAAGGCTTTAGGGTTAAGGCCCTACAACCTACCCAAACCTCTGTATCTAATGATGCCGAATACTCTTGATAAGCTCGACACTCTGATCCCCCATCTGAAAAGTAGGCCCTAAGCCTACAGACGGAAAGCTGAAACCCCAAAAGACCATGCCCAAACCGCTTAGGAGCATAACTTACTACAAGTCAGTAAACAAAAACAACTTATACAACCCTATAGACCATTCCCTGAACATTAACACCTTCAGGGAATACCGGAAAAGCTTGCAAAAGAAATCCGTCCTCGGACTGAGGGACGAGGCGAGCTTCGCTGCCGTCGGCGCCCAACCTCTTGTAATACGCCACAAGGGTTCAGGATTCAGGGCTCAGCATTTCAGGTGAAGTGTTCGCGGATGATTTTTCATCAGACCCGGACCAGGGTTGCTATGGGGGTTCGTAGGGTTTGACTGACGGGTTCGCAGGTTTGGCTATGAGGCTTCAGGCTGTTTAAGGTTTAAGTTTAAGGGGTTTGCGGGTCAGTTTTTCAAGGTCTCAGGAGTTGTAGTCGCAGGCTGCACCGTGCGTAGCCTTAGGAACGTTCAGGGTCCGAGGGGGCCGGGGTTTCGGCTCCTAAGTTATGATGAATGCATCCTGAACCCGGAGCCCTCACTGCCCGGACCCCCGCGAGCATCTAGAAAGTAGATCTCCAAATTTGGGGCCCTATACTGTACTACTAAGGGTAATTACTTTATAGGAGCCCCCATTGACTGATCTACTTTTAGGATCCTCTCGGGGGTCTGGGTGGAGCAGCAAAGACCGCATCATGAAGACTCGACCAAGGCCCCACACGCTCTAGGCCACAGCTTCACGTGACCCTGCGATATTTGTGATGGAAGCCCGCGAAGAGAATTCGAGCTGTAAACGATGGAAGCCCTGACTCAAACCACGAAACCCTGCCCTAAGCCTAACCCATTATGGTAGGATCCCTGAGATGATTCAAGGAATATATTCCTTAATAAAGGGATATCGGAACTCCCTAAACCCTATAGCCTATGGATCCCTTCAGCCTCCCAAACCAAACTCACAAACTCCAAGAACCTAAAGCACCCTCTTATAAAGAAGAAGAGGGAGGTCATCGGCCGATGGCAATGGCTCCGGTGCTGCCGGTGCCGGGCAGACAGAAGGAGAGTCTTCCTCATCCTTTGATCCTTTGGCAGAGGTTGCAAAGTGACCTGGTTCGGCTTTTCCGAAGAGTCGGAACTCTGCGAGCTTTGCTCGTTAGGAGATCCTGGTCCGCTGGCGGTTCTACCTGCAAGTGCTTCGACTCTTTGGGAGCATCGCGTCTTGAAGCTGCTCTTGGGGTAGGTTCCTCCGGCTTGTCCTCAGAGCTGGCTTCAGTAGCAGGCGAGGTCTCCTCAACCTGCGTAGAAGCGTGGGTCTCTGGCGGTTGATGCACAGCAGCAGCTTGTGTCTCTCAGGGCCGAGTTGGCTGTGCTTGAGATTCTTCCCCAGTCGCGGGGCTTGGGGCCTCAGCTTTAGGTGAGGGTTCCTCGACCTGCATGCACTCTAAACCCCAAACCCTACTTGGAGGTTCATGGGTCGTTGCAAGTGTAAACGAAAAGCCTCCCCTAATATGGGTTTATAATTCTAGTTACCTTACTTAGAACCCGACTTACAGCTAGCCCTGAACCTCCAAGTAAATCCCAAACCCTAAACCCCAAAAGGCTCCATGGTACCCCATAGAGTAAGTACTTAGGCCTCAAAGTACCTATAATAGGAACCCTCTTTAAAGGGCCAACGATACCTACTGTATGGGCAGACATGGAGCCTTAGATGCCCCAAACTGTCGACCCCCGAATCACAAACTCCTGAACTTCGGGCCTGAGATACCCTAGCCCGAAGAAGCTAGGTTACTAGGTTTTGAAGCGTTGGGTAAGCTGTCAAGAGTTTAGGGTTTTGGGTTTAGGGTTTAGGGTTACTCCACACTCCCGACCCGAACCACAAAGCTCGTAAAGGCCTAAATCCTAAGCTTAGCAGGCCTCAGCCCTGCAACCTCAACCTCGCACCTTAAAGGCCTCAGCCCGAAACACAAAACCCAAAACTCAAAAGCTTAAACCTTACCCTAAGGCTCTAAGGACTTTTGGGCGATTTTGAGTTTTTAAGTTTAGATAAAGGCCCAAACCCTCTACCCTGAAAGCCTCAGACCTTAATCCCTCGACCCTGAGCCCTAGTCCCGAATCTGAAACACTACCCCAATGGTCCTAAAAGGGGTCCGGGGCTTTGTCGTGGAGGGTTAGGGCTTTGGGGGGCTAGGGTTTGAGATCTCAGCTGAAACCTACCTAGAGTCCACAGTGTAGTTCCTTTTGGGGTTTAACCAAGTATATAAAGGATCCTACAATGTAACCCCATAAAGGAACTGCAATGGAGACGATAAGCAGACCTTCAACGCGTCCCCATACCTTAAACCCCAAACTCCAAGGTCTTAACCCTAACCCAAAGGCTCTAAGGACTCATATGTTGAGGCTTTTGGGCCTACCTAGACCCCCAAAAGTAGGTAAAAAATGGCCCAAAACCTATAAAAGGCTATTATTCTACATACTTTTGGGGTCCAGGTAAAGACTATGTTCTATGAGGCTTCTGGGCTATGCGGGGCCTTTTGGAAACCTTAAGGGCCTAAACCCTAAGCCTTACTTACACACCCAAACCTTCATCGACTAAACCCGACACGTCAAAAACTAAACCTGGAAGGCCTAAACCCTAAACACTAACCCTAAGGCTCAAAATAGCCCAAAAGCATCTATATAGTATGGTCTTTAGGCCCCAAAAGCCTCAAAATATGAGTCCTTAGAGCCTGAAGGCAAACCTCAACAATCGAAACCCTCAAGCCTGGAGGCCTAAACTTAAATCCCCAACCTCAAAGGTATAAACCCTGAAGCTCTAGCCCGAAAAACCCTAAACCCATAAACCCCCCAGCTGCGACATTATCAAGGCTGTGGCTCGTATCCGGAGCTACCCCGCTCAAGGCACGCCTGACATCTTCAAGTTTTCGCTTAGGGCTCCTTTCAGGGATCAAAAAGGGTTCTATTAAGGGTTTAGGGTTTAGGCTGGGAGTTTCAGTCAGGGCTCTAAGTACTAAGGACTCATATTTTGACTTTGGGCGTGAAGACCATGATGTATGAGGCTTTTGGGCTATTTTGAGGCCTAGGGTTACAAGGGTTTGGGGTTTAGGGTACATCGTAGGTTTTTGACAGGGTTTCAGAATGCTTTGGGTGTATTGAGGTAACTCTATGGCCATGGAAAAGATTTGGAAAGGTGAGAGCAAGAGCCCTAAAGACAATCATCGGCAAATATTCAGGCTTCGTTCTTAAGTTCCTTATATGTAATGCCTTCCTGGATCTCCAGCCGCAAAATCCTTTCGGAATCTTTTCGTGGTAGAACCTAGGCCCCCCAAATGCCCTTTGATGTACCCTAAATAGCCACTATTAAGGACCATAAGGGCTCTACTACGTTGCAGACGGATCTTCGGGCAGATGCGGGAAGCTGGGGCTGGGCCGGCGGATTGTGCCCGGAATCGTCCACGTTTTGGGATTTCGAGACGGTTGAAGGTTTAGGGTTTGCACGATGGCGAGATTCGCGCACCCTGAACTTACTCGAATACCATGGAACACTATCATAAATCAATAGTCATTCGAATCGGGCTTGGGTGTGCAGTGATCTGTGACTTATTAAGGACTGGAAGGGGGTACGATTTCCAATCATATTCTAATTGCCGCCATGTAGTCAGTTTCCCAACACGACAGTTCCAGGTCTGGTGCATTTGCCCTGGCCGTATGCTCGAACCCACCCACACACTCGCAGAACTGTCCCAAACATCATTATGGCATTGTGCAACAAAACCTCGATCGACCTAACCGAACCGGTGACAACCAACTAAATTGATATGCCCAAGCCATGCCAACACGGCTCAATGCATTTCTCGATACAAGGCCTCGTCAGGGTCAAAGTCCCCAGCCCTGTGCCTTTCACAGAGCTGTTTGAAGGGCAGCAAAAGTTTCTTCGGATGTTCTCGAACGTACATCTCGAAGCTCACCCGCAGCGTCGGAGGGAATATCGTCAAGGGAATTCTCCTCATCCCCCAAAAGATTGGTAAACGGCAAACGGCTTGAAACCAAATCATTCAGAATAACAAGCTAGCAATACTCTAACACATATCAGGAAGGCACTTGTTTATTTATGTTCAGAGACTACAGCAGCAACCCTAGACTTAGACCCAAAAAAACACAAGCAATAAGTCCTGAATCCTCGAACGAACCCGAAAACCTCTCATAAATCCCTGACTCTGACTGAAAAGACCAACAGCTGCACTGAAGAACACTTGCCGGACGCGCCCGTTGACACGCCTCAATGGCAGCCTGCTCCACTTCCGAGGTGTTCGAAGGTTAAGGGTTTAGGACTTCAGGGTTTTAGGGTTTAGGGTTTTCAGGTTTTAGAGTTTATGGGGATTGAGGGCTTTAGAGTTTAGGGTTTTGGAGTTTAGGGCTTTAAAGCTTAGGGTTTATGGGTTTTGGAGTTTAGGGTTTTAGGGTTTTAGAATTTAGGGCTTTAGAGTTGTAGAGTGTAGGGTTTAAGGGTTTTTGAGGGCTGAGGGTTAGGGTAGGAGTCTTAATGCTTAGGCTGGGGTTCCTTTAAAGGGCCCCTTCATGTGTACTATCTTGGATCTAGCTTTTAGAAGTTTAGGAATGTTACTAAGGTTCATGTAAGAGTAGCCTGAGAGGGTCGAATACTTGGAGGATCACGGGACTTAGTAAGCAAGGTTATAAGTACCTTAATTGGGGTTATAAGTAGTTATAAGTTATAAGTATAGTTACCCTAGTTATAACCCTACTTACTAAGTCCCATGATCCTTTAAGTAGGGCTCCTTGAAAGGCTTCCACAAAGGTTGTGTAAAAAAGAGTTTAGGTTTGGGAACCTTATAACCGTTACAAGAGGGTCTAGGTTACATCTAGTGTCGCTCCGACGGAAACCGAAGGAACAGTCTCACTACTTAGAGGGAACTCCAGACAGTTGGAATATGGATTAATGGTAGGATCCCCTATAATTTACCTTAAAGGGGTTACGATAATGATATTCCAACTTTCTGGCTTCTACTGTACTCAGGTTCTGGAGCAAGGTGCTAAAGGCTGTAAGGAGCTAAGCGGCTAGGGGCGGTTAGGGGATTCTATAAAGCTCAGGGTTGGACTGGATGGGGGGATCGGGGTGCAGAGTTAGACTTCCGGGGTTAGTAGGAGCAAGAGTTAGGATTGCAGTTGAGACACAACTCATATCATCCCCACCTCGAAGCCCTGCAACCAACTACATTGAAGTGTGTTGGGGCTCTAACGCCTGTATGGCCCAGGGTTTTCGGCCTTTGGGGGCTTTAGGATGCTTTGGGTTAACCGGCAATCCACAGGTAATGCAAGGACGGACCTCCGGATGCCCATCATTATCCAACGGCAAAACGATGCGGTCCTGGATGCCTCCATGGCTGTCGATGCAACAGGCATTTAAGGGTAAACTGCAAGGGTACTGTTTACTTCACGGATCATCGGAAACGGCAACTAGGCTTAGGAATGAGGAAACTTGACTTACCATTGCTTGTAGCCCCAATTGAGGTACCTAGAAGCTTACTTACTACGTCCCATGAAGTAAGGGTTGGGGTCTAGGAATTCAGGCTAACCCTAAACCCTAAACCCTAAGCCCTAAACCCTAAACCCTAAACCCTAAACCCCTAAACCCTCAAGGGGCTCGCACCCAAAAGGCTTCGGGTTTCTGATAGCGGATGCCACGCAGATTCTCAGGAACTGTAGGTTTGGAGGCCTACTCCCTAAGGCTCCATGTAGGTCATATAGTATATACGGCCTGAATTAAAGTACTTATGTAGGCACCCGTTTAAGGCTTAAGTATCTACTATAGAAGTACATTGAGCCTTTGGGACTGGTACCGTAACTTTACAAGGGCATGCCTACATCCTGGCCTTAACCCCTCAATCCTAAATCTAAAGGATTGGCTTAGGACCTCAGGTTTGGGGGATCTGTAAGTGCCCAAACTCAACATCTCTAATCCATGCTGCAACACAGTAGATGCTAGTGAATCCGCAACACCTCCTTAACTTAAACACCCTTAAATCACTGAAGCCCTGAACCCCGAAACTACCGACTCCTACAGATGAAGATATTTGTCCATGAGTTAAGACATCTTAATGACCGTGCAAACGCAGTTCTACCAAAATTGGGCTTGCAGGGGCTAAGCCAGACATACAGGAGTACTGCGACAACAGGATCCGAAATGAGCCGAATGTGCTTGGAGGCTATATGCAAGGACGTCATATTTACGAGAATGGCCTCCATAAAATTACTCTATAAAGGATCCTGGATTATATGACCTGACCGAATTGGGTTTAGGGTTTCGACTAGAGTCTTTACAGACTACTGTCTATAAAGGATCCTGGACTAAATGAGCGAATCTCATACTCCGAAAAGTATACTCCTGCAGCCCTTAGAGCAAAAAAAAACCTATAACCCCAAAGCCCTAGAGCCCTAACACCCCCGCCGCCGAAAACAAAATCTCAGACTTTACGGTTGGGATGCAAGTACACCGGACTGGACGGCAAGCAACTTCTTGACATTCGTAAGTACAGAAAGCTAGCAGCAACCACATGTTGTATGCCATGGTATGCCCCAAGTCTGAGCCTCTAGACCCAAACACGAAGCCCTTACGACACTGCAATGGACCACGATAATGCACGGCAAATGCTGTTACAAATAAATGCCAAGGCAATCCCGGGATGTCACAACTCTATGCCCTAACCCCTATGCAGCCGCGAAAACACACGACTCAAGCTACAGAAGCCCTAAACATCCACGCAAGATACCCATTAACCTCCAAGATTTCCATGTCAGTGTTGCGTGTTGGGTTTTGGTATTTCTACTTTCGGCCGGGTTTTGGGTTTTGGGTCTGGAGGGATGCGGTGATTGGCAATTCGCCCCCATACCCAAACCCTGAACATTCCAGTGGCCTCCCATGTCATCCTTGGGGCGGCTGGGTACCTCAGGGGCAGCTTCGTGAAAGCTAAACACGAGACTGGACCCTGTCAGGCCTGCCTAAACCCGAAACCTTGAAGCTTACACTCAAAACCAATGTTGCAAAACCTAAAACTGAAACCCTAAACCCTAAATCCGTTATCCCCAACCCAGTCGTGCCTGCGCCTTTGGCGAGACGGGCTCCAGCTCCACCCAGGTAGCACAGAGGCGGACCTCTGGCGGTGCAGGGTGTAGTGTTCTGGGTTCAGTGTGAGGCTTCCGGTTTAGGGTTTAGGGTTCTTGTTTCACACTCCAGTCCTTTGGGGTTGCTGTTTTCTTAGTCCTCTGCTATGGGCTTTAACTATAGCTACCTTACTTAATACCCCACTTATAACTAGCCCTGAACCTCCAAGCTCCAAGTGTTTTCCTAGAGTGAAATCGGAAAGGATCACAAGACATCGGCGTATCCTGCTCGGGCGACGATTGGACCATGTCTACTTGGAGGTTCCGGGGTAGTCCTTAGTGGGGTTATAAATAAGGTAATCACACTTATAACCCGTATGAGGGAGCTTATAACTCCACTTCGAACTATCCATGAACCTCCAAGTAGCAAGATTTGCGAGAATTCGGAGTTTTGTGGCAGGGTTTCAGGTTTAGGATTCTCGTTTATGACTTTAGGGCTCAGGGTAGTTAGACTGTTCATAAATTCCTTGACACTGAGTACTAGCTAGACAAATCCCGTGGTCTCAGAACTGTTGCTGCCAGCACCTACTGATGCATGAAAAGTGGCATGTACTCCAGGGTGTCATCCCCCGAGGTCTGGGGTCAAAGGACCGTTCAACGATCTGCTTCACGTTTGAAATAACGAAGTTCACCACAAGCCGGCTGAGGTGGGTCGTAGCATGTCGGAAGTGGGAAGACGTGGCTCTCCCTAGCCTGCACCTCGTGGCGCAGAGGAGCTCTGCGTCCGCAAGCAACAAGTCCCTCTGTCCCACCAGCTGTGAAGCAAGAAGTAAAGCCACCCGGCCTTCACGGGGTCGTCACATGTGAATAGTTTGGCCGGCCATTTCTGCGGCTTTGTTCCAAGAATCGGACTGACTCGATTCAGAGCTAAATCCTCAATCCAAAACCCTACACCACAAAAGGCAACCCTGCCAACCCTAAGCTCCAAACACGGTAAACCCACGACAACCCATGACCTAAACCCTAAACCTACCTAAACCCTCCAGATTGCCAAGAAATTCAATGGCAAAACCAGTCATTTAAATCCCGAGCCACTAAAACCCCCAAATCCTTTAAATCCTGCATCCTAGAAGCCTCATGTCCTAAATCCTAAACTCCCCAAGTCCTTCAGTCCTTAAATCTTCAATCCTGAGCCCACCCAGCCCTTACCTTGGGTTAGTAGGGAATGGAGGAATGGGGTACAATTACAACTGCTATTACTACCATTCTTCCCTACACCCTAAACCCATAACTACCATGACTGCCATTCTTCCCTAAACCCTACACCCTGAACCCTATTACTACCATTCTTCCATTCCCTACTAACCAAAGGTAAGAGCCCGGACCTCCTCCGGAATGTACAGCACCGTCTGGTCGAAGCCTCAGCTTGCCCAAAGGGTCCGAAGCACCTTCCCAAAGTGTCCCATATACCGATATAGTAGAATGTAAGGTTTCCATGTTAGGAATTAATATTATGACTTAGGGAAGTATCCCCCATAACAGTACAACGGACCCTTTGGGCTTTAAGGGGGGTGTAGGGTCGAGGGTTTGTGTGGGGATCCAAAACACACCCTGTCGGAATGCACCTTTGACGCGCACAAGGTCGAAGCTGTCAACCGTGCAATCGAGATCACGAGGGCCAGCAGCTGCATTCTGACTGCCAAGCCGCTCTGCCCAGAGTGCCATGGTCCGGGCCACCAAGTCTACTGGCGGTCCTTGGCGCTCCCCTGAAAGCTGCTACTCAGCCGGCCGAAACCTCCGATCTGCAGGAAGAAGCGACTCGGACAGCCACTAGATTATATACTGATTATACTACAAGTATAGTATAAAATACCACCAAAACCCTTATCTATCTGTAAAGGCCCCTATAGTACTGTTGATGGACAAAATCCTGCATGACCCTAAGGACTCTAAACTATGCGTATAATGGGTAATGCAGGATTCTGTCAATCAACAGTATCATCAACTGTCGCCAGTTCTGCAGCGCTTCTCGGAGCTCCCACACCTGCTGACGCTCCTGCTGTCGGCGGTGATATGGGGGTTTCCGAAAATAGGGGACCCTAATATAGTACCCTAAGCAGTAGGACCCTTATTATAAGGACCCCCAAGAATAAGGTACCCCTAATTTTCCGAAACTCCGATATGATGCCGGTCTCGTCCTGGGAAGTCATCCTTGGCTCTTTTTCCTGCCACCTGACAGTGAAGAAAGGCGAGGGAATGCTTTGCAGCCTCAGGGTGTCAAGTGCACTGGGGAGATTCCGGCAAGATGCCGTACTTTGGTTAGTATTCAATGGAAGAATGGTAGTAATAGTAGTTGTAATTGTATTATAGTAGTTGTACTTGTACCCCATTCCTCCATTCCCTACTAACCAAAGGTAAGTAGCTAGAGAATGCTTGACAGCATCTGAAGCTGGGTTGCACGTCGCTGGTGCTACATTCTCGCCTTGAGGGTCCTTGATAGCCTCCAGTCTCGACCTCTTTCCCCAACACTCCATGTGCCCATATAGTAGGCACTTAGGCCCTAAAGAGGTCCCTATGTCGGTACTTTAAGGCCTAAGTATATACGGTATGGGTACATGAGCCTTACTTGGAGGTTCTTGGGTAGTTATAAGTGTAGTTAAAAGTCCCCTAATATGGCTTATTATAGCTACCTTACTTATAACCCCACTTATAACCAGCCCTGAACCTCCAGAAGGCTCGACCAACCAACCCAACTACCCTAGGTCGAAATCTACTAAACTGCCCCATTTAAAGGTGCTTCCCTAGACTTAAACTCCCCAACTACCCTTTAATATGGCCGAAATACCCACTATTAAGGACCATAAGGGCTCTATGCAGAACCACTTGAAATGTCCTGGTCGGACCCTTTGAGCCATGTGACCACCCTAAACCCACCCTACTTCATGTACCGATATAGTAGATACTTAGGCCTTAAAGTATCTATATAGGGGCTCCTTTAAGGCCTAAGTTCCTACTATATGGGTACATGGAGACCCTAAACCCTGACCTACGGGCCCAGGTATCTCCTTAGTAGGGTCCGGAATGTCCTAGGGAGAGTCCTTGGGTCTCTTTGGAGTCTGAAAAGCCCTCAATTTTGAGGTTCCCCAATTTGTTAGGACCCTTACTTGGAGGGTCGGGGGACTTAGTAAGCAGGTAGTAAGTAAACTTATAAGTACCCTAAATTGGACCCTATTTGAGGTTACGGTACTTATAAGTCCCTCCAAGTGGGGTAAACCCTGAATCTCCGAGGGAAAGGTCTCGAGTTTCACCGGCGTTCCATACGCAGCCAAGCCGCCGCTTCGCAAGCAGGACAGCAGCTCCTGCATGACGCTTTAAGAGGGGTCGAGAAGTGTACTTATAATAAGGAACCCCAAAAACTTAGTATAGGTTATTACTAATATGGCCCCTATATTAATAATATAGGGGCCTTAGGAATTACCTATTCTATACTAAGTTTTTTGGGGGGTTCCTTATTATAAGCATAATAGTTTCAGAACCCCAAGAGCCTATTCTGATTATAAATATTTAGGCCCTTACGTTCTGGCGGTCTTAGGGGTCGTTCAGGGTGGGTGTGGTTCGGAAGTTTCGGGCCCAGGGTAACAAAACCGGAAATGTCTCTACCAATCGAAAGAGTCTCGAAGTCTGCGCGTCATAAAACGGGGTGCCAGCGTGACAACGAGTGGTCCCAATGTCAGCCTCTGCTGTTCATGCGCGGACGGCCGCACCCGGCTGTACATCGACCCACCCTGCTGTGCTGCGCAAGACTCAGACGCGCCTTAGAAGCATCTACTCTGAGATCTCGTTGTCGTGGTCATCTTCTGGAGGCTTAGAACTCCGCCGCAAACCGTCCGCACTCCACGTTTGCGCCGTCGCCACATAGTCGATGGCAGTTTCAGCGAATCGACGCCCTTGCAAGGGTGCAAAGGTGGACATGCAGCAATACAACATACAGCAATACAAGCTAGACACAACACACAACTTCGCAGACGAAGCGCGCTTGCACAACTCTGACGAGCGAACCACCGCTGATGTGCTTCTTACTACCCCAGGACTACTTCAGAGGCCTGAAAACTATCCTAAGGCTCCATGTGCCCATACAGTATATACTTAGGGGCTTAAAGTACCTATATAGGGACCCCTTTAAGGCTTAAGTATCTACTATTATAGTACATGGAGCCTTCGGGATACAGGCACACCCGAAACCCCTTGACCGCCTTGCATTCAAAACCCCTGCATGACACCCACCCTCTAAGGACCCTAAAAAGGCACATAAGCAAAACTTAGGATAGGGATATCCCATATAGAGCCTCTAAGGAATCCAATAAATAAGGTAGCGATATCCCGGTAAAATGTTTATGCCAGGGATATCCCATATAAACCCCTTGATGAGGAAGCCCAATAAGGTAGGGATCTCCCCATAACATGCTTATATGCTTATGTGCTTTTTGGGTCCCTAGCCCTCGTTTTGTCTCCTCGGCGGCAACGGAGCGGAAGTAGGCCCAACCCTGGGCATCACACGGGGCTTTGGAAGGTGAGCCCCAAGCCTCCCTCCTCCCTGAACCCTTCTTGGAGGATCGTGGGGACTTATAAGTACGTAAGGTATATAAGTACCTTATTGATTGGGGTTGTAAGTGATAGTTACCTTCTTTGTAACCCTAGCTGCCTAGCTGCTCTGGCTGCCCTGGCTACTAAGTCTCATGATCCTTTTCATCAACCTGTACTAGTATTGTCGATGGCCTCAACCCCCAAATTGGCGACTATAATGGCTGCGCAAAGGACAACATTCGGGGGTTGTAGATGAACCAGTCATTGTAAGACTTTTGCAGAAACCTTGTCGACCCCATTTAACATCCATAGGCTATGAGTCAAAGGACCATGGTCCTTAGTATCTATGGTCTAGGGTTATAAGTCAGGTCTATACTTGTAGTTGCTCCCACCTTACTTACATTACTAAGTACCATGGGCCTGCAAGCGTAGAACATGAGTCCTTTGCTTAGGGATCCGGAGCGATTTAACGGTCTCCTCAGGCTGAACAGGGCAAAACCCTAAACCCTAAAGACTGAACCCTACACCCCAGCCGAAAGACTTGACTGAACCCTAGACCCTGAACCCCTCAACCCTAAATCGCTAAAGACTGAACCCTGAAGACTTGACTGACCCTTGAACCCCAAAAGCCCTCAACCCTAACCCTGAAACGCTAACACGGCTTAGGGTTTAGGGTGAACCCTAAACCCTGAACCCCTCTGGCCTGGTGCAAGGCGAACCCACCAAAGCCCCGTTGGATGCAAAGAAGCTTGGCCCTTGGCTGGGGGCACTTTGGGGTCTAGGGTTTCGGGACTTTTCAGGGTTTTGGATTCGGGGCACGTGAGGGTTTAGGGTTTACTAGGGACTTTATATATATATATATATGTATGTGAATATATATATATATATATATATATATGTATGTATGTGTATTTACATTTATGTACTGTTGTAATATATGAAATACTTGGATCCATCAGCTTTCTGAAGCTACGTTCCAGAGCAGGCTCAGGCTTGCGAGTTTTGGGGGTCGGCGGGATTTGAGGCATGGGCTTGGGTACGGCCCCCACACAGTAACAGTCTGTAATAGGGCTACTATTAAGGGGCTCATATACCTATATTCTACATATTATTCAACTGTTACTGAGTGGGGGCGGTATGGGCAGTTCTCAAAATCAGGCTCCCTTTTTAGGATACTTTCTTATAGGGGTGTCGCACGTTTGTGGGGAAACAAGGACCTAGAGAACTACCCATATTGGGTTGAGGGTAGGGTGTTAGGGGTTTTGGGTCTCGGGTGTTAGAACGTGTGGGCTTATGTTAGGGTTGAGGGTCCAGCCCAAAAATAGCAATCACTTGTGCGAGTGCCGGTGATTGGGGTCCCGGAGGTTTTTGCAATGTCTAGCGGCTTACAGCGCTTTTCAGGGCTCAGCAGGCAGAAAGCAGGAAACGCAAGCATTGAAAACCACAAAAACACAAGCCTACTGAACCCAAGAAAGGTGACTGTCTTTAGTAGTTCCTTTACTTACAACCTCAAAGCCTTAAACCCTACAAACCCTACCAGGACCCCCAAGTGCCCCTTAGTAAAGCCCTTAGACTCCTTAATAGTCGTTATTCAGCGTATGTTAAAGGCTGGCTGGGGGGGTCGACCTTTTTGTACGGTTTCTATAAACTCCATTTTATTCGGGTTTATCAGAGGAGCCTACAAAGAAGTAGGTTTTCGTAGGTTAAGAACCCCAAACCCTCAACTCTCAACCCTTATAGTAGCCCTTATAGCCCCCATTACAACAGGAACCCTATTCGAATTATCAAGGCCCCTATTCTAGCCATCAGGGCAGCTAAGGATTACGGAACCCTCAAAACTTGCAGCCGTTCATGAACCCTAAACCCCCTAAACCCTGAACCCTAAACCCCTAAACCCCGAAACCCCGAAACCCCTGAAACCCTAAACCCTAAACCCTAAACCCCTAAACCCCTAAACCCCTAAACCCTAAACCGAAGCCCAAGAGTCGCTTCGGCATCGCTGCATCTGACGGACATGGCATCCTCCGGGAGAGTCCGGTCTACTTGGAGGCAACTACAGTAGAAGCCCAAAAGTTGGAAACCCCGTAGCCTCAATCCCTAAGAGCAATGTATAGGGAATCCCAGCACTATTTGGCCTTAGTCCGGTTTCCAACTATATGGGGTATACTGTAGGGTTCCTTAAGGAGGTCTTTCGAGGGATCCAAAAGGGTTACTATAAGGCTTCTATAAGGGATTTGGGGTACTTACAGGATCATAGGACGTAGTAACCAGGGTTATGGATAGGATACATTTACTTATACATAAGCCCCAATCAAAACACTTATAACCTTCCTTACTAAGTCTCATGATCTTTCAAGTAGGGTTTAGGGCCTAGGGATTTAGGATTTTGGGTTTAGGGGTTCAGGGTTTAAGGATTACCTGAACTACAGAAACGCTGTCCGGGGTATTGAATTGTGAGAAAAACAAAATCGTATATAAGGGGTTGGCAATATGGTCTATCGCGGTTTCTAAAGCTGCATTCGTAGGGCGTTGAGAGGTTGTTGAAGCCCTTGACTACATTACAGCAGTTGCTGGGATCCCGACTGCAAGTCCTGTGGCTGAGAAGGAGTTCATTCACACGGGGTCCGCAAGAGGAAAACCATAACCCAAAGTGACATAGATCCCACACCCGAACCCTAAACCTCAAACCCTGAGCCTGAAGCAATAAACCCGAAGCCGAAAACCCTGAACCCGAGAAAGGACCAGAGCCTTTGGCAAGGAAGGTCGAGCTCAGCTCGACTTCAAGCCCAATGCTAAACTATCATCAGAGTCTATGTGATGTTTTGCAAGCTTCTATATATTACCCGTAGAAACGATAGCATAAGGGCTCTATGACGATACCAGTGATTACGGCTTGGCTCTTGGAGCAGGGTTTCTGGTAGGGCTGTGACTTGAAACACGCAAGGGGCTTCGACAATACAAGGTCATGGGATCGAAGTATTGTACTATGTAGCGCCCATATTGACGTCAGTTTCTGACATTCCCTAATTAGAATGAGAACAACTTGTAAGCGACATGTTCCATTCTCTGAATCCGCCCACCTGCCCCGGAAGCGCATCAAAGCCTGGAAGCACCTGCCACACGAGACTGGCAAGTTTCATCAAGTTTAAATGCAGCTTGCAACGAGCATGGCGGCCTGAGCGAACAAGAACGACACCAAGCTTACGGGCCCTGTTTAACCCTAAGGCTCGAAATAGCCCAACAACCTCACAGTATGGTCTTTAGGCCCAAAAGCCTCAAAATATGAGTCCTTGGAGCCTTAGGGTAACTGTCTCGTTACAAGACGATACCTACGCAAAGCCCCAGAGCTGCTATGTGCACATTCAAGCCTATACTACTATTTGCTTAAGAAACCCCCAAAAAAGAAAAATAATAATCCCTATATTACCCCCATAAGGAATATACTTTTTTATTTTTGGGGGTTCTTAAGCAAATAGTAGTATATAATATTAGGGCGGTCGTTGTCTGCAGGGGCTGTGAGGTGTGTAACATCTAAGACGTCTCCGAAGTCTTCTCTTCAGGGTTTAGGGCTTCAGGAGCTTTTGCAGCTTCCCAGACACCCCAAAAGTAGGTAAAATAATGGCCCAAAACATATAAAAGGCTTTGGGGTCCAGCCCTAGCCGGTAGCCCCGAATCCCATGTCTCTGGAAGCCAAACCCGACACCCTGAAGCCTTGAACCCTAGGACTTTCGATGTAGCAAAATGACTAAAACTACCCTAAAGTGTGATGCTTCATCCGACCTTCCAAAGGTAGCCTGTAGAAAACCTCAAAAGGAAACAGGAACCTAAACTCTGAAGCCTCACACCCCATCCGACCTTCCAGAAGTAGCCAGAAACCCTTGAAGGAAACCTTCAAACCCTAAAGCCCCTAATTCCACCTTACAAGCTTTCAGGCTTCCCTCGGTCCGACCCTTTCCAAAGGTAGCACCGTAAGCCCTTATGGAAACTCACACGCTATCCCACCTTCCAAAGATAGCGGCATTAACGAAGCCTTTCAATCGAAACCCTAATACCCTATCAAGCCCCGAAGCCCTGCTAGAAATTCCTATCGTGCCCTTGTTGTACCCTCTAAGGAATCCTTGAACAAAAAGGGCTTCCCTCGAGCCGAGCCGGCCTTCCAAAGGTAGCGCGCTTCTGGGACTTCTGCGGGCTTCCGCGCAGTCCCAGGCCAAGGCACCAAAGGGCCTCAGAATTGGGGGGGTTGGGTGTAGGGTTTGGGGTACCTTTCAAGGGATCTATATAAGGGCTCCTATAAGTAAGGGATCTATAGGGTTCATGTGGGGTTTAGGGTTGAGGGTTTGGGGTTTAGGGTTTAGGGCTTAAGTTTTAGTGTTTAGGGTTTGCACCAAATGGCCTCAGGTTAGAGCTTAAGTTTTAGTGTTTAGGGTGTGCACCTCAGGGGAAGATGGCACTTCCCTAAGGGTCAACGTACCTTTGTAGAGTTCGTTCACGGATTCCATAAGGGCTCTACAAAGGTACGGGCCCATGTACCTTGCGGATTCCTTTAAAGGTTCTCCAAGGGCTTTAGGAATTACGGTTTAAGGGTCCATGAGGCTCCCTCTAATCGTTCTGTAGGCGCTTTAGGGTTTAGGGTTTAAGGCTCCATTCAACTAAATAAATACAAGTAATACATGCTTGGGCCCTTCAGCACCCATAAAGGGACTACTTCACTGACAAAGCATCTGCCTTATGAGCACAAGGACCCTCAGGGATTCAAGCTTAGCTAACTTATGGCGGTGGCTCCGTTTGAGGGCTCCTGTAAGGAGTATTCAGGGTTCAAGGGCAAGGGTATGTTTGTTGGAAGGGCTTGCTAATAAAGGGTTGTAAAAAAGCATATAGGGCTTGGGGTGTAGTGGCCTGAACAGTTTAAACGGGGTTTCAGAATGTTTCGGAGAGTATGTTGCAGTATAGTCATCATAAACCCTGAACCCTGAACCCTAAACCCTCAACCCTCAACCCTAAACCCTAACCCTAAACCCTAAACCCTAAACTCTAAACCCTAACCGTAACCCTAAACCCTAAACCCTAAACCCAAAGAAGGTGTGTTGAAAACTACTCGCGCTGTCCATACGGAGAGCTGATGACAACAACGAGTGAAGGGCCTAGAGCCGAACCGAAGGGACCTTGAAGCAGCGTAGGGGCCTTAATAGTTAGAATAGGGTTCCTTTAAAGGGGTTGATAGAGGGACCTACAAGGGTACGGTTATGTAAGGGCCTTATTTTTTTAAAAAATAGAATAGGGCTTTGAGACCCGATATATTCAGTTCATAAGAAGGAACCCCCAAAACAGCATTGGTAGTTCTCCAGGCCCCGACGTTAAACTCTAAACCCTGAGCCCTGAACCCTTTTCTGGCATCGTAACCTGAGCCCTGAGCTGTAAACCTGAAGTCTTCCACCTTAATTGAACCCGAGTTGCTTGCACGGTAGCATTTACATCACCTGCATGGTAGCCCATGTAGAACCCTAAGAGGAACCCTTACAAAGGAACCCAGAAAGCAAACCAACCCTGAACACTAAACCGAAAAGCTCTAAACCCTAAATCCATAAAGAAAACTCTGAACCGAAGCGGCCTGGCAAAGGAGCGCACCAAGGGTACGGAGCCAGCGCTGGCACCTGCTGAGCTGGGAGCCAGGACTCAACAAAGTCATGTAGGGTTTAACGGTTTAAGGTTCATAGAGGCTTAGGGGTTTAGGGTTCAGGGTGTTGTTAGGGTGCAGAGCTTAGGGCTTAGGGCTTTAAGCTTTTTTTTACAAAAAAGTGCAATGGCGCTCCTTTCTCCAAAGCGCGCCTGGGCCTCAGGGTTTGGTGTTTCGGGTTTAGGGGTTTGGATGGGTTTAGATTTTACGGTTAAGTGGAGGCCTGAATGATTAGAGCAGGTTTTAGGGTTCGGTACTTGGAGGATCATGGGACTTAGTAAAGTTATAAGTACCGTAATTGGGGTGATAAGTAGATATAAGTATAGTTACCCTAGTTATAACCCTAGTTGCCAAGTCCCATGATCCTTTGAGTAGGGTTCTTCAATTATGAGAGGAGGCTTTTATTAGACGTTATACACATGGAGGGAATATGCGGAAACTGAAGTACCACGTTGTCCAACCTGTATAGTACCCTGGATACATGCCGTATGCTTCAGTAGCCGTTATTATACTGGGTTTAATTGCCGCAGGCGCCTTGTCCTTAACAGTGGCTGGCCTTTCGAGCTGATAGAGGGTAGCTCTATAAGCCCTTAGTCCTTAGGACACTCAACAATAGTAGGTGGTTCTCAACAACCCTCTGGCTTGACTTTTTAGCTAACTTCTTATAAACTATATGGTCAATCAGTTGAATTCGATAATCCAAATTTGAAGGTATTCGGCCTTGTGACCAATTGGGTGGGTTGAGGATTCAGACTGCCATACCGATCTGGTGACAGAGGATGTACAAGCAAGCTCCTTGTTAACGCATGGATTTTTCAAAAAGATGTCGCGTCCTTCCAAATGACCTGATGCACTTAGCACCTCGTGCCGTGGTTCAGTTCTACTTTGTGCAGATGCCTCCAAAGCGCCCGCCTCTGATGTTATAGGAGATGACCCACCCAGCAATCCGCCCTCGGCCCCATAAATCCTAAGAGGGACAAATTCCTAGACCCTATCTGGAGACCCTCCTTGGAGGATCATGGCACTTAGTATAACTCAGGTTATAAGTAACTGAATACGGGGCTATATAATTGTAATTATAGTTACCTTATTCATAATGCTAGTTACTAAGTCCCATGATCCTTCAAGTACCTAAAACCCTTATAGCAACCCTTACAGTAGCCCTTAAAAGAGACCTTTGAAGCTAACGCTAGCCCTAGCAGCCCGCCTCATCCACATCCCCGTAGCAGCTGGGCGTGGCTGTGGCCACCGACCCTGTCGAGGCGAAACTCGTGTTTCTGACGCCCCAAACAGCTTGCAGCTTAGGGGTCTGTGTAGGGTTTAGGGTCTATCTACACATACATATATATATATATATATATATATATATGATCCCGGTTCTCGGTTCACCGACCCCCCCCCCAATGGTATCCCCCCCCCCCCCCCACGCTCCCCAAGCCGAATCTGTGTGTCCACACGAGGGCTCACACGCCAAGCAGACCCACGCAGGAAACCCAAACCGCAGGGAGGGGGAAGCAACCCACAACCACACCACACCACAGCAGACCCACGCAGGAAACCCAAACCACACCACACCACAGGGGGGAGTGGGGTAACCAGCCTAAGCAGACCCACTCCCGAACCACACCACACCACACCACAGGGAGGGTGAAGCGACCCACAACCACACCACACCACAGCAGACCCACGCAGGAAACCCAAACCACACCACACCACAGGGGGGAGTGGGGTAACCAGCCTAAGCAGACCCACTCCCGAACCACACCACACCACACCACAGGGAGGGGGAAGCAACCCACAACCCCACCACACCACAGGGTGGGAGGAGGAACCATTGGGGGGGGGGGGGGGGGGGGGCCGGCCGAACCGGGATCATATACATATATATATATATATATATATATATGATATAGGGGTTAAGGGCTTTTAAGGTTTTGGGATGTTTTGGGCTTTTAGGGCTCAGGGGTTTCTGGGTTTAGGGTTTGTATGGTTTAGGGCTTTGAGGGCTAAGGGTGTAAGGGAACGTTGAACCTAGATTAGCCAAGAGGAACCCGGGCAAAACAACGGGCAGAGCGACTGCCGAGCCCTGTTGCTGCTACAGATCCTATTGCACACTCTAAGCCGAGAAGCCCCTAACCCACCTACATGCCCAATTGCAAAGGAGCCCCACACGCAGAACTCAAACCCAACCCCCCTTCAAAACAAAAACAATACCTGAACAACTCGAGAGCCAACAACCCATCTCAACCCTTACTCACCCTTCGAAACAACAACCTGCAAGAACCGTGAAAGCGGGTCTCGCACCCTAAACCCCAAACCCCAGAACTAAACGCTGAGGGTCCCGGCCAGGCGAGAAAGGATAGGTGAGTTCCGGAGAGCCCTTCGCCGGGGGACTCGGCGAAAAGCCTGCTTTTTGTGAAGTCAGGGTGTGCGGTTCAGGGGTTTAGGGTTTAGGGTGTGGGATTGCAGTTTGTTTTCGTGTAGCGGCTTGTCTCCTGTTTCGGGGTTTAAGGTTTCAGGGTCCAGCATTTCAGGCTTTAGGCTTCAATTGCGGGCTCAAGGTTTCAGGTTTTCGGGTCAAACAATCGTTCAAGAAGTTGAATCGAAGGGGTTCAAGCTGTTGGAGTTTGGGGCTTTAGAGGCACAGGGCTTTGGGGATTCGGGACTTTACGGTTAAGGCGGTTAAACCCTAAACCCGGTTAAACCCTAAACCCTAAACCCCTAAACCCTAAACCCGAACTCTGGGGGTGTAGCAGGGGCTTGCAGTTCAAACATCAGACTTCCTACATGTGCACCTGGGCCCGAACCCCAAACGGTGGCACTACACACCGAGCCGCCACATACGCACCACAAGGCCCCATAATATCGTAAGCCAATACCAAGACCCCCCAACCCCCAGTACATCTAGCCCAAATACCCACCATTAAGGGCCATAAGGGCTTCAGTAAAGGCCATTGGGGGTCTTTGTATTTGCAAGGCTTTCTAATCATAAGCCAATAACATCTCTGTTTGCCTGGAGGCCCAGTGACAAGTAGCGGCTTGGGCACTCATTAAAACTGAGAATTTTAGGGATTGCGCCCCCTAAACCCTAAACCCTACAAACCCTAAACCTAACACCAAACCCGATAAGCCAAAGACCCCAAAGCCGACAACCCTGGCCCCCGAGCCAGAAAGCCCTGCACCCGAAAACCCTCAGAACACCAGAGCACTGAATCTTCTAATATCTTGAAGTCTTGAAGCACCCAAACCTCTTTGACTGACACCAAAGCCCTAATATAGAGCCTTAATGATTAGAATAGGGCTTTGGGCCCGGATGTACTATAAAAATCAGAAGGAGCCCCAGAATAGTATAGATCAGCTTAGTCTAGGCCCCTGTAGTTAAACCTCGTAAGGGTTTAGGGCTTAGGGTAAACATGATTCTTAAACCCATCAAACAACTCTTAGACCGATAAGCCCCTTAAGCAAAATGCCATACGCCCCCCCCCCCCCCCAAGAACCACAATTAAAATAGTATGTTTGAGATTCTCTTGGGTTTTATATGAACAAAACTAGAAACAAACCCTAAGGAGACTATAGAATGAAGGCTGTCAGAAAGGCCGTCGAAGGTCGCAGCTCGCAGACGGGGTGTCAGTTGCAGGGGTCGCCTGGGCTACTTGGATGATCATGGGACTTAGTAAGTAAGGTTATAAGTACCTTTATTCCGGTCACAAGTAGTTATAAGTATAGTTACCCAAGTCATAACCCTAGTTACTAAATCCCATGATCCTTTAAGTACAATCTTCTGGGGGAGGGGGAGGGGGGGGGGGGAGGGGGGATGTGGGGGAGAGAGGCTAAGGTTTAGGGTTTGGGGTTGAGGGTAGGGTGGGTTTAGGGTTTAGGGTTTGGGTTTCTGGGAGGATCAAGTAAGGCAATACGAAGTCACATGATCCTTCTAGGTTTTAGGCTAGAGATCTCAAGTGCAGCCTGAGGGTCCAAATACCTGCAAGCACACATTCCTTCAAACACTCATTCATGTACAGTACTACCCTGGGCTCCAAATATTCAAAAAGTACATACTTTGGGGTCTACAGTCTAAAAATTGTACCTATTGTGTGCTGCTTGAAGCCCCAGGGTACTATCCCAAAGCCAAGTAGTTGTTAGGTCCATTGGACCCTTCAAAGAACATAAAGGAGACTCTCTTAGAATCGCGGGATCCCTCCTTTCGGGGGTGGGGGGTAGATTGATAGTGAAGGTCGTACTAGTTAGGCCCAGCTTAACGCTCTGTATCAGGTTCTTGCAGGAACACGAACTTCCACATCCCCCGAAAAAGAAACCACTCAAGCCTGGTTCAGGACTGAAACTTCTCCAAAAAAGCATATATTCTAAGCTCGGCTTCGGAACTACGCGTCAGGGGATGTGATTGCTAATTGCTGCGACCATCGCAGTGGAAGGTTTATACAGAGTAGTCAAAGAGTACACAGGGTTCGGGGTTTAGGGCATCAGGGATTGGGGTTCGGTCATTACCCCTGAAACCAGAATCCTTGAAGATACATCGGTCCTCTCAGCCCTACTTCTGCATCCTGGATTGACCCTCGTAGGCAGTAACACCCAACACCAACACAAGAACCCCTGCAAGCGCACTATCTAAATCCTAACCCCGTCCGTAACCCGAAGCCCAAAAAGAGCCTAAGACAGAAACACTAAGCCGTTTAGGGGCTTGAGGGTTCCTTTCAGAGTTCCACAAGCGCTCCTTTAAGGGTTGCGTTAGGGGTTTCTATAAGGGCTCCCTCAAGGGTTCCTTTAAACGGGTAACCTACGGGTTTTTAGACAGCCCCAAGCCCAACTTCCCAACTCAACGTGTTCGGGTTTAGGGCTTAAACTTTACTTGTGGTCTCCATTGTAGCTCCTGTTTAGGGTTACCTGATAAGATCCCTTATGTATAATTGGTTAAACCAAAAAAGGAACTACAATTGTGACTGTAGGTAGCGTACCCTAAACCCTAAACCCGGCCTGGCCATCGGAAGCGAGCGCCGCGGCAACGGCAACAGTGGGCCGTGGCCCAATTTTCGCAAGGCCTGACTTAGAGTTTGGTCTTTGTTAACCTATAACACCTATACCAGAATCCCTACCTGGAGCAACCAATGCACCTTTAAAACAGGGATAATTTTGACCCATAACGAACTTGTACATCTACTTTTGTATTTCAATTACCTTGGTGACTTAGGAAAACCCTGAGCCCTCAACACTAGGGGAAATTATGTTTAGCCTTCGTCTTTCCGTGTTGCCGGGTTCAGCATTGAGGTTTCAGAGTGTGGACGTTGAGCTGACCCTAAACCCTAAACCCTAAACCCTAAACCCTAAACCCTGGGAAAGGTGTTGATTTGGACCTGGCATCTGCAATTGTCGTCCCGACTCGAGGCCTTTCCTCCCGGCCAAGTTCTCATCGGGGTTCAACTTTGCGCACCCTAAACCCTAAACCCCAAACCCTAAACCCTAAGGCGGGGGAGGGAGCTTGGGACCGGGCTTATCCGGGTGAGGGTTTAGGGTTCAGTTCAGGCTCACGGCTTGGGGGGCTGGAGGCTCAATGCAAAATTCTACATTGACCCCGATGTGCTCTTCTTGTAACTTCAAGGACATTCGTGTTGATTTCCACCTTGCATCACCTTGCCAGAGAGTTCTGAACTGATGCCCGGGAGTTGCTGTTCTTTGGGTTCTACGTGCTGGGCTGATGTGTTATCAATCAGGGTCAGGGCCTGAGTCGCGGCTTCCCTACCTTTTCTCAGGGCTCCTTTTTGTGATTTCTTTATATAAGTCCTGAAAATCAGGATATTCAGGGTCGTGTCCTAGGTCTGTGAAAACTCTGCACTTCTCAGAGAAAACGGAGAACTGAGGATCCCGATTTGTTGATATCTTCGGTGCTTGGGGCTCGGATCTGCTGGGGTCCCGGCATTCTTGAACGGTTTTTCGTCTTCAACCCTATAACTTCGGTTGCAGAGAAAAAGAGTACTAGACTTACTAGATACAGACGCACACACACAAACACACAGACACACAGACACACACACACACACACACACACACAAACACACAGACACACAGACACACAGACACACACACACACACACACACACACACACACACACACACACACACACACACACACTGCACCCTGAATCCGGCCTGCAGGCGCAGGTCAGCCCAGCGCGGCTGCCAGTCGTTGGTCAAAATGCCATACGGCCTGATAGGGTTGAGGGTGCTGCTGTGACATAGATGATGCCAGTTGTATACGTAGGCTTTTCATATCCCCATTCCCTTGATGCAAGATCAGGATTGGAGTTGGAGCTACGTACTACGATTGTACTTGGCATTATTCTTATATGACTCCGACGGTCAAACTTACCACTACTTTGCTCTTATCACCGTCTACTGTAGAAGTCTTCCAACTGAGTTTTGCTGTGTGCCGTGACAGTGCGGCCGTTTGTATTTATGAAAATGACGGCACCAGATGGCACCAGCCCCTGCTACTACCCTCTTGATATCCGCATACCCTGTTCGTACAGCCCATCTCCCCATCCCACAAACACTGCACCCCCGAATCCCTAAGCCCGAACCACCACAAACCCTGTGTATCTCTGATTAACTAGTAATAGTGTCCGCCTACACTGCAATTTCGCTTGAAATTTCATGTAATCATTCGAGCCCCTAAACCCTAATCTAACCCCCCAAAACCCTAAATCCCGTATAGTAAACCTTGTACTATCCCTTGCAGGAACCCTCTAAAGGAGTACTATTGTTACAACCCCTGCAACCCACACTCAACCCCGAACCTCCTTATAGTAACCCTTGTACACACCCTTGAAGAAAGGACCCTATTTTAGAACCCTTTATAATACCCTTTAACGGGGACCCTATTCTAGAACCGTTTATCTGGACTTTGAGGTAACCAGGGGAAAAAAGTGTAGAGTTTCATTTCATAATGGCTCCTTTAAGGAACAGGTACCCCAAAAACAAGTATTCAAGTATGGTACTCCAAACCCAGGATATAGCCTTGAAAAAAAGGACCCTATTATTCTATTATAGAACCCTGTATAATACCCTTTAAAGGGGACCCTATTATGGAGCCCTGTATAGCACCCTTCGGGGGACCCCTCCAACCGGATGCGGCTCCAGCGGCTCGTCTTCACTGCCGCCTGGCTTGGGCCCCACATTCCTTGGCCGTGCAGGAGAACGGTTCAGGGTTTAGGGTTTTAGGATTTAGGGTTTAGGGATTTAGGGTTTAAGGTTTAGGGTTTAGGGATTTAGGGTTTAAGGTTTAGGGTTTAGGGATTTAGGGTTTAGGGATTTAGGGTTTAGGGATTTAGGGTTTAAGGTTTAGGGTTTAGGGATTTAGGGTTTAAGGTTTAGGGCTTAGGGTTGAGTGGTTTAGGGTTTAGGGTTTAGGCGCTTCGGCGGTTGAGGATCTAGGGCTTGGGCTTGCCTAGAAGCCCATAAAACCTAAAACCCCAAACCCTAGAGCCTCACTACAGCTACACCCTCTCAAAGGGGAGAAGGAGGGACCCTTAGTGGGGACCCCTACCCTATAATAGGCTGTATAACGGGTATATCATAGCTATATTAAGGGTATATTACCTAGGGGTCCGTATTAAGGGTCCCTCCTTTTTCCCCTGGGACTGGAGCTACACCCTCAAACCGCCCTGACCCCTGAACCCTAAGCCCCTATCTCCAGGCACTGTCAAACCCAAAGCACTGAAACCCTGCACCCCAAACTCGAAACCCCTCCAGGCTTAAGGGTTTAGGGTTCTTAACAACACTTTTTCGGAATATTCATATCACAGTCGTTTCGAGTTCTTTTCAGGCTTCCCGATTAGGCAAGAAATACCTGTTAAACCCAAATGCCCTCCATCGCCAAAGCCCAGAGAGCCCGAATGAAGGAATATAAACCTTAACACCTTAAAATGCTGATGTCAAGACTCCCTCAAGCTTGGGGTATCTTCCGGACGTTTCCTCACATCATACTCCTGATACAGCTATTGAGCCCCCTCTAGCTTCAGGTATGTTCCTGGAGTGAGGAAGATTGCTTAGCTCACACTCTAGATACTACAAACCATTCTTATTTGAGGTATCTTCCTTGAACTGAACCCTAAACCTTGAACCCTAAACCCTACATCCTAAACCCTAAACCCTAAATCCTAAACCCTAAACCTTGAACCCTAAACCCTAAACCTTGAACCCTAAGCCCTTTATGGGGTTCTCTGGGGATCCCGAGGCAGGCCAGGAGCAAAGGCCAGTAGGCGAAGTCTGCATCCTTCGCTTCCTGTTTTGGGCTTTTGGGTGTAGGGTTTAGGGATTAGGGTTTTGGGGTGTGGCACAGGGTTTAGGGTTTCGGGCTTTTGGGGGTTTGGGTTAAGGGTTTCGGGCTTTTGGGTTTAGGGTTTGGGGTTTTGGGCTTTCGGGGGTTTGGGTGTAGGGTTTAGGGTGGGGGTTCGGCTACGGGTTGTGAAGGTCGGGGCTTTCTGGTTTAGGGTTGAAATTACGGTGGGGGCTTGGGGTTGTCCGGCCCGGTTTAGGGGTTTAGGGTCCAAGGGGCTTGTTGGTTCTGGGGTTAGGGGTTTAAGGCTTAGGGCAAGTTTAGGGTTTGTTGTTTCAGGGTTTTGGGTATTGGGTTTATAGGTTTACGGCTTGGGGTTTCTGGTGAGGTCTCTTTGGTTTATTATGGTTTTGGGTTTTTGGGTTGCGTTTTTTTGGGCTTTGGGTCAGAGTCTCGGGGTTTGGGGTAGGGTTTTCTGTATGCCCTAAGACTTCATGAAGGAAGGACTGCCAGGACTGCGCAAGGGGTTCCTTGAACGTAAGGGTTCTATAAGGGATCTGTAGGGTTGAGGGTTTGGGGGTTTCGGGTTTAGGGGTTTCGGACTTGGTTCATGGGGCACAGGCTTTTAGGGAGTTCGGCAAGCAGGCTTCTTCCGAATCTATGCTGTCTTCTCTGTGTGGCGAAGGCCTTGTGGGTTTCGTGGCTACGGGTTTTCAGAGCCGCTGTGGGCGTAAAGGTCTTCCAAACCTCTCAAATCCGCTATTGCACTTTACAGGTATTATACGGTATACGAAGCATACTTGTAATGGTCATATGTCGTCCTGGAATCGAATGTTTTTGGGCTCGCTCGAGGCGCGGCAGGTCGAATTCAGGCCCGCCCTTGATCAAGAGAGCATCCGATTGACTTTCAAGCGCCCCGCTTCAGTTCGCAGGAAGTGCCCGATCAGACAGTTGACTTCAAATTCCATGCAAGTGATATCTTGAGTTAGAATCAGTGCGGTACGCCCGTGATTATCACGCAAGTGTTTTCGAGCACCTGCGTCCAGGAGCAACTTCGCGATCTTCGGCAGGCCATAGACTGCCGCCAACATCAGCGCTGTGAGGCCGCGTTCGTCCTGCAAATCCACATCAGCACCGGCCGCGACGAGTAGTCGCACGATTTCAAGGCGACCCGATTGTGCTGCCACCATCAAGGCTGTACGACCATCTTCGCACCGGAGATTCTTCTGAGCACCGGCCTCCAGGAGCAGCCCTGCGACCTGGATGCTGTTGTTTCTCGTCGCCAGGATCAAGGCAGTATCCTCCTCATCGACGCAGAGGTCCGGGTCTATTGGGACTTGCAGCAGAGCCTCAACCTCAAGATGCCATGGAACTACCTTTGGTCGCTAACACTTGAGGGATCCGAGGACTCCTCACAAAAAAACCTGATCGAACTGCTGGACTTGCACCAAGCGAGGCCCTGGACCTGCTATAGAAGGTTTCTGTCTTGAGTCTTTGGGATTCAGCAAAACCGTATCAATCTAATGTAGGGGCCTACCTCGGAGATTCGCATGTTTATACTATACCATACCCCAAAACCCTATTCTGACTATTAGGGCCGCTATGTTATGGTACCCTGATAGTATCCCTTGTAGTAGCCCCTACAGACCCTTGAAAGGAACCCTACTCTTCTACTATTAAGGCCCCTATATGACCAAGCAACCGGGGCTCTTTCGTCACGAAGAACCGCCTGACGCAGTGCTCTCCGCTGATCCTTGGAAGCCTCGCACCACGTCATAAACACCACCTGGAGATGCCAGGTCTTCCGATGGTCTTCCGATTGAGGAGGGTTTAGGGTGTAGGGCTTCGGGTTTAGGGCTTTTTTTTTTTTTTTTTGAGGGCCCTTTTCCTTCTTGCTACAGTCGGAATACCTTGTAGGTGGAGCCTGTTAAGGCTTAGGGTTCGGGGTTGATTAAGGCTTGCAGCTTCAGCTGTCTGAGATAGTGCGAGGGGGGCATACATTAAGGCTTCGGGCCCTGGGCCCTGAGCCTGCAGATCCATCACTGAGTCCAGCTTCACGGCATCTTCCAAGGTGTTGCCCTCGTGAAGCAGCCTTTGCTTGAAGGGCGGCGGGAGGCCGTGCCGCCAATGCAATCGGTGCTTCAAGGCTTTCACATCGCTCAGCTCCTCAACAGGAACTTGTACCTCCTCCCCTGAGAGCAGCGTGACTCGCAGCATGGCCGAACTCTCAGACGCGAAACGACCTCAAGACCTCCGACCTGGGTCAGTCACAGATTCGGGGGTTTACAAGATTGAAGGAGCTCTTGAGGTTTTGAGGTGCAATGTTGCTCGCAGGTTCGGCGGGCAAAGCACTCAAACAAAAGCGGAATCTGGTTCTATACCTTAGGACCTTCCTGGCGTTAAGCTACCTGTAACAATACAGTGTGAAACTGCTGCGAGCCGAAAGCATGGATAAACTTCGCTTAGCCTTCAAGTGTCTCAAACCGTGACAAGCCTCCTGTCAGAACTCTTCAAGGTCATGCACTGCGCAATCTTTGGGCACTTCGGGATCTTTCATCGCTACCTGCTACCTTCAGCATTGCTACCGCGACCCGTCATTTTGAAGGTGAAACTTGGGAAAGTTTGAGGCGTTGGAAGACGTCAAACATAATTACTGGTTTAGGGCTCAGGGTTTAGGGGATTCGATGTCTTCACCTGATCCAGCGACAATCCGTGTCCGTCTTAGACATGTAGAGAAGCCCGTGCCTGTACCTAAATTCGACCGACAGCTGCTCTGCACATCTGTTATCAAGATAGGAGCCTGAATAATTAGAGCAAGGTTTCAGGGTAGATTCTACTAGCATTATCCAGGGACTACATGGGGATATTAATATCACTACTTCTTCAGGCCCGTAGTGCACGCACGTCTGGCATTTTGTCATGCCCATCAAGGAACCCAAAGGACTGCTGTCCCTTTCAATTTTTCAGGCCCCTATACTGATGTTACTACTGAGGTGTGGTGAGACACCCTTGGCATCTTTGCTTAACGACATCATGGCTGTACAAGCTTCCCCGACCAGGCAGATTCTGCCCAGGGCGATTGGCTAGCAGGGAATGACCGCGATTACCTTGAACTTCGACCCTTCTACCAAGCGGAACGAGACGGAGGCACTCCGGCTGCCCGCGTGCGCCAGACCTTCCGCAAAAGGCTTGAACAGCAAACTCTCGGTTACCGACATGCGGTGCTCCCACCAGGCGCGTAATGGGAAGCGCCTTGTTTCAGTACGGATGTTGGGAAACTGAGAGGAAGTCTACGCCCAAAAGCTGTCAATGCTCATCTCGGCCGTGCCGATGTTCTCGTAGCTGCGAAGATACTGCACCACCAATCTCGGACTTGAGCTGAAATTCACATTCAAGGTCAAGTTCTCACCAGTCACGACATTTGTAATCCATCCTGGCTTTGCGGGGCGATCTTCATAGAGGCTCCATTCTTTGTAAAGACTCATGTTTGGGCTTCCCGGACCAGGGGCCCGGGCCAGGTGGGCAGTTAGCGGCACGATGCAAATCTCCAGACTTGCTAGAGGGAGCCCGGGCCGTAAGCGGGCAATCCAAGCATCATCCATCTCCAAGAAGGGAGCTGGACGCAGCTCTGGGGACCTTTGGGATTTCGCCAGTCTCGATCGATCCGCCAATGGCAAGCGGGCTAGCAAGTTCAACTGGTTGTTGCACCAGCTGACCAGCATGTCCGCGAACAGCGCGTGCGTGGACCACGAAGGATGGTGCCGCTCGTTGAAATTAATGGTTGGCCACATAATCTCGACTGCAGAAGTTTCCGTCCTTGCGAATTCTTGCATGGCTCTGTCGTAGCTGAGGAAGGGCACGCCGTAGTGCACAGCCGTCCTATACAGGAGTTTGCGCAAAGCCTTACTGTATTTCGACCACTTAGGATTCGCTTTCATCTCCTCGTCTCTTTTCATATCTCTGTTGTAAATGATCGTAACCAGGGTCGTCGGCAGGAACAGATGGATGAGACGTATAAAATCCTCAATCGTGGATTTCGTGCCCCAGCCATTCTGGCCGAAATCCAGTATGATCCAATCCGAAGCGGCCTTTGTATCGCCTGTAAGCGCCATTGCCATCTCTTGAAGAGAGCAGCCTGCATCGCAACCTCCACGTGCATGCAGCTCCATCTCCACTTCCGAAGATGGAAAGGCTTGCCGTAGACGGTGCAGGAAATCCGCTGGCCAAGCACACATCGTCCGTTGTGGAGGCACGTCAGATTTCGTTTGGGACAGCATCCCTCACCGAAGGTCATGCTGCCACCAAACACCATAATCCGAGCCGTCTGACCTATGGCGAGGCGAAGCAGCATGGCCTGAAGCCGATAACCAGCTTCGGTGGGGATATCTCTTGAAGCTCTCCAAATCTCGTCTGGAACGACTGGCAAAGATTGGTAGTCGGGTGGCCGCCACACAACTTGGCTGGCAGGCAGGCTTTCGTGGTGAAGTGGCAGCGCTGCCGGCAATGCGAACTTCTCCGCCTGCAGCTCGGAGGAGTCGCTTCCTGGGCGAGTCTGTGCTCCAAACTCGGAAACCCTGACCTCTGGGAGCGTCTCTGCCTTGGCATTGGAGGAACCCAGCATGTGCAGCTGCAGGTATAGCCAATATCCTAGTGGCAGAACAGCCAGGAGGACAGCCAGAGGACCACACCGCCCAGCTGTTCGTGTTGCATGTGTCACATCCATCTGCGCGAGAAGATCCGGAGGAGAACATGATCGACACGAAGAAGATTAGGATTCAAGCAACTTCCGACAGAGATCCCTGCCTATAGGCCAACATCGAAGCTTTACCCTGACCTATTCGTAGAAGGACTCCGCAGTCAACATCTTCAGACTTGTTAGGATCTTCAGCTTACCTTCGAAACTTTGCATCATGGTACGCCAGCTCACGGGAGCCGTGCAAAATTGAATATGTAGATGCTTAGGGGGTTGGGGCCTGACGACCTCAGCATTAACGGCTTTATGGGAATGCTTACAGAAATTCAGAGCTCTACATTCTATGTTCTACAGGGGGTGATACTAAGGACTTCTAGGAATCTACTACAACATAGTTAATCTAGCATGCTCTTGGGACCATCCTAGTCTGGCAAAATGGCAAATTGCACACTACATGTCAGATATCCTAAAGCCGGTTATCTTGTGGAGCCCTCGGCTGTAAGTTCAGCGTTCCGAAATATCTCATTTTCGGTTGAGGGATGGGTTGAAGGTTTAGCTTGCAGGCTCAGGGTTCGGACAATCCAGGCAAGAGCCCTAAACCCTAAACCCCTAAACCCTACCCCAACCCACACTCCACGAGTAAACCTTTAGCTTTGAATAAGAAACACTAGTGTAGGGCTTAGGGTTTAGGGTTTGGGGGGATCCCTGACTAGGAACATAATCCCGCAAGCCTCTGAGGACTCATACTTTCCCTACGGTTCCTTGTGCCCATCAAGTACATGCTTAAGCTTAAGCCTTAAGCTAATGTGCTCATATAGGAGTTGCCGAAAATAGGGCACCAAATATAGTACCCTAAATAGAAAGGTCCCTATTATAAGGACCCCCAAATAGGGTACCCCAATTTTCGGAAATTCCCATATAGGAACCCCTTTTTAAGGCCTAAGTCCTGAGGGCTTCCAGGGTCGGAAAACTTCTCATACGAGGGGTTTCCGGGCTGTAGGTAACAAAGGATCTCCAAACCTGATGAACTCCTAGCTTAGAAGGCAAAAAGCCCGACACATCGCTACTAGTAAGTTTAGAATACGATTAACCATAGTACCAGCGATAAGAAGAACAATGTTGATCATAAGGGTAATCGTACAAAGTAGAACAGGGCTCCAAATGATTCTATAAACTCGGAACCCTAACCCAAAGGACCCAACAACTAGGTACTCGTGTTTCGGATAGATGATTCTTAGGTACTTGGACCCTTGGGGTAAGGTAAAAGCCAGAAAGTTGGAATATGATTATCCTAAACCCTTTATGGTAAATTATAGGATCTCCTACCCTGAAGCCATATTCCAACTTTCTGGAGTTCTCTTTAAGCCCCCAGAGCTGAGATGGGCACCAGGTATTTGCAGACCTTCAGGAACCTCGGATCAAATGCAGAAAAGGAGAAAGGAGACACAACCACCACCCCTGAGTGTTCAAAGCACCCAAATTGGACTTTGTACGATTACCCTTATGATCAACATTGTTCTTCTTATCGCTGGTACTATGGTTAATCGTATTCTAAAGGGTTTGGGATAGATGCTCGTTATGTGTAGGTCACTATTTTTGGAGCGTGTGTGGTAATTGAAATATATACGTACTTGGACCCTTAGGGCGCAAGAATAACACAACCCAGACACTCCAAAACGCCTTAATTAATGAACACACCTTAAATTATAACAGGAACCCAAATATGATTTAGAATGTAATTATAACATATTCCTCAATTACCGGGTTTCGGAGTCTCTGGCAGCCAAGACACGAAGACAGGACAAGTATTATGAGGATGAGGCTTTTGGGTATACTATAGTACAGAGCTAGAGCATGACCCGTAGGCTAAGACAGGCCGACTGAGGTCTGCGGGATCGTTTCGTGAAGGTGTAGTAACACTCATGATATCCAGCGCGACGCTGCTATCTGCTTGCGGTAAGAGTAACCCAGAGGGTCCAGATACACGACCATTCTGGAAGTACGTCCCCAAAACCAGAATGGGGACGGTCTTTCGGGATCTAACTTCCAGAAAGTGATAATGCGCCATCTGAGTATCCTACATGCTATCCCCTGGGTAGCCCACATAAATGCGCTTCTTCAGCCTTAGAACACGTGAAGCCCCCCAAACCTCACAATCCCATACCCTTGCCCCAATCTTGCAACTCCAATCCCTTACACGCTTACAGCCCCTACAAAACCATTCAACTATTTGTACCTAAGAGCAACCAAAACAACACACGAAGGCCCCAACCCCAACAAAACATGAACCCTGGACCCTAAACGGCTCAGGGTGTAGGGTTTAGGCATGTTTAGGGCCTACCCTAAAGTTCCTGGACCCTTGTAGTGAGATCTCAAACCCTAGCCCGCAAAGCCGAAACCCTCAACCTCCCCCAGAAAGCCCAAGAGCCTCTGCGGAGCTTGAGGCTTTGGGTGTAGGGGTTTAGGGGTTTTGGGGGTTTAGGATTTAGGATTTATATTGGGGTTACGGGGTTTAGGATTTAGCAACGGGTTTAAGGTTTGGTTTGGGGGATTATGGTTTAGGATTTAGTTGGGGGTTTAGGGTTTGGTTTAGGGTTTAGGGTTTGGTTTTAGGGTTTCGGATTTAGCTAGGGGTTTAGGGTTTGGCTTAGAGCAGTAAGCCCTGCCGAGCCGACGGGTCACCAGCCAAGCTCACCTCGCGAGAGGTCGGCGCCCAGCTCCGAAAGCCAAACTGGGCAAATGTCCTCAGAACTCTGGGGAGGTTTAGGGTGTAGGGTTTAAGGTTTAGGGAAATAAGGCGGCTTAGAGTAGGGTTGAGCATTTAATTTGCAAGGGGTTACCAACAAGACCGTATATACAACTGCTCTGACTATGTGTGGCAGAACAGCGTACCTTTCTGCTTTCAAAGGGTAGACCTTAAGAGGATTCCACACGGCGTTGGAGAAAAAGGAGCATAGTTGTTCTTGTTTTCCCCTATCTACTTTTTGTCTCTTGGCCATGAGGGGTTTTGGCGCTTCAGGACGTGCGGGTCCTAGCACTCTGATTCTACACGTAGGGCTGTATAGCTGCAGGGCTTTAGGGTTAATGGGTGAGGGCTGTAGGGTGGTGGCAGTGGAGAGCACCTTTTTGTCATTTCGGGTCCTTTTTCTAAGAGTGCCGTGCTATGTTGGGGACCTAGGAAGGGACCCCAATTTAGAGAAGTACCCGTATGAAGGCTACAGTCTTTTTGAGTGTAGAGGGAGCTCCAAGTTCTTGTATAGCCTGCGGTGTTCGTGCTGCAAGGCTATTGGGATTTGTCTAAGGTAATGGTGCTTCGGGATTCCATATCCGTAGATTTTTGCAGGCCAGACAACCCGACCCAAATTGGCCGGATATATTGTCGGCACAAATCGAAATCCCATGTCAGAAGGAGGACGACAATTGACTACTGGGGGCCTAAAGCACTTATAGTGAACCCCAGAAAGTTGGAACATGGATTTAGGATGAAGAGTGCTAGGATTCCCTCTACTTTACCTTAAGGATAATGGTGTTCCAACTTTCTGGCTTCTACTGTAAGGTATTGGTGGCAAAGCTTTCTTGATGAGGGCCTTGGGATTGGCTACCCCTAAGGATGTTCTCAAACACTATATGCGTCGGCCCCGCTGTACCTATATGGGACCACTTTAAGGCCAAAGTACATGCTACTTCGGTACATGGACCCTTAGGGTACCTGCTCTCGATGGTGAGCATCATCAGTAGCATAACTGCTGTTCTCGTTCAGGCACACATCATAAACCCGACCGAACCGAACTCCTCAGAACAGCCCGGGTTAACGCCTGGCAAAAGTCCTTGGATAAAGCAAGAAAACCCTCTGTACTTTGAAGAGACAGCCGGCCCTGAAGCTAACCCCAAACCCTAAGCTACGGTTGATGATATAAACCCTACATCACCCATAATAAGGAATATACCATAATACCCTTAGTCTAGGACTAGGAGGGTCAATAAGGTAGTGCAGGATTTGTATCATCAACCGCAGTATTCATGTGCTTCTGTATGTGTGCATGAGTTAATAAGCACTAGGCTCCCGACCTGGTTTTTTTTGCATTCCAATACCTCGACCCTAAACCGGTAACGCTCAAGCCCTGACCTAGAATCTTAAACCCTAACCTGGACCTTTTAAAACCTTCCTTTTTAGGGTTCCCTAAAATGGCTTCCCAATAGAAGTCCTTAAAACTGCAGGCTATATGGGATCCGGTAAAACCCTCAATCCATAATATAGGGCCCTTAATAATCAGAAAAGGGGTTTGGGGTCATTGAACTAAGACCATAATACATAAGTAGCCCCCCCAATAGTATTGTTAACTATTTAGGCCCCTGGGGTAGATCCTAAACCCAAAGCCACAACCACCCTAAACCCGAAACCCTCAAGCTTCGACCCAAAATCTTAAACCCTACAACCCTCAACAAGGTTTAGGGTCTAGGGTCTAGGGTTTCGCATTTTTAGGGTCTAGGGTTCAAGCTTATTGGGTTTACCAACCCTATAGATCCTAAAATCAGAGCCCCTGCCTGGTCCAGGCAGAAGCCGAAATCTTTGTCCATCTGCTGCTCTAGGACCTCTTGGCCTTGGGTTTTTTTAAAGTGCACTGACTCTGCATGGGTTTAGCGTCTGCCTATTAAGCTACCAAAGCCTCCTTTTGTTGCAGGGCCCCTATGAACTCTACACTAGGGCTGGTAAAAAGAACCTACTAGCTACTAGAAGGTATACGTTCTGGTCGATTTTGGTGGGATTACTTGTCCCTTATCGCCCCTTAGAGCTTGGAAGAAGCTTTCGGGTACGTATGTTGAGCAGACATTGCCAAGCCCGTGACTGGCCCAACCAGAGAGCGAGCTTGTATCCAGCGATAGATGCAGCTCTTTGCTGTGAAACCCCCAAGCTTCCAGGGCCCCTATTCTTGGCTCCTTAAGGGGTCTAGGGCCCCAACAATACGGTCCTAGGAAGCATAGGGAAACTGAATAAGCTGTCGTAAAGCCTGCCTGGCAGCCTGCCTGGCGAACTTCTGAAACGAGAATCACTGTGCAAGTCTCGATACGCCCGTGCTGTCTAGCAAGGCATGCCGCCTTCAAGGCTGCTGTTGATGGTTTCGCAACTGTTGCCTGACCTGTTTGTTGCAGATCTGCAAAACGGCTGTAGCAACTGGCAACAAATCCCTGTGCCAGCATGGGCGTGGCTCTGGTACTGGTCAAGCGATTCACTGGCGGAGGAATTGCTGTAAAACACAAAGGTTGCAAACCCTCAGGAACGCTATTGGTAATTATTCAAGCTTCTATATGAACAAGTCTCGTTACCACGTTTCACCTAGCTTTGAGGTCTAGGGTTCAGGGGTGATCCTTGCTAGCAGGCTGTGGGATCGCTGCGGATACGGGAAGGAACCGATACCCCGGCAATTCGAGCCGAGCCGCTCATTTCCCCGTACAGCTCCCTGCCGCTGACGTAGTCCACGGCATTGAAGAAGGACTTCAAAATTCCTCCGACCAAACTGAACCCTGTAAACCAATGAATTTACAAAATCCGGAACCCTGATCCCTCAACTCTTGCCGGGATCCCGACAGAAACACACCGCGTCAAGACAGGATCTTTTTTTGGACATGCGTTCACAGGGTCCAGGGTTTTGGGTCGGAGGGAGATACCCCTCTGAAAGGAAAGTCGCAATGAACGACCTTTCCCTTTCGCTCTGACATGCCATCACGTCGATGCAAGCCGTTCATACTGCAGCAAAGATACCCATCCCTCCTCTATTCAAGCAAACAGACACTAAAGCCAACTGTTCACCTAGACCCCCCAACAACCCTTTAATATACCCTAAATAGCTAGACCCAAGAGTAACCTAGGAATAAAAAGGGTGCCCTTTTTGGTTTAAAGGGGCTTATAAGGGAACCTGAACCCTAAAAAAGGGAATAAGGGCCTACTCTGGGTCCTAGATACCCACTATTGAGGACCCTAAGGGCCCCAGTAAAGGGCCATTGGGGGGGGTCCTGGCAGGGTTTTGGGCATAGAATGACGTTCACTATACCCCCCCTAGAACCACAATGAGAAAGAATGATATTCTCTTAATCTTTGTATGAACAAAAATACCAAAATACATCCTACCTGGACCCCAAAAGTATGTAGAATAATAGCCCTTTATAGGTCTTGGGCCAGTATTTACCTACTTTGGGGGGTCTAGGTAAGGAGACTATAGTGCAGTTTACCGACTCTAGGCTCTGGGTTTTTAGCGTTGAGGATGTGTGCGTTTCCGAAACTTACGGGGTTCCTTTGAAAGGGAGCATTTCAAGGCCTACTATATAAGGGTACTGTAATAAGGGTTCCGTGAAGGGGCTCTATAAGGGTATAGAGTTTCCGAAATTTGGGGGAGTACCATATTTTGGGTTCTTATGATAAGGATCCTACTATTTAGGGTGCTGAATTAGGGACGTCTCGGGTAGACCCTTGAGCTGAGTCATGATCCTTCCCTTGTACAAGAAGTAATGAACCCTAGGGATCTAAGGACTCATATATTAAGGCTTTTGGGCCCAAAGACCATATATATATATATATATATACATATATATATATATACATATGTATGTATATATGCATATATATATATATATATATATGGCTTGTGGGCTGTTATGATGTCCAGGGTAAAAGATCAGGGGACGTTGTAAATGGAGGGACAAGTGAGGCAACACGCATAGTACTAATCACCCTATAATCGCTAAATTCGCTGATCCACGCAGCAATGCTATCAGTCGTTGATTTCCCACAACGGAACACGTTGCCGCGGAGCGCAAGCTAAACCCCGAAGCCCTATAAAACCGCTGAGCTCAAACCCTGTACAGTGTGCCCTAGAAAGTTGGAATATGGATTTAGGATGACAAGTGCTGGGACTCCCTATACTATACCTTCAAGGCTTGAGGATATTGATGTTCCAACTTTCTCGCTTGTACTGAAATTCCTTGCACTAGAACGACTCTAGCGGTCCTGGGAGGAAGTGTTTGCCCTAAACCCTCAACCCTGAACCCTAAACTCTACACCCCATACATGCCCTCAAATACGAGTCTAGCGGTCCTGGGAGGAAGTGTTTGGGACTCCATGAACCAGGTCCACTCCACGCCTTGTTGGGCGAGTCGTGTAGGACTACATTCAGGGAACCCTTTAAGGGTTTTTCTTTGAGGGTTACTATCAGGGTTCCTTTGAGGGTTAAGAGTTTCTTTAAGGGTTCCTTTGAGGGTTACTATAGGGGTTACTATAAGGGTTATACTATAAGGGCAGCATTATCAGAAGGTTGTAGGATTACATTCACTTTGTGTTTTGCTTTAGGTGGAGGTGCAGGGATTTGACAGGGTTCATTGCTCGTCGGCTTTGGTATGGGGCTTGGGATTGTTGCGCAGTGTTTGCTCACAAGGGTTGCGTGTTGAGCGTTCTGGGTCCATTGACGTACTGGCAGGGGGGGAAGTTGTAGGGCTTATTAGGTTGTAGCATTAGCAGAAGGTCTGAGCTGGACAGGATATGAACAAATATAAAAACAAGTATACATACTAATATACGGATTTCCCTTGGTGTTATATTGCAGTTCCATACCTCAAGGATCAAAGGACTTGCCAAGAAGGGTTGTGCGTAAGACCCAGCGCGATATCTAAGCGTGTTTAACACTTCAAGCAGGCTTCCAAGAAACCTGTCCTGTATGCTGAACTCGGCACCATAGCTAGAATTCACATTTTAGCTGTTTCATAAGCATTATAGCAACTTACCCGACAACTAAACATCGTTTCCAAATACCCCTAATTCCTGTGGTAACATCAAGCAGTCCGGGTACTACATGTGAGAGACAGGATCCCCCTAAAGCCGAAACCCTCTTAACCCTCCACACCCCGAGCCCTAGTTTTCCGAGGCGCACACATCTACATCCTAAATTCAAAACCCCAAACCCCACAACCCTCAAGCCATGGGCATACTGAAAAACCCTGAACCCTGGACCCATAGAAGCCCTAGACCGTGTCTTCCCAAGCAGCATACATCCTAACAGCCCCAAACCCGAAATCCGTCATAGAACCCTTATGTACAAGAACCTTTCAAAGACACACATGAAACATGTTCTTGCGAGGCGCATACATGTGTACCGCCAGGACGATGCGATCCCGAGGAACGTCCCAGGCTTCCCAAGGGGGAGTCGGCAGCAACATATCCTGCTTTATGTGATTTGGAGCCTAGGGTGCAAGGTTTAAGATTTAGGGTTGAGGAATTGAATACAACACAAAATGTAAAGCCAACAACATAAACATCTACACTACGTGAACAAATGGTTCGATATGAGATGATATAATGTGATTTGACATGTCATGACATGGTATGATATGATGATACGGCATATAGTGTTATGACCGGTGCGCCGCCCTCAAGTCGACCTAAATTCCTTCCTGAACCTTGCAAGGTTGACGGTTTAAGGTTTACGGCTAAGGCTTTGAGCTTGAAACTCCGAGCAGAAGCAGCGGGCAGAAAAATCCTGAGTCTTACAATCCAAGGCTTGGGACATGCAACAGCCAGGGCTTCCAATGGCCGTTTAATGGAGCCCCTATCGTCGTTGCTTCACGCTTTTGGGCTTATGCCTCCTGAGCATTTGCGCCCCAAAGCACATGCCGCAAAGGCCCGATGACAGGGGCAAAAAGACTAGGTTCTGAAGTTATATGTTATATCATTGCAAGCCTAAGGCTCCATGTACCTATATAGTATACTCTTAGGCCGTTAAGTAGCTATATAGGTACCCCTTTAAGCCCTAAGTATGTACTATATGGGTACATGGAGCCTTACGGAAGCCCCTGAAGAATTAGATTGCGAATAGTTGCCAATTTTGTAGCCATTTGAGTAGCCTACCTAGTTTCTAGGCTTCTTAGTAAACCCGAGATGTCCTGCAGGCTGTTCTGTGGCCAAGCAATACGCTCGACGACGACGAAGCCCGGCGCATCTGCATTCAGGAGGGCCTGCGTGCCTCTGCTTGTGAGGGTTTATAGGGTTCAGGGGTTTAGGGTTGAGGGGTTTAGGGTTGAAGGGTTTAGGGTTTGCACTGTAGGTTCAGGGTTGGCTTACCCTAGAGGCTCCTTGCACCTGCACGGTAAGCACTTTCACCCCGAAGTACCTTCATTGTTCGAACCCAAACCAAAGCAGATACTGCTTTTGGTACCCTGAAACCTAAACCCCATAAACCCTCAACCCTGTAACCCTAAAACCTAAGCCCTGAAACAAACCCTGAACCCTAAACCCTAAAAGCCCTATAAACCCCAAACCCTCAACCCTAAAAACCCTATAAACCCTAAACCGTGGGTTTGGAGCTTGGATCTCCTCTGGCTCAGGGTTTGAAGCTCGTAGGATTTCCTTCGCATGGAGAACTTATGTCCATGTGCTCATGTGGTATATGGACGGTCACACTGTGCGATGTGGCTTTAAAATGGTCCTTGAATAGGCACTTTAAGTTATTCAGTCGAACGTATATTTTACTCTACTATACTATGAGTACAGCGACCCTTGAACCCTAAACCCGAAAGCCCCTTACACAGCCCTGACCATAACCCTTGCTAGCCCATAAAGGGGCCCTAAGGGCCCTCAGTCTATGTGGGTAGTTGTCAAAAGTATGGCCCCTTTTTGGGTACCCTATTAGGTGCCGTATTATAATAAGGACCCAAAAAGGGACCATAATTTGACAACCACCCATATGGTACACTCACCGAACCGGTTCCGGGTTCGAGCGTCGAAACAGAAGATAGGTTTGCATGGCCGACCTGCAACCCTCCAACATACAACGGCCGCGGGAAGTCATGCGACGGAGCATCCTATGGGTTTCAGGGTTGTTCAGTTTGGGGTTTAGGATTTAGGGCTTTAGGGTTGCAGGGCTTGGGGCTTCAGGCTGTTGGCTTTTGCATGTGGGGTCGGCGACCACCAAGTCCCACGTACATGCTCGACCTATTCTGGCCCTGTCACCCTTGTTCCCAAAAGATGAAAAATCGAAGACAAGTATGTCGAATGAGATGCAACGCCGCGCAGCTCGCGACCAATCTCGAACATACTCACCTGCGGAGCATAAGCCTAGCTTGCCTAATCAAGCCTCTTGCGCTACCTATTCTTTGCGGTGGCTGGACTTCGCGGAAGAGAAACACGACGAAGACAACTTCTCAACGAGAGCAACACCTCGCATTTGTATGCATGTATGTGTGTACAGCTCTATGCTCCGTGCTTGTGCACTCATACTTAGACGTGCCCGTATATGTAGAATGTACCACACATGGCGAGCAAACGGCTTGCCTATCATGGGCAACCGGCGCAGCTTCAGACGTTAGTGGAAAATGCTGGCTGGACCCCAAAAGTATGTAGAATAATAGCATTTTTTTGGCTTTGGTCCATTATTTTACCTACTTTTGGTTGTCTAGGTAAGTCTCAAGGGCTCCCGAGCACGAATTCGAAGAAACTGCCGCACTGGCAAATGCCTCGTTGGCAGCAGGCGCCTTTGCCTGAGGAGATATGGCAGTTTCCGAAAACAAGGGGTACCTTATTTAGGGGTCGTGATAATATGGATCCTACTATTTAGGGTACTATATTAGTGCGCCCTGTTTTCAGAAACTCCCATAAGAGAGGCTTCCGGCTGCACTAGTCTGGGCTCAGATTTAGAGCTTCGGTGTTCTAGAATCAAAGGGTAAAAGGAGGGACCCTCAATAAGGACCCCTAGGTATATACCCTTAACATAGCTATTATATACCCATGATACAGCCCATTATCGGGTAGGAGTCCCCATTAAGGGTCCCTCCTTTTCCCCTTTGATAGAATTTACAGTTTGAAGGTTTTTTGAATGAGCTTCGGCTTCAGGACTGGCAGTTTATATGGGTGGTTATCAAAATTAGGGTCCCCTTTTGGGGTACCCTAAATAATAGGTGCCGTATTACAATAGGGACCCCAAAAGGGACCCTAATATTGACCACCACCCATATGTCTGAGGGGGAGGAAAGCTTCGCAATGGCAATATTGAAGCATAGGGCTCTCTAAACCACAGCAGGCTCAACGCCAACCCCTATGTCATCCCTTTCTGACGCCCTTCCCCTAAGGGTCCATGTACTCATATAGTATACACATTGGCCTTAAAGTACTCTACACTGGGCGCAAAGTATATGCTATATGGGTACATGGACCCTTAGGGCTAGGAACTCCACCATGGCACCTCCTGGATCTCCGATCTCGAGGCTTGGCCACGGGTCTTCCGCGCTCGAAAACGCCACAACCCTGAACTCCAAAACCTAAACCCACATGGGAGTTTCCGGAAATTAGGGGTATCTTCGCTTTGGGGTCCTTTTAATGAGGATCCTACTATTTGGGGACGTATGTTAGGGTCCCTATTCTCGGAAACCCCCGCACAGCCATAAAGTGGTTTCACTTCTGTTTCGGGCCCATTGCTGAAGAAGTGCTTTCTGAAAAGGCACCCTCTCTTGCAAGGACCTTTTCGAGCAACCCCACAAGGGTAGTTCTCAAAAAACAAAGTCCATTCCTTCTGTAGATTCCCCAAATTATACGGCACCCTTGTAACAAGGACCCGAATGTAGAGAACAACCCACCTGAAGACCCCAAACCCCATGTTGGGGGAAGACCAGGACGGGTGACAGCCTGAAACCCAAAGGGTCCTATGTAACGATATAGTAAGGAAGTATTCCGCATAACAGTACATAGGACCCTTTGGGAAAATCTTGCTGAGTTGAGGGATTCAGACTGGTTTGTCGTGAAAGAGCTCAGGTACTTCAGGCCTAGATCTGAACCAACTTGAGTCATTGTGCTGGGGTTCTGAGTTTTGAGGTACAGTATACTCCAATGCTAATACTCCAACCACGAGCAGATTTTGAGACCCCTACGGAAATCCCAAAGCCTGAGGGTTCAACGAGTCCTTACTTGGAGGATCATGGGACTTAGGGACTAAGGCTGTAACCCCCAGACCCTGAACCTGAGGAGCGTTTCAAAGAAGGCCAGTAGGATTCAGACTCTATCTCTGATTGGAACCACGCGAACCCTAAGCCCCAAACCCTAAACCCTACATCCTAAATCCTATCCATCTAGTCGCCGACTGTTTCGCTTCGTGACAGTCCGCATGACCGATTGCATACATCCTAAATCCTAAACCCTAAACCCACATCATGGTACCGAACACCACCTAGACCGCCCAAATGTAGGTAAAATAATGGCCCAAAGCTAAGAAAAAGCCATTACTCTACATACTCTTGGGGGTCCAGTTTTGCTGCAGAATGTGGCCCCGACCCCTTTGGGCACACACGAGCACTCGAGGGTCCATTTTTCGATCCTAAGCTCAGGGACGGTTCCGAGCCCTGGACCGAGGAGCCCCAGGTAAGCCCTAAACCCTTAAGCCCCAAAGCCCAGAAGCCCCCAAGCCCTGAACCCTTAAGCTCCAGAGCCCCTGGGTCCAGGTAGGCTCCTTAAGGAGACTTAGTAAGTAGGATTATAAGTACCTTAGTTGGGGTTATAAGTAGTTCGAAGTGTAGTTACCTTACTTATAACCCCAACTACTAAGTTCCATGATCCTTTAAGTACCCCTAAAACCCCTCTTATAGAACCCCTATAGATTCCTTTTAAGGAGCCCTTTTAAGGAGCCCTAGTTACTAAGTCCCATGATCCTTAAGTAAGTAACCCAAACCCTGACCCTTTTCTCCCCCGACCTCCGCCCCGTTCTCGCTCGCCCCACCGCGGCCCAGGGCCCGTCATGGTCGTCGGGCGCACCTTAGAGTTCTCTTTGAAGGTTGAGGTTTAGAGGTTTAGAGGTTTAGCGTTCGGAGTTCTGGGCTTTGAAGGTTGAGGCTTAGGGGCTTAGGGGTTTAGAGTTCTGGGCTTTGAAGGTTGAGGTTTAGGGTTTAGGGGTTTAGGGTTGTTTCCTTGCTGGTGTCTGTCTTCGTTCGTGCGCGTGTGTGTCCTGTATTCAAGGCCGGCTGTTGGTGGCCTGTGCTGTTGTTTGTGGGCTGGGTGAGGGTTTGGCTTGAGGCATACCCTAAGGGTCCAAAGTACCTTTACAGTAGAATGTAGGGTTTCTATATTAGGAATTACGATTATGATTTGGGGAAGTATCCTCCATAACGGTACCTAGGACCCTTTGGCATATTCAGGCTCAGTCTTGACGGTCTGAAGCGCTAACGGCAGGGCCTGTACCGAGTTGTGTCAGGCTGCTAGCCTTCCCTGGTTTCTGCAGTGCCCTTTAAGGATCCATGTACCCATATAGTAGAAACTTAGGCCCCAAAACGTCTAAATAGGGACTACAAGGACCTGTATAGTAGCTCTTTCAGCAACCCATATAGAACAAGCCTTCCACGACCCTCAAAGGAAAGTACATGGATCCCTAGGGATAAGAACTTGCCTCCACATGACGATGTAGGCCACCCAACATGCCCTGCGCGTGCAAAGCGCCGCAAATCCAAAATCCTATATGCATTATAACCCTACAGACTTATATGAGGAAACTGGAGTAGGGAACCACGAATACCTAGACCCCCCAAAGTAGGTAAAATAATGGCCCAATACCCATAAAAGACTATTATTCTACATATTGTTGGGGTCCAGGTAGGTGTTACGGGGTTCAGGTAGACCTTACACCGAAACTCGCAAGGAGGTCGTTCGACCAAGACACCGACACTTGGATATATAGGGGTTATATGGGTGGCTGTCAAAATTATGGTCCCTTTTGGGTACCCTGAATAATTGGTGCCGTACTATATTAGGGACCCCCAAAGTGACCATAATTTTGACAACCACCCATGTAGGGACTATACTGCCCAAAAAAGGCTAAAGGTTCCCTACTCTACTACGAGGCAGCGGCCTTAAGAACTAGTTGGAATTCACGTTCTCTCGTCAAGCAGCCTCGTTTCTGAGGTCATACCCGATGACTTGATGGTACCTGGGCTCCGACCCTAAACCCTAAACCCTAGACGGAAGAGAACTTTGACTTCTCATCTTGAGGTTCGGAGAAGCAGAACATGCAGGACATGAGCCCCAAAGGGTCCTGAGTACCTATATGGTAGAATGAAGGGCTTCTATATCTGGAATTACTATTACGATTTGGGGAAGTATCCCCCATAACAGTACCTAGGACCCTTTCAAAAGCCCACAGTTTACATATTTGTTTGGCCGTCTGACTTCTTATGGTAAGACCCGAGTCATAGACCAGGGTGCGCACAACAAGGGCACAACAATCCACAGTGCCATTTCAGACCTTCAATATCCTGGCGCTTCCAAAACAGCTGCACCGAAACGCAAGTCCGATTCCTTGCTGATCGTAGTCTCTGGCCCCCTAAACCCTAAACCCTAAACCCGAAACCCAAGTCCCATTCCTTGCTGGTCGTAGTCTCTGGCGTGGCTATGACCTTTGACCTAAAGCTGGTTGGAGAAGAAGGAAAGTGCATTGGAGGCGGTGCAACCCCGAGGCCCCAATTCAAGCCTCAACGACTTCGAGCGCTGAAATCGCAAAGCTCCTGAGACAAGCCTTGGCCCGAAATCCCAAACGTCCATGTATCCATACCCAGAGGCTCCATGGTAGCTCCTTTTGGGGATTACTTTATGGATCCCACATATAAACCCCAAAACGGAACAACTGAAGACCATAGTAAACCGTAGAAGCACATGAACTCTCTGGAAAGTCTTCAGGAGCTCAACATCCTTGATTGTGAGCTGTGACATGTAGCAACGTGCAGCTGTTGTGGCTGCTGAAAATATGCGTTTAATTTGACGTATGTTTTTTGCGTAAGATGTGTGCAAGCACAGTGAAACACGGGGAGACTGATGCACAACTTCCTCTACCTATTCGTACTGTCTCTATGATATATATATATATATATATATACATATATATATATATATATGTTTATTTATTTATTTATTCATTCATTCATTTATTTATTTATTTATTTATCTATTTATTTATCTATTTATTTATTTATTTATCTATTTATTTATCTATTTATTTATTTATTTATGTATTTATTTATTTGTTTAATAATTATTATATATATATATATATATACATCTCTCTCTCTCTCTTTCTTTTTCCCTGCTCTCTCTCTCTCTCTCTCGCTCTCTCTCTCTCTCTCTCTCGCTCTCTCTCTCTCTCTCTCTCTCTCTCTCTCTCTCTCCGGTTGAAACAGCCCGGCGCTCAAGGTTTACCGTTTGTAGGGCTTGTGGTTCAGGGGCGCAGGGTTTAGGATTTTGCCAAGCAGCCCCTTGTCACGGTAGCGCTCTGCCAGCATTACCCAATCATCAATCCAGGCCTCCTCGGTGTAGGTCTTGCAGCCCTCACCTCGGAACAGCACTGTCAGGTTCTTGAAGAGGGTTATTTCTGAAGCTTCCTTCAAGATGCTACGAATGAACTCGATTATATGATTGGGCTAAGTTGCACGGTATTGACTGTGAACCATTGCCTTTGAGCTTAGGTGGTTCTTGTCCAAGCTCTTAAGCCACGAGTCCAAGTGTCCTAATTAGTCAATGGTGTAAGATTTAGGATCTATAGGGCTGAACCTGAAACACCCAATTCCTCAGTCCTGTGTGTGACAGATTACACCAGTCAGTGGCTTCTCTGAGTCCAATTTTTCCGTACGCTCATGATCTAGACATCCCTATGGTGCGGATTCAGTGCAGCGCTTACGGTGTAGGTTGCAGTCGCAGTGCAGGCTGTAGGTTTCCTAAACCCTAGGCTCAAAAACCCGTAATCCCGATCCCTATGCCAAATCGCATATAACAACCCTGAAGCCGCAAAACCCCAAAACAAACCCAAAACCCCAAACCCTAAACCCCTGTAGTACCCCTATAGTACCCTTACAGAGCCCTTATATTCCCCCTTTAAATTCCCGTTAAAGGAACCCCTAAACCCTAAAACCCTAACCCCCAAAATGAGAGACCAAGAGTCGGAACCACATTCCGTTGAGCTCAACGCCGCCACTCCAGGAACCCACGGTGGTGTGGTTGTTGATGACGACCTGGGTTTAGGGTTTAGGGGTTTAGTGTTTAGGGTATTTAGGATTTACGGTTTAGGGCTAAAGAGGGGATGGGGTGGGGCGCTGGGTCCCTAAGGCTCCATGTACTATTCTTAAAGGGGTACTTTAAGGCCTAAGTATATACTATATGGGTACATGGAGCCTTAGGGTGCTAAAGAGGCGACGGGGTGGGGTGGGAGGGGCGGGGGGGGGTGGTGGCTTTGTGAGAGTCCTGCAAGGAGGCTTTACACGGGTTCTGAAAAAGGCGGCGTCTATCCCAAAGGGTCCAAGTAGCAGTATCGTATGATGTATATATATATATATATATATATATATATATATATGTATATATATATATATATATATATGTATATATATATATATATATATACACACACACTTACTTTGGAGGCCCAAATGGCTACTAAGAGCCTTGGACCCTTTGAGTATTGCGAGTCCTAAGCACCTCATGGAAAATGTGGGGGGTTCAGGTCCAGGCTGCACGTTGGGGTTTCTCTTAGCTATCAGCAAGCATGACACAAGCTCCATACCCAAAGGGTCCAAGTACCAATATAGTAGGCTCTTAGTGGCCATTTGCGCCCCGAAAGTATGTACTATACTGCTACTTGGACTTTTGGGATAGCTAATGTTGTTTCTTCCGTTTAGAAGATGGTTTGAATCGAAACTTGCGCATCCAACTTTGGTAGGTGAAGGTAGGGCAGCCAGTGATCTGTATATCAGATCAGAGGCCCACACCTGCGAACCCGACCCCCAACCCTTCACCACATGCCTGCACCCCAACCCATGGTACCATACACAACTAGCACCCTTCAAACCCGAAACCACACGCTGCCCAACACCAGGTATCGTAAGCCCGTGAATCATGGAATACCTTACGTACTCCCACAATGACGGCCGACAGCACGACAATCACAGTTTCACATTCGCTGCTCTAATCTCTCAGGGCTTCATAAAATTGAAAAGGGTCTTTGCGTATTTCTACATGTATACATGTAGTATATGTCTATACTACATATAAGTAAACAGATATAGACTCATATTTGTAGTTCTACCGGTAACATATTTATATATAAACCAAAAGGAAGAAAAAGGACAAAAGCATTCAATAACTATTCCGATCTCCACACTACTACGCATCAAAGCACTAGGGAACTTGTACCCCCAAGGGTCCATGTACTCATATAGCGTAAGCGTGGGCCTTTATGCAGTCCCCATTTAGAGACTTTGAGGCCCAAGTATATACTACAATCAGCTACTCTTATGGGTAGTTGTCAAAGTTATGATCCCTTTTGGTGTCCCTATTATAATACGGCACCTAATATTTAGGATACCCAAAAAGGGGACCCTCATATTGACAACCACCCTTATCAAGGCTGAGGGAAAGGACCCATGATCTGCTACCGGTAAATAGGGTTAGAGGCTGTGGGCCTTAACTTGGAGGGTCGGGGGACTTAGTAAGTAGGTAGTAAGTAGACTTAGAAGTACCCTAAAAGGGACCCTAATTGGGGTTATGGTACTTATAACTCCCTAAAATAACCAGTTGCGAAGTCCCCCGACCCTCCAAGTAGGCCCTAGGACTCCAAGCACAGGGCTGAGGGCTCGGGGGTTTGGGAGTTTAGGGTTTAGGGATTGAGGTTTGGGATTTAGGCGTGCCGATAAAGCCTTTCTGACATACTTGCCAAGACCCCGTGATCCTTCGAGTACGGTCGGGTGGCAGCAACACCCGCAGCACCAAGTTGTTCGACCACGCGGTCGTAAACCTCCAGGGTTTAGCGCTTAGCCGCTTGGGACTTCACTGGTGTAAGGGGTCAGGCCTGTTTGACTCTTTGCAGCAGGGCACAATCAGGAAATTTCGGTTTCCGGATAAAGTCAGCGAGTGCAGTAAGGGAGTCAATACTGTCCACCAAAAACACCATCAAACCCCAAATTCTAAACCCTATAAACCCTGAACCTCGAATCCCAAGCCGTAAAACCGCTATATAGACCTTCAACCCCATGCTAAACCCTAAACCTCTAGCCACCTACAACCCTGAACCCAAATCCCTATGTACACCTACAACATGAGCCCTATAAGCCCTAAACCTTGATTGATTCGACGATCGAGCCCTGCCCATCAAAGCTCCATGGAACCCAAGTCCCGTAACGCCTCACACCGAAAGCGCTCATAGGACTTAACACCTAGGGCTCCTTGAAGGGGTCCTTTAAAGGGATCCATGAGGGTTACTAGGAAAGGGGGCTTATGGCTGCTTAAAGGGTCATGGTATTTAGTGACTTACGGCTATACACAAGGCAACTATACTCATACTTACTTTTAAACCCTTGTATAGCCTAACTTCCTGAGAGTCCCATGATCCTCCAGGGTTAGGCCCTCCAGCCAAAAGGAAGGCAAGTGTCATCGACACTGAGCATAAACATCAGTTGAAACAAATATGTGCGTATACAACTGATTTGTGCATATTCCAAATTTGTATGTGTATATGTGTATACGTATATATATATATATATATATACATACATATATATATATATATATATATGTACAATTGCGCATCTGTAAAGACGCATGTGAGCCCGGCATAGATAGACAAGATCCACAGATGTTTCAACCAGCACGGCCGGCCTCAAGCGGTGTCAACCCCAGAAGGGTTGGGTTTAGGTCGTAGTCGATGGCACCTGCGAAAGAGAAACAGACGGGCCTCATCCTAAGACCATGCCTACGTTGGTGTCTAAAGTCCATAAATGGTACCTACTTTGGGCCATGTGGAGCCTCATAACTATAGTACTCTAATGATTTAAATGGGGCTCCTTTTTAAGGGTTCGTTTATGGATTTCGGGTTTCGATGGGTGTGTAATAAGGCCCTTTACAATGTGTGTAACATTTTGGGGTATACTACACCATTAGGAAGATAAGGGACTATAATGGAACACTGTTTATACTAAGTCGGACCCTAAGGTATCTGTGCTGGCCCTATAAGCCTGTAAGGTTAAGACTAGCCAAGGATCGTGGGAGGCCAATACCCCGTACTAAGGGGTTCAGGGTTTAGGGTAAATACCAATTTGAAGTCCTCTATAACTTAAGGTCCTTTAAGCTAGCAGGTACGGTGACTTCAGGGTCGAAATTTGAATGCTATGCTCCGGCAACAAACGAGCGGTTGCACCCACTGACGTAAAGCGCAGCAGTATATGCTCGGTCAGCCTGACTGGTTGTCGTAGGCACGTCTCGCCTAATCTCGTGCAAGTCAGGTCAGGGTCGCGATGTCCGAGAACGGCGACTCGGCATTTTGCTTGGAGGGCACCTTGCCCGCAGGACTTGTCTGGATGGCATACTTGAGATTTGCAGCCTCTTCATCGGAGAGCAGGCGAACGGGAGCCCACGTTGCTGCCTCGACAAATGTGCATGATTTGAGAGTTTTCGAAAATGGGGGACTCTTATTTTGTACCCTAAATAGTAGGATCCTTATTATAAGGACCCCCAAAATAAGGTACCCCAAGTTTCGGAAACTCCCATTTCCCTCCGAGGAATTTCCCGGTTCAGACCACCAAACACTTCAACCGACGGGTTTAGGGTTTAGGGGTTTAGGGGTTTAGGGTCTAGGGTTTTAGGGTTTAGGGCCCGAAACCCTAAACCTAAACCCGAAACCCTAAGTCCACGGGACAACAATCGGGCACGACGACGACTGCGGGTCCTAATCAAAGCCTGTGCCGCCATGTTGAGAGGGGCAAGTAGCCCTGTCATCTTCCCGAGGGTCCAAGTAAAAGTATAGTAATCTGGGCCCCATTGGTACTTGGACCCTCTGGGTATGCGGAGAATGCCTTAAACCAGTAAGAGTTCTCAAACTCCAGTGGCCGGAGGCCCCAAAACCAACGCTTGAGCTGTAAACTGTCAAAGTCCTGAACATCCAATCCGGAAGCACTGTCCCTATCGACCTCATAGTTAGGGCCCTACCCGAGAAGGACCCCCTAATAAGGTCCCTGGGAGGCATGGGGTGTATCGGTCGGATGCCTTCCGGAACTGCCTCGACTCTGAGCATCTCACTGGAAAATGGTAGTCGCACGACCTAAGAAGGCTCCATGTACCCATATAGTAGGTACTCAGGCGTTAAAGTACCTTTTTATGGACCCATTGAAGGCCTAAGTGCTTACTGTAGGGGCACATGAGTCTCACGATAAGAAGGCTCGGGACTGTGCTTGAACGGCTTTTGTGAGTATGGGTATACTTGGGAACTACACATGCACCTATGGGATAACCCCATTCAGCATATGCCTACGTACTGCAAAGCCAGACTTTGGTATGATAACCCTATACGATGTCACCTTCCTAGTAAGGCTGAGGCTTCAGAGGTATTGGGGAAACCCGAAATTCAAAATCCAAGCGGGCTACTACTCTTAGCGAGTTGTCCTGTGAGTATGAGCTTTGGGCCTTACGAATAGGGAGTCGCTTTATAGTTTTTCTGGTGAAAACCAGGCCTCAGCGTGCACAGTCTCAACCCTAAACCGCCCTATGCCCTAACGCCAAAACCCCCAAACCCTGAAACGCTAACCCGCTTCTGACTGAGCAGTTCCAAATTTAGGAACCGAGAGCGACGACGATTGCGTCGGAAGTGCACTTTTCCGTCGGATTTCAATTCAACTTTGATCGAGGGCTTCTAGAGTTTGTGGTTTAGGGTGAGGCGTAGCGGCTTTCAGGGTGTATAGGAGCTTAGTTTTTAAGCTTGAAAGTTTCGGTGCGTTTGGTTTGCACCTTCAAGAGGCTTTCTAAACAGATCCGCTGCAAGCAGACACACTACGGGAACCCAGACCCTGCTAAGTAGTGTCTTCGCTTTGTCAGCCAATGTTCCGCATGGGATTCCAACATGGAAACAGACCAGCGGGAGTAGAAGGTGCCGCCATGAACCTGCCATCTGCACCACGCGGCGTCGCCGGCTGCCTCCTTGGCCACAGCACCTCGATCAACTCCGGCAGTCCAGGGGTGTGCACGGTGACTTGAACCTGCACGCGTCACGGTTTCTCATCAGCCTGCACCGACTCCCCTTCCGTGGAGCTTTCCGGATCCTCCCGCTGCTGCATCAAGGCCGCCGTCGAGGGGTCCACCTCAGAGCCCACTCAGACCCGCGGGAGGATCCAAAAAGTAGATCCCTTAATGGGGGTTCCTCTAAAGTACCCTTAGTAGTATAGGGCCCCAAATTAGCAGATCTACTTTCTAGATCCTCCCGGGGTCTGGGCAAGTCGGCCTGTGCTTCTTCCGTCGGCGCCTCCTCCGTCAAAGAGATGCGGCGGGAGGCTCCCTCCTCCTTCTCCAGAGCCTGCATAAACCAGGCCTCCATACATGGAGGTCACGAAAAGAACTACAATTGGGGGCCGCCACAGACTACAGAATTGATACCAGAACCACAAATTCCAAGATGCAAACCAGGCGGCCACTAAAAGAACTTATTGTAACACAACTGGTGGCCGGCATAAAAGTATAGGAATCACAAAAACCAAAAACAGCTAAGCCTGTAACCCCACACTCGGTCTGCCACCAAAACCACAAGATACCCCGTTGTTGAGTTGGATAGCAACTCCCAGAAGCCTACTATAATAAACAGTGTACTAACACTTAACCTCGAACCTCGATGCACTCTTTTTGGACTCTGAAGCAACCAGGGAGACAAAACTATCATAACAGTTCTTCTCAGGAACAAGTCCAAGAACAAAACATTCCAGTATGGCACCTCAGAACCCAGCAACTCTAGACCCCAAACCCCTGTAGATCCCTTTAAAGGAACCCTTATAAAGATCGCTTTGAAGGAAAACTAGATGGGCACTCCCCCTAAACCCTAAACCAAGATGGTACTCCAGAACCCCACTTCAACAAGGTCAGGATAGGGTTTAGGGTTTAGGGTTTAGGGTTTAGGGTTTAGGGTTTAGGGTTTGGTAAGACGGGCGGCTGTGAAGCCCATGGCTGCGACTGAATGGCAGATTTCCTGCACTCAGACATCTCCAAGGCTTCGCCCTTAGGCTCCTTAGACCACCCTTTAATATACCCTAAATACCCACACTATTATCAAGGACCATCAGGGCTCTATTAGGGGGCTCCTAAGAGGGTCTTGGGGCTTTCTGGGGGAGGGTTTTCGGCTGTCGGAGTTGGGGTTTGGGGATCTCACTGCAAGGGTCCACGAGCCTTAGGGTTTCGGCTTTAGGGGTTTAAGGTTTAGGGCAGGTGTCCAGAATTTCACATTTCGGGCTTTAGCGTGCAAGATTGTCAGAGTGTCCACGGCTTCACGGTTTTAGGGCGTGTAGATTCGAGCTTCGGTTTCGGGGAGCAGGGATTGTTCCTAGGGTGCTACAAACCCCAAATCCCTAAACCCTAAGCCCCAAATCTCTAAACACTATAGACCCTAAACCCCAAATCCATAAACCCTAGACCCCAAATCCCCAAACACCAAACCCCAAATCCCTAGACCCTAAACCCCCAATCCACTGAACCCTCAACCCCAAATCCTTAACTCCAAATCCCTAAGCCCTAGACCCCAAATCTTGGGGTTGAGGGCAAGCTCAGTTTTATCAGAAAAGGGCTTGCAGTCTAATTTGCTCATGTGCGAGGAAGTCAGGTACGCTTCCAAAAATAGGGGCCTGGATGATTGCCTATACTATTCTGGGGGGGCTCCTTATTAGGGTTTAGGGTTTAGGGTTTAGGGTTAACCCTAAACCCTAAAACCTAAACCCTATTTGCACTATAGCATAATATGCCCCCAGAATGCCCTTGTATTATAGTGTGTGCCAGGGCTTGAGGGTTTGGGGTTTCGGGTTTAGGGTTTTGCAAGAGCCTTAGGGCTTAAGCTGTTGCCTGGACAGCCAAGAGGAAATACAGCTGGGGTACAGGTCCAAAGTTTCAGGGGAACTAGGCTGTAAGGCATCTGCAGAGGTTGGGGTTCAAGGCCCCACGTGCAGGGATAGATGCTCCTGCTGTTACATAGCAGTTTGGGCTTTGTGTAAGGTCTTTGAGCCCTAAAGCCATCTTCGACCATCTATTGCAAGCAAGGTGTTTGGGCCATGCTGCTGTATTCACTATGAAGCCTCGGAGGGTACATCCCAAGCCCCTTACCCTAATCCCAACCCCTAAACCCTAAACACCAAGCCCCGAGCCCCAAACTCCAAACCCAGAAGCCTGAATCCTGAAGCCTAATACAGGGGCCTCGGTAATTAGAATGGATTTTTTGGGGCGGGGGGGGGGGGTATATTATACTATAATCATATTAGGGAACCCCATAATATTGGCAATTATTTAGGCCCTAAAGCCCTGTACCCAAGAAGCTTGATGAGGCCGAGGGGCTGCCAATGGTCGCATGTCCAACCCTCCAACCTAACGAGTCGAGCTTTGCGATTGAGGACTTCACTTGAAAACAAAACGACCCACAAAGTTAGGGGCCCTATACCCCTTGTACTATGGTTCCCCAGTATGGTAACCCTAAACCCTAAACCCAAAACCCTAAACCCTATAAACCCTAAACCCAAAACCATAAACCCTATAAACCCTAAACCCAAAACCATAAACCCTGAACCCTAAACTGGTCTTTGAATCTGGAACCCTTTTCGGGTACCTTTCCGTCCTTTAGGTAGAGGACATCGATCTCCGGGTTTTTTTGGGGGTCAAGTGCTTGAGCCTCAGGGTTTAGGGTTTAGGGTGTTTAGAGTGTTTAGGGAAAAGCTTAAAGGTGTTTAGGGGTTTTTAGGGTTTAGGGTTTTTAGGGTTTTTAAGGTTTATATAGGGTTTTTGTTAAGGCTTATAAAACTTTTTAGGGTTTAGGCGTTTTTAGGGTTTTTAGGGTCTTTAGGGTTTAGCCGTCGTAGTTAGGATTCAAGTGCTTAGGGTCTATGGGTTCGGTGCTTCTGGTCTAGTGCTAGAAGCAGGTCCAGGGTCACATGCGTACAACAAGTTTAGGGTTTAGGGTTTAGGGTTCTCAGAAGATGCGGAGGAACTTTCAAGAGCCCTAAACCCTAAACCAGGCGAGCAGCCACATGGTAAGTATCTGAGGCGCCATACCAGTTCACGCCTGCCAACTTGAAATGCCTTGGTCGGTTTAGGGTTTAGGGTTTAGGGGTTTAGGGGTTTAGGGTTTAGGCCCTAAACAAAGGCAAGTTCTGTTCCCTAGGGTTTTTCATGCACATGATAGTATTTTAAATGTTCGAGCCTTGATAGGAGCGGAGACAGAATGGAGTTGCATATAGGGACGACCTAGACCCCCAGAAGTAGGTAAAACAATGGCCCAAAACCTATAAACGGCTATTATTCATTCTACATATTTTGGGGGTCTAGGTACATGGTTCATGGCCAAAGTAGTACGAGATGATCACATGGACGCAGTTATAAGGTTACTTGTTCAGCAACTTTCACCCGAACCCTCAACCCCTAAACCCCTAAATCCTAAACTACCCTAAACCCCCAAAACCCTAAACCCCTAAATCCTAAACTACCCTAAACCCCCAAAACCCCTAAATTACCCTAAACCCCGAAACCCCTAAATCCTAAACCCCTAACCTCTAAACCTCTAAAACCCTAAACCCTATAGGATGTTTCCTAAGTCGAGAGAGAGAGAGAGAGAGAGAGAGAGACAGAGAGAGAGAGAAAAAAAAAGAGAGAGAGAGAGAGAGGGGGCTCTGAGCCCATGCTTGGTAAATTTTTTGGGGCTGTAATAATCGGAATAGGGTTCCTTTACAGGGGGCCCTTAAGGGGTAGCGGGTGACTTAACGGGTGACTATTCGGGATACTATAAGGGCTAAGAAGAGGGTCTTGAAAATTAGAATAGGGTTGTGTGGTGCATGTGGACATGAGTCTGCTCCCACAAAGGCTTCAGATGCCTTGCATCCATTGAATGTTCCTCTAATCTTTGAGCGTCGTTCAGCTATGCTTGGAGATGACTCCTAGATGGCCTGTAAGGTTAGGGGTACATTATACTATTGTTAAAAATTGAGGAGCCCCCAAAATGGTATAGGTAATTACTCCATTATTGGACTCCCGGCCCTCTGAAAATACGAAGGAGACCTTAATAGTTAGAGCACGTTAAGGGTAGCTTGAAGGGTTCTAAAAGAGATTTAGGGTTTAGGTGTCTCTGCATTTAGTGTAGGGTTGTCCGGTATATAATATCATTGTAAGGAACCCTAAGGAATAATGTTGGTGATTATTCACTCTTCCGTACTACCCCAAACGGTACACCCTACTCGCTTGGAGTGCCAGGGCCCATGATGCAACACAAAGTAACTCTCGAGGGGTAAAAGGAGGGACCCTAAATAAGGACCCCTTGGTACATACCCTTAATATAGCCATTGTATACCCATGATATAGCCCATACAGGGTACGGGTCCCCATTAAGGGTCCCTCCTTTTCCCCTTTGAAGCAAGTGCTCCCAACAGAATCTTGCACTCGCGGTTCAAGGTATACCGGATACCGCATTACCCATAGGCCCCTCAGTAGTTCCTTTTTTCGGGGTGCATATGTAGAATCCTATAAGGTAATCCAAAAAGGACCACTATGGGGCCTATGGGTATACGAAAAAATGCCTCGTCTGCTGGCCCTGACGAACTGAAGCGGTTTAAGGTTTAGGGTTTAGGGGCGTGCATGACGACACTCCGCAAGGGACTGAGGAGCATACAGGATTCGACCCGAGGTTTGGGAAAGGAGCAATGTCTATACATTCGCTTCTATGCGCGTAGCGGCTTACCGGTTTAGGGTTTACCTAACTGGACCCGTGGAGTAAGGTCCCAATCCCTAGCCCAAAGCCGAACCCCCCCCGCCCGGAAGGCCCAAGACCCTGTCTGGAGCCTTAGGGTAGGATGTATGTACGGAACTATGTGTACGAGAAAACCACAGACTAGTGGCAACGGTGGCAGAGGCCAACCCTGTCATGTTTCTTAGGCCCATGGATCCCGTTTAGGGTTTAGGGTGCAAGTACTCCCTGTCAGAAGAATTTGGGTTCATTTTGGGCACAAATACGGACTGCTTGGAACCTTAGGGTTTAGGGTTTGAAAGGTGTATGGATCCCGACATCCACCCTAACATCTGACGTTGACGTGGTACTGGCCGAACTGGTTGACGAGGCGCCGACCTGTTCCAAAGCCACAACAGAATTGGGTCCAGTACAGAGAGCAAGAGACTTGGCAATGATATCTCTTACATTCCAGTCTTTGCGGAGTTATACATGAAGGCGCAAAGCCCTATTCACAATTCTGATTATTAACGCTGCTACCCTATTGGCCTATTGATTCCGAGAGCGCATTTTCTGGTTCGCCTGGCTGAAAAACATTGCAGCGAGGTCTCTGACCATCCCCCAACCAAGGCCCGCTAGCCTTTCGCCCTCAGCGGGAACTGAAGCCTGAGCCAGAGGGTTTAGGGTCAAGTGCTTGTGGTTTGAATTTATTGCTTTTTGACTGGAAATACGGCTTGCAACATTAGGGCCCTGGCAACATCCTTGTAGGACCCGGGAAAAACTCGGTGATTTGATATTGAAGCGGTATTGTGTCTACACCCTAGCAAAATCCTCCGAAACCCATAGGACGTCCATATGAAGCTCCTAGCATCGCCTCCGACGGGCCTCTGAAGCCTGTGCAAGCCCCCGAAACCACTAAGCTGCAGAAAAAAAGCTGCTTAACTCATCAAGCCTACCCCCTAAACCTACTAAACCCTCAACCAGACACCCTGAAGCCCTAAACTTACTAAACCCTAAACCCTACAGCCCTAAACTTACGAAGCTGCAGCAGAGTAGCTGCCAAGACTCCATTCGCCCGTGCTGCTTCCGCTTTTCAAAGGTGCGGAAACCGGAGCAAAGGCCTGGTACCCAGAGCTTCCAAAACGGTTACCCAAAGGTTCTAAAGGACCCAATGATGAGGTACTTAGGTTTCGGATAGTAGATATGTAGGTTACTTTTTCGGAGAGTAATTATATGACTATTAGGTACTTGGACCCTTAGCGTTAGGGTTCCCTGAAAAGGGATCTGTAGGGCTTCTCGAAAAGGATCTATAGGGGTTCCTACTTAAGGGATCCATTAGTAAGGGTTTTATAAGGGATCATTCCTTAATTAAGGCTTTCGGAAGGTCTAGGTGATGCCGCAGATCGGAGCAAGGTGGCAATATTGCCACCAGGGACTAAACACGGCTTGTCTTAAAGGGTACTTGTTGCAACGATTCTTTTGGCGCTTAGGATCCGTAGGCTTAAGGCTCAGGGTTCAGGGTTTAAGGGTTTAAAGTTTGGGCTTGAGAGCATTAGGGCTTGTAGGGGTTAGAGCTTAGGGCTTTTCTGATTTGGGGTTTAAGCCTAAGCGTTTCGAGGCAGGGTTCGAGGTTCGGCAAGAGGGTCCATACCTCTCAGGGCTGTTGGGTGCATAGGAACCATGGCAAGTAACTGTATTGGTTAGCAGCACTCATGTTTTTGCCAGGGTTTAGGGTTTAGGGCCTTGTGCTGCTTCGCGGTGTCTGCTTCTCTTACTCGGCTTTCTGCTTGTCCTCATCGGTCATCTCGTTGTCCTTGCCGACCGATTGTCGCGGCCTCCGGGACGTCAAGAGAGCGTCGTAGCCATCCCCTTCGCCAAGTTGGCATCCCCCCTCGCCTCGACGGCATTGCAAATTTCCTGAGTTTGTGTTGTGTTCGAGGCATCCGCATGCTCCATCACGCGACTCAGAATAAGGTCCCAGTGTTTCGAATTATTGGGTCTTGTGGTATGTTCCACTGTACATATTCGGAACCCTGAGGAGTAGTACAACTAACAATCCAAGCGTCTGTCGTAAGGCTTCAGGCTGTGCGTGCGGCGTTCCGTATGTACCGTTCAAGGGTCTTCAGAACCCCTTGGCCCTGCAGAAACCCTAAGGCTCCATGTGCCCATATAGCATATACTTAGGCCTTAAAGTACCTATATAGGGACTACTTTGGGGCTTAAGTATCTACTATAAAGGTACATGGAGCCTTTGGGAAAGACAAGCCCAAATGCACAAATCCCAAACCACTGAGTCTCTCATCCGAAGATGGGAGTTTCCGAAAATAGGGGACCCTAATATAGTTCCCTAAAGAGTAGGATCCTTATTATAAGGACCCCAAATTAAGCTACCCCTAATTTTCGGAAACTCCCAAATCCCATCGACTTCAGCCCTTAAAGCAAAAACCGTAAACCCCGAACGGCAAAGGCTCATCCGTGGGACCTTTTCGTTTAACCTTAAACCCTCTAAACTCTAAACCCCCAAAACATAAAGTCTCTAAGCCTCCTGCTGTAAGCTCAATCAAAGCATACAGTCTACAAGCCCTCTACACCTAAGTGTGCTTGGTTTTAGAGGTTGAGAAGCTTGGGCTAGGGTTGAGTCACGGCACCTGCTTAAGGGTGTAATTGGAGGATCATGGGACCTAGCAAGTAATGCTATAAGTACCTTAGTTGGGGTTACAAGTAGTTAAAAGAATAGTTACCTTAATTTCAACCCTTTCTAAGTCCCAGGATCCTTTAAGTAGGGTTCCGGGTAAAGGCGCCCTAAGGTTTCGGGCATGTTTGTGCCGGAAGTACAGCCTGCCATCTACTTCGAGGTTCATGGGTAGTTATAAGTAAGGTGAATATACTTATAACTCATAACCCATATTAGGGGACTTACAGCTCCACTCGTAACTACCCATGAACCTCCATCTAGGCGTGTAACCCTTGACGTAAGGCACCTGTGCCAGCCCTATGCCAACCTTGCACCCTAAACCCAAACCCCTAAAAACCTTAAACACCTAAACCCTAAACCCCCAAACCCCTAAACCTTACGGCCTGAGCCCCAAACCCCTAAACCCCAAAGCCCTTAAAGTCTAAACTTCTACACCCTAAACCTAGCCCGTATGCCAACTACCCTGCACCCCAGATACCCGGGAAGCCTTTCGGTGTCGGCCCGCGTCGACGCAGGCGGCAGCCACGTGTGCCGAGGGGGCAGCCGAAGGTGGCTTGGACGGACTGCGAAAATTTCGAAACTTACACTTACCAAAAGCGCAAGAATGATAACATATGTCATACCAGCCGAGGTAAAGGTAGTGGCAACCATGGTGAGAATAGTGTTCGTGATCCGGGGCTGTGCATGAGCTTCCAAGCTTTTTGACTGCCTGGGATGAACTCCCGAAAGCTCCATGTGAAGCCGGTGTGCTGGCACGACTATGGAAGACAGGCTGCAGCACAGATGCCAGTCTCATTTTAGACGGGATTCAATCCAATGCGCTCGTGGGGATTTGGGTGGGTCTGGGTAGTGACAAGGAGGGTTGCCACTTTGGGGTTAGGACTTTTGATGTTCAGGGCAAGGATCGACAATATGGAATCTTAAAATGATACGCTTTGTGGGCTACAGGTAAACCTAAAGTCCAAAGCCCTAGACCAAGCCTCTCAGGAAAATGCTGGTGGTATTGCCTGCCTAGACCCCCAGAATATGTAGAATGATAGCTTTTTATAGGTGTTGGGCCATTATCACCTGCTTTTCGGGGTTTAGGTGGCCATGGTCCGGGCGACAGGCAGTCGGCACCACGGTTACGCAGGCCATCAATAATCAGAATGGGGTTCTGGTGTAGTATAGGGTGGAGGGTCGGAGGGTCCCCACATGCCACTATTATGCAATTAGACCCTAAACCCTAAACCCTAAACCACAAAACCACAATAAAGATGGTCTTGCGGCCAATGCCATAATGGTAAATCTAAGGGCCTTCTGAGAGCGAGGGTTGTGTAATCTAGGGATTACTTAAAAGGATCATGGGACTTAGCAACTAAGGGTATAATTAGGGTAACTATACTTATAACTACTTATAACCCCAATTAAGGTACTTATAACCTTACTTACTAAGTCCCATGAGCCTCCAAGTAGGCTACAAAGGCTCGCCATCATGCCAGCCCCTATCTTCGAACCATGGGCCCGAAAAGCCCTACTGCTGATGGACAAAATCCTGCATGACCCTAAGGCCTCTAAACTATGACCCTAAGGCCTCTAAACTATGGGAACTATGGTATATTCCTTATAGGTGATGCAGGATTTTGTCCATCAACAGTATGACTCTGACGTACCTAGAGGCTCCTCATATACTATCATTATCGAACTCGTTCCCGAAAACCATAATAAGGATGGCTTTTTGGGACAATAATACCATAATGGTAGTATATGAGGAGCCTCTGGGATAACCTCAAAATACCGCAATGGCCGCCGTGCTCGATCCTCGAAACTTAACTTACGCAGCCAGTTAGCAGCCCACATGATCCAAACCCCAATCCCTCGACACAACATCACCCTCATCGCCACGAATACCAGAAGCACGAGCCTGTGTTCTTTTTGACTCTTAAGAGGTACTGGCAGCTGGATCTGCCTTTCACTTCGTGCTCGCCGGGGCCTGTGCCACTGCGCACAGAGTTGCGGGAAAAGAGAGAGAGAAAGAGAGAGAGAGAGAGAGAGAGAAAGAGAGAGCGAGAGAGAGAGACAGAGAGAAAGAGAGAGAACGAGAGAGAGCGAGAGAGAGCGAGAGAGAGCGAGAGACAAAGAGAGAGAGGCGCATCTACAGTAGGCTGGGGTCAGGAACCCATAACAGTGGGAGTGCATTATAACGAGAAGGGCCGCTTCCCAAGGATGCCTCGACGTCCGCCTTCGGTAGGATTTAGGGCTCAGAGAACACTTGCAACGAACACCCGAGGAATGATTTCACCGGGAACAGAGAAGGCTGGCTATAGAGTGCATCGGAAATGCTCGACTATCGAAAAGCTTACAGGAGTCGTGTAGAACCCAAAGAGTAACCCGGGACAGACTTTTCAAACCAAGCTCACTTTCTCCCCTGGCCCTAGAGGTCCGTGTACCCAAACAGTAAGTACTGTGGCCCTAAACTATCCCATATAGGATTAGTTTAGTTTAAGGTCAAATTTGGCCCTAAACTGACCCACAAGGGGATTACTTTCAGGCCAAAATAGATAATTACTACATAAGCACATGGACTCTTCAATCCTAAACCCTATAGAGCCTTTCTAGAAACCCTTACAGAAGCCCTTGAACGAACACTCCCTAAACCCTGAATCCTCAACCCTACTTAAAGGATCATGGGACTTAGCAACTAGGGGTATAACTAGGGTAGCTATACTTACAACCACGTCTAACCCCAATTAAGGTACTTATAACCTTACTTGCTAAGTCCCATGATCCTCCAATCATTCATGAGCCCAGGGGTACTTCTCGGCAGGGGTACTTCTCAACAGCCGCCGAAGATTTAAGAATAAGAATGAATAAAAACGAATTATTTGGAAGATTGTTGAAGAAAAACGAATTATTTGGAAGATTATTGAAGAAAAACGAATTATTTGGAAGATTGTGGCAGAAATGCGAATTATGTGAGGGTTTCAATTTGAGGCTTAAACACGGTTTAGGGTTTAGGGCTCATGGTTTAAGCTTCCTGGCACGGCTCGAGGACCTGCCAAAATGGAACACCGAGGTTTAGGGTTTAAAGATTCTAGGTCTAGTATTGGTCAGCTTCGGGGCCCACAAAGTTTAGGGTGCCAACTTCCGAGGTTCAGGGTTTAAAGGTTTAGGGTTTAGGGCTTACGGTTGTTCGGGTCTAAAGGTGTAGGGTTTAGGGTTTAGGGTTTGGGTGAAAACACCCACTTTGTGGGAGTACTAGAGTTGAAAACAAATATGAGTAATCGAGTAGTGAAATAATAGAGTAATAGAATAATACAGTAATAAAGTAATAGAGTACTAGAGTATTTGGGTAATAGAGTAATAGAGTAAAAGAATAATAGAGTAATGGAGTAAC